GAAATCGCCAAAAGTCATCAAACGGCGACCAATTGGGGATAGTTTGGTCTGGTCCCTGTATCACCGTAATATGTATTGTTTAGTGAATTAATGTATTGATCACTATGTTAGCTGTAACCGTAATTCGAACCTCATATTGCCTTCCAGTGATTTCGAGAAGCAGAAAGTACTAGAAATATCTCGGAGGCGGGTGAAAACAATATGATGTCGGAGAGAGCATCTGCTCTCAGTTGTTGTTGTTAGCTGTTATCTCGGCGTGAGTTCGGAGTACCAAGACATCTCCGGCTAGCTTTGTCTTTAGCTGCGTTTTGCATTGCTTATTTTCGTAGTAGTTCGAAATGTAATTACTAATTGTACTCTGTGATATTGTGAAGAGCTGTATCACTATCTTTGTAGAAAGTTCCAGATCTCTGAAGTGTTTCATCTGATAAAATAAATCTTATCAACCTATCATCGGAGCTGTGCGCATTCAATGTGTTACGAAGGCACAAACTTTTTAATTTCTTACTACAACTTTCTGCGGCACTTCATGGTGCTTCGATTTTAATACAGTGTGTAATCTTAGATCAGTTTTTTCTGAAGATTTGTTAACATGTTAATGAGAGAGCACTGTAAAATTATGAAGAGTTTGTTTACTAGTTAAAATTTATCTTATTAGAGCTTTGCTAAGTAGAATAGAGAGTCTTCAGCATCATAATAAAGAATCGAAATTCAGCAAAAGTATTTATTATTTTGATACTATTTCTTTGCTTCAAAATTTAAAGTACACCACTCGCATCCTAAAATATTTATAACACATAAGAACAGTAATACCTAAGCCACTAAATTAGCTTTTCTTTTAAACTCTTGAATGATTCAATAACTTAATATTCATCCATCTTTATATTACTTTAGCTTCAACATTCGTATCTGAAGCTCAGAAAAGAAAGCAGCAAGAGAATAGTGACAATGTAAAGGAGAAGCGAATGTAGAATAATAAAAAAATACAAAACCAAAAAAAGTCTTATGATTATCTCTTGTTCTTGTTGCTTAAAATGGCTATATCATTTTACATATTCATTGAAAATTTGCTGTTTAGTATTTAAATTTTAACTTACTACCAGAAAATAGAATATTGCATCAATATTAGTTAGTTAAAACATTTTCTATTTTTAGATTGATGAAATAATTGAATTAATGAGAGAAGGAATAAAAAGGAATTATACACTCCATGAAAAGTCAGTAGTAAGTACATGCATTCTGTGTTTTACAGCGTTAGTCTGTGTTTTACAGATTAACAGATTTTACAGATTAGTTATTCTGTGTTTTACAGAGAATAAACTAAAAAAATATTCAACCCAGATTTGTGGCAAATAAAGGTTGGTTCGAAAGTTTCAAAAAGCTTCTTGCAATTTATAGTACAAGAATTCAAGGAGAATCTGCATCGGCTGATTGTGAAGCTGCTAGGACGTTGATTATGAAGCTAAAGATTGGTTTTTAAATTGTTTTGTGCCAGATGCTTAACGTTATTTAAGGCAGAAAAATTTGAGCTCGAAGGCGCTGTTACTATTATATAATGTTCCATGTCACCAACAAGATTTGAATCATTCATCATTCAATTCAAAATACTGTTCCTACCACCTAACACTACTTCGTTATTCCAACCATTGGATCAAGATATTATTTATACCTTTAAAAATTATTACATAAGAAGAGCATTACAGTGGATTTTAGACGTAACCGATTCAAAATCAATTAATCTAACAGAAGCTTGGAAGACATAACGGCATCGTGCTTTTGCCTCTGAAACAGCCGAAAGCATCAACGTTAAATGCATGTGCTTTTACCCATTTAACTTTCTACCGATTTAAGAAGTTTTGTAAACTTCGAAGTAAATGATAATCCGATGGTACAAATTCGGGGCTATATGAGGGATACGACATCACTTCCCAACCATGCTCCGATAATTTCGTACGGGTTGCTAAAGAAGTGGGAGGCCTCGCAATGTTTGTGATGGAGCACGATTCCTTTGCGATTTGCCAATTCTGGCTTTTTCTCTTTTATTGCTTCCTCCAGTTTCATAAGTTATTGGCAGTAAACACCTGATCTGATCGTTTGGTTGCTTAGAAGCAGCTAAAAATACATAACACCTTTGTAATTGCACCAAATTCACAGCATGATTTTTTTTTCTGATCCAATTTAGCTTTCGATATGATTTGTGATGGTTCATCATGCCTGGACCATGATGTTTTTTGATTAATGTTATTGTAGCAAATCTATTTTCATCATCAGTGTTAATTCGTTTCGAACAGCGGTCGACTGAATTTAGTTTGAAATGTGAATCACAAATTTTGGTTCGTTGTGTGAAGAGAATTTCTTTCAATTCATACGGAAGCCAAATATCGAGCTCCTTAATAAGTCCAAGACATCTTATGTGATTTTCGATCGTTGTGTGTGATACACTTAACCATTTTCCAACAATGATTTGGTTCAATAACGGCTTTAATTTTGTCATCATCAATTTAAGAAGGACAGCCAGAACCATGATCATCTTCAAATGAAAAATCTCCAGAATGAAATTATTTAAATGAATTCTGACACATATGTTCTTTTAAGCAATCAACACCATAAACTTCACATACTTTCTACCATAAATGATTCATTCATTTTGAAAAGGCTGTATTTTCAAAAATATTACACGTACACAAATGAAAAATATACGAAAAGAATCACAAACTCAAGTTTTTTTTCGCTATTTTACTAAGTTTTCCGGATAACTTGGTAAATTGCTTCATTGCAGAATATCATTTTGGTGGCGGAAACTTCGTCCTCCAATGCTTCTTGCATGTTGACGCAAAAATCTAGTCGCCGGGCGTAATCCTCCGGCTTTAATTGTTGCAGGAGCTGCACATGGTACAGTTTGAAATGCAACCGTTGACAGAAAATGTTCCACAGAGTTTTTTTTTTTTTTTTTTTTTGGTCTCGGCACGGTAATTGGCAGGAGACTATATGGCAACAATGCTCAAAATGTCTGGCCGATTCCCTTAGGTCTGGTGTGGTCGTATCCCCCGTAGGTCAAGGCTTATTTGCCAGTAGCAGACGCAAGCGTCTCCCGGCCGAACTCTCGAATACGCGCCGAGTGTGCTGACCATTACACCACGGAGGCATGCTAAGAAGGCGGGAGAAATACCTTCTAATCAAAGGGGTACATACTGAATATTTGTAGAGGGTGTATAGGCTTAATGAGTTAGTGGTTCTTTTCATATATCTTTCACGTGTGTGTGGGAAATATTTTTGAAAATAAAGCCTTCTGAAAACTAATGAATCATTTATGCTAGTCCTTTATATCTTTGGGAGTCTCAGTCGCTTTTTGCTTTATGAAACTAAAAAAAAAAATAATAAAATACGCCGAAAATGCTTGCTTTTTTACCTCATGTTGAAAACTGACCGTAAATTAGTAGTTGTAAACAAAAATACACGGAATTTGTTTCTATAGCAACTTAAAAGTATCAATTGTCAAATCTACAAAGAAAAAAATTATAAGATTATAAGATTAACGGAAGAATAACAAAACGAACATAACTTATCTATTTGTGCAAACCGAAATTACTTTCTTGCCAACCCAATACAGACGCTCATTTAATACATTAAGTTCGGGAAATGTTATTAAGGAAATATCTCTTTCGAAAAATTCGTTTGCACGTAATTTCTACGCGTCGAGAACACGAGGGCATTATTTGCATTAAACTCTAATATTATAGATAAAGACTAATATGTAGTTATTATTATTGTAATCAAATCACTAATCTGTAATAATTAATATGTAGTTATTATGTAACTAATATAATAACTAATACATAGTCTGTAATAACTAATATGTAGTTATATCTAATATGTAATTATTATTATCAAATCACATGAATTCCAATTTTATTTCAGTTTTCTGATGATTCAAAATGGAAACTACGTTCTGAAGATTTCTTTTACAAACCTTTTACTGATATCTCCGATATCGTTCTTGAAGATGAAATGTAAGTATATATGAATAATTTAAACGGATTGTACATACTTCCATGGAAATTCTTAAAGATGTAACAGTTACAAACTTAGAATCTAGCATTTTGTCCGTGAGTATTTTCAAACGAATAAAATGTCTATTTCAGTACCTGGCTTTACAAAGACATGGAGAATTCCTTTATGTCACTAACTAAATACTAACAATAATGAATAGACTATACTAGAGACTATAATCTGGTACATCTATAAATTAATATATTATGTTAAAGCAAGATTTTCTAACCTTTGCGTTTGGAACCCCTAACTTCTAACTTTAAGAATGTGGACTCCCACATGCGTATGGTATAATCCTAAATGAAATATTTATTTGTAGGTAATTAAAATATAGTAGTTAAAAATTCCGATATAATATAAAAAATTTAAATTCCTCCCAATTTTGAAAATTTTAACTGTTCAGTGAAACATATTTTTGCTTACAAAAACAGTAAAGAAAATTAAATATATTATTTCAAAAATATTTATTAATTTACTTCTAAGGTTATTAAATTACATCTCATTAAGTGGGTAGGCCTTGTTAATGAGATTCGTATTGATGTTTTGATGTTAGCATATTAATATCTAGAATAAACTTTGTTTTATTAATTAAAACAACAGACGAAGATTAGCTCTTTTTACGTATCGAATCGATTACTATTTTCGTTAGCAACTGTGTTACATGAGCTACGCGCCACAAGAAATGGTGATGTTCATCACTAATATCACTGTTCTTACATACATCATGCCTCCTTTTTCTTTTTGAATAGAATTCGGGCTATCTCATCAGTCCACAATTCAACAAGTTTCTCTAGGAACCTTACAACATCAGTAACATTTACCTCAAACGGAATCAGCACCCAGTACGGTATGTAAGTTGTAGTAAATCCCTGAACAACGCCTGCTTTCATAATTATTATTTAATGATCCCCATGGCTGCATCTGAGTTTATATATATATATATGGACAACATACTTCCTGGAGCTGATCAGACAGTCGAAATATATGAGCCATACGAGTTTCAACTGCAACTAATTTCGCTTTTAGATCGAGGTAGCATGATCTTAAATGAGTGGTCTTCGAATATTACATCATTTTTGAAAGATAAAATGGCGGATGCACCTGAAAAATGTTCCTTTATTGCTTGTGCTAAAAAACACTAGGTATAACACAAAAAGCCAAAAAAGGATGAGTACACGAAAAGAGACGTTTTGTCAGAAACAGCAAGGAAATGCGATCCAATGAGAATTTAAGTCCTGTTGTGACAAAGGCAAGCGTTTTCATCCAGATGTTGTGGCTGCTAAAATTAAACTGGAATGAGCCACTACGGCAGAAGAAAATCAGTAACGGCATGAATTTATTGAGACCCCGCTAAATTTTCTTAACATATCCATTCCATGATTCATCTTAGTCCGAAATACTCTCAAGATAGAGTTGCATGGCTTCTCTAATGTCTCAGACGCAGCCTATAGAGCAGTTGCTTGTTGTAAAGCCACATCAAGCAATAGATCAGTGAGATTGTTACGCAGTAAAATCTCGTATCTACCCTAAGTAGAACACTATAATACCTAGACTTGAGCTCTGTGCGGCAGTTCTCTTGCATTGAATGAGATCGTCATTCAAAATGGAACTTACCTCTATTCACACTCAGAGCGATTGTGTTGTTATGGATTAAGAGAAAGCCTCATCTGCTGAAGATATTTGTTTGTTAACCGAATTTCTAAGGTACAAGATCTTACTAAAATTGAACAGTGGCTTTACATTGCTTCTGAAGAAAACCTATCTGATGTCATATCCAGAAGTACGAATGCTAAAAATCTGCAAACAAGTCAGCTGCGGTAGAACCATGGAAGAAGAAAGGAATGGAGAGACACGACCCCCATAACACTCCCTTGAAGCCGGGACATATTTTGCTTATCAAAACATTCAATGATTTGCCATTTAGATTTATAAGTTTTGACGTATTCACAGGCAAACGTTTTGTAATTACGTCATAAATATAAGTATAAATGTATATATTTTCTTTTCTATAGTATTTCAGAATCCTACTTGTGTGAAAGAATATATTTTTTAAACAATATTTCATTCTGAACGGAATTAAATGCCTTACGTTTTATGCACTCAAAACAGTTTTAATTGAACGGAATGTTTTCACAAGTTTTCGATAAATACGTTAGAAAGAATATTCAAGGTGACTCCATTTTATTCGGTTAACGGTTACAAAAATAAAATTTAAATTTTACTTTATTATTAGTATTAAAATGAAGCATTATTTCATTTCTTTTACATGGTCTCATTCTGAAATACGTTCTCAGATATGAGATAATTTTCAGCCTCGGAGGTATCTCTTAAACAAAACCTGTGTACCTGCTGGCCACAAGCAGTAGTGATTGAGTTTCTGTGGAGAATAGACCCGCTGAGTGTAGTACTAAATAAATTTGTAATACCATCCTAAATGAGTGAAATAGTACTGTTCACGGGTTTTTCAAAATTGTTCTACTTTCAGCGAAATTGGAGAGTGCAGTCCTCTCCCACAACATTCTCCTCGGGGGTCACGATGAGTCATTGAGTAGGGTTGAACAATTTCTTTATGAATAAGTAGTTAGTTTTTACCTCGATATTGTTAGAAAAAAGACGTGCCTGAGTTTAGTCTCCTACTCAAAATCGTAAATTTGATTCTATTTATAATTTTGTTACAATATCAGCTGTTATTTTCCTTTCTTATCTTGATTGATATGGATATTTTAGACTAAAACACTAAACGAGAGAAAATCATTATATTTTGTAAAGTTTGTATTCAATATAGATTCAATATAGAAAATGTAATTTATTGAATTTGCAACGAAAGAACTAAAAACTGCTCGTTAAGACCAACGAAGAAGTTGTTTGAGAAGAAAAAATTCATTTACGTTAAACTGACACAGCAATTTACTCAGTAAAAAAAAATATTTGTAGCAAAAGCAAGACCAAAATAAGACAATATTCCAATTCCTAAATTTACATTGAAGAAGTATACTATCTACATATATACCAACTATACGATTAAGTTTTGACATATATATATATATATAAAATATTCCGCAGTTTTCAAGCTTTAAACCAACTCTACACAGTTAAGGCTAAGCGCCGAAGGATACGTTCAAGAAGCTATTTATATCGGCGATTCGTAAATTCCAAATGAATTATTAGCAATGGGTGATAAATTTTGCTAATTGTTCTTGGATGATTTAAAATATAGTGAACTTTGGTTTTTTTCAAGTAAGAAGGGAAGAGAAGTAATGTGAAGCGACGAAAAGTTTTTATGGACGGAACTTTTATAAGTGGTAAAAAGCTTTTCTGTCAAATTTACCCTACACGTTTTGATGTTGGACGCACCTTCAATGACATAAAATGTTGTTCCTCTGCTGTTTTGGTTACTACTCGATAAACGAAGGGTAATTTATGACATATTATTTTGTTTAATTAAAATCATCTTTCTGACTGTGATCCTAAAGGAATTCGGATGAATTTTGAAATCGCGCTTATACTTACTCTAGAAAAGATTTTTTCCTTCTGAGGATATAAAAAGGTTACAATTTCCACATAAATCATTGTCTCTGAAAAAGTGTAAGACTTGAGACTGTTAACGAATGTAGGCAAAATGAAGAAATTAGAACTCATCTCAGAATGTGAGCGTTCCTTACATACCCGTAGAATATGTCGATGAAGTTTGGCTGTCCATACAAGAAAATTCACCGTGTAATGCAAGATGAGTTTATTTTTACGGTTAATGATTTTATGATTACTTTTATATTTTTACTTTTTATTTTATTACGATTTTATAATTACTTTGATACTAACCCTCTCACTGCGTACTTTTTTACCTCCTTGTACGAAGTAAAATGGAAGTATTGTAATTGCGAAAAATTTCAGGCAGCATATTTCAACGAAAATATCCATTTTGACCGCTATCGAATGCAATTTAACAATGATTTTGTGTGATATCTGTACATAAGGACAGAATAAAAGACTCTTTTCCTCCAAAAAAATTATAAAACTGCTTTAAAATGAATTCTGAAGAGAATTTTTCGTGGCGTCTGTACGAACGTATTACATACTATATTCGCATAACTCAAAAACGAGTAGCCTCAGAACGTTGAAATTTTGTATATAGACTGCTATACATGTAGATGTGACCTCGTATTTGGTTGCAATCGGCGCACCAAAGTATATAAATACATTTATATATATATCCACTCTATTACCCGGCTCAGTGATCTCAGTTTCTTTACTCTATATGTTTGTAAATTGTACATTTTTTTGCTTAAAAAGGATTGAATATGTTGTTTTATCTTCCGGTTAAGGATTTTTATGCCTTTAGTAAATCTGTGTGCAATGTTTTTAGAATTATCAGCAATTTTAAAGTTGTTTTATTGCCGCTAAGCCTGTTTTTAATGGGGCCATTATGTTTCATTTGAAACAGGAGACTAGTGGATCTGTGCCAATCTAGAGAAACTAGCTTCGCAACAACAAAGAAACGCATTCATTTTTATTGCCAATTAAATCATGCTTAATTCTTTCTGGAATTTTTTCGAGGAAATAAGCGTTTAAGAATTTATTCGTAATTTTTAATACAGAATTTTGAGTTTTTATGTTTTTGCCTTCTCGCGAAGTGAGAACTGAATAATTGAATGAGAAATACTCAATCGTCTGTGAAAAAAAAACTGTGTTCCCCCCCCCCGCTTAAATTCTTTTATACATCGTCTAGCTTTATATTATGGTATTTGAATAGAACTGTGGCAACGATTAGATAATTCTATACTTTAAATGAATAAATTTTGTGCATTATGATTTATAATATGAAAGAATATATAAGTTAACTTATATAATCTTGATATATAACAGTAACTTGTTTCCGTTATATAATTATTATATAAATAAACTGTTATATAATTATTAATACTGTTGCCAGAGTGTCGCTATGGTAAAATACTAGAGTGAATTTTAAAGAATGCATTTATTCTATTGTGGTTATATGCGCTGTCGCGAAGTAGATTTAATTCAATCCAATAAGTTTAATGAAATGCAAGAAAAAATGCGTATAATTTAATATTCCAATACAAGGATCATTGGTGTATACATCAAATTTTTTTAAAAATAGGTCAAAAATTGCGTATTTTTTTATTACATATTTCAAGTCACATATTTTAGAGCTAAAGTATACAAAAATTTTTTAAAAGAGTTTTTTTCATATAGAATTAGATCATAGAAAAAGGTTGTCAAATACTGAAATTGAATAATATATTAATGAGGATGAGGAAATTTTGAAATTATATTGTTTAAATTATGATTTATTTTATAAAATACAAAGGTAAAGCATATATACTAATGAAATCAGTGTCGGAAATATCGTTAGGAATATGGGTTATATCACTCATGAAACGCTTCCTGCCAGGCATCTTTGAGCTCTGAAAAGCGCGCACAAAATGCTACATTACGTATTCTTGTATATTTGGCAGAAATGTGGACAATGAACGCCATCTGTTAGCCCACATCTAAATAAACAATTAAACATCACAGAAAGGCCGAAAGGAAATCTTGAACGGGGAAAGAGCGAGTTGCGTAGTTAAATACGTAGACGGCAAAAATTTATCCCCGCGGAAATCGCGAGTTGCGCAAATTTTCCTACTTCCACGTTGCCCGTGGAAATTGCGGGATGCGCAGCGAGAGGGGTACAGGTCGTATCACACATTCAATACTTTTTCGAAGACCAACTCTTTAGAACAATTTTTCTGCTTTGTTAGACGATATGAAACAGCCAATCATTACGGATCATTTTGAGGTTACCATGTAAAGGGGAAACTATTTCTTGAATGTAAATCTTCGTTGACGACAGGAGATTCGATGCTGACAGTTGATTGGCTGTCGAAAATGAATAACTGACACAATTTTTTGTGGAATAAAGGAAAAAATCATACTTCTTCCTTTTAGTGGTAAAGCAGGTAGAAAATTTCTTTGAAACTTTGTTCGTCTGAAAAAGATGGATGTATGATACCAGCTTTAAAGAAGTGCAAGTGTCTACATGTAAATTTGATGTTATTTTGTTGTTTTCTGAGTTTAATGGAAATGTGATCAACTCAAATGTTGAAAAAAATAAAGTTTTATCAGATATGAGTAAATGAAGATTAAATAAAATTTTTATTATTTAAGTCAGCAGCACTTTAAATGTAGCTACGTTTAATGATCTTTTATTCTAGAGAGGAAATCCAAGAAGATGCAAGAAATGCCATCAGTTACTACCTAGTTCCCTCATTTCAGAAGCTGGCAGATTTCATGAAAAATGTGAGTAATGGAAGAATTTAACGTCATGAAGCTAGTATTTTCTTAAACAGCACTCTTATTTAATAGTTTTGTTTATTGCACCAATTTTTATTTTGATTAAAGTATTGCTTTTTATGCTTTTCTTGTTCCACTTTATACTCGTATATAGTAGAATCTGTTTATAACGAAATCAAACCTTCATTATGAAAGTGAATTTGTCTGGAAAAGTATACCTCAAAATAACCAAACATTTGATACAAATAGTGAAGACATCTTGTATTTTTGTAAAATAGTTTATTTTTAAATAACCCACTACTAAACGAACTTTGTTTGGCTGTACGTTAAAAACTGAGTGTTCTGAATCGTCAGTATTTCTACTACATTGTTTTCACAATATATAATGTAGATACATTAGGTTATTTCGAAGCAGGAGAGATGTAAAATGAACAATGACCTCGCCGGGATCCGAACCACGGACCTCTCGAATACGCGCCGAGCGTGTTGACCTGAAGAAGAAGGTAAGTTAATTTAATAAAACAATGAGTAAGGAAATGGTTATATGCTGAAGTTCAAAATCTTAAATTTGGCAAGATTTAAGCATATTAAAAACAAAATCAAGTAAACTTAATTTATTTAATGAATTAAAAATGAATAAAACAAAGAGAATAGAAGAAGAATGAAGGATAAAATACCACTCACACATGCTAATGAAGATCGAGGTTAATGGCGGAACGGTAATTTAAAAATTACAAAAAAAGGAACGGCAAATTAATAATGGTAAATATTAATTATTAAAATAGGGTTAAAACGAATTTAGGCAGCAAATAATTAAAATTTACGAATAATAACAGCGAATTTAATTAGACAGAGACTGATACAGCCACAGTTCTACCAGCAACAAAAAACCATACCGCAGTCATAGCGGAAAAAGTGAAACTGTGGTCACCAACGCTAAAAGTTACAAAAATGGGCAAAATGGAGTGTACTTGAAAGTCAAAGTGAATGTAGTGAAGTATTTAAAGAAATTTCACCATTTTTGGTCGAACATCAAACTTTTCATTTTCAAAATTACAAAAATTAAAACATTCAGCCCAAGAATCTCCAAAGCATCTCCAAACGAGGATCTTTCAAGCGAGAATGCTTCCACATTTCTCGCTGGATATTTATTTTGGTAACGTAGCAAATCAAACATGTTACAAAAGTTATAAAGTCAATGCTTTATTTAAACAAGAGGGCAAATTTAAAACCGTGCGAATTATGAAAAGAATTATAAAAACGCTTAAAAATATTTAAAAACCGGAGGTAATTCAAATAGTATTTAAAAAGTAAGACATTTAATAAAATTGTAATTAAAAATTTGTAATATAAAAGGAACTGTGTATTTCAAAGATAAAGCTATATATACTGGATTTACAGTAAGACAACAATTGATATGAATACTAAGAGAGCGTGTATAATAAAAAATGTTATATAACATTCGTGTAACATGTATAAATGCGGTAAAGCTTAATTGATAAATTATGCACTGCAAGACATCACCAAAATTAAATACAATAATTAGGCACATTATCATATATTATAGTACATTTTGGTACACTGTATATTATGTATTAAATAAAATAAGGCAAAGTATAGAGTATTGTTTACTCTCTGTCCTGTACATACGAGGAAAAGGAATTTTGATTAATGAATGAATGTGACACTTAGAAATGCACTTTATGTATTATGCAGTACAATCCCCCGGGGGGCAGGCAAAGTAGAGAACTCTGCGAAGCTACTGGCTAGGACCTGTACCTAGGCAGTCTCGTCTACGGGGGTAGACAAATTACGAAATTAGTGGTTCTAGAGAGCTCGGCAATGACTCTTATTGGCCGGCCTGCGGGTCTGGCAAATTCTAGAGCTGAGGGCTCTAGTAGCCCGAGCTACTAGAGCCCTCAGTACTACTCAGTACTAGAGCTCTAGTAGTACGAGCTACTAGAGGCAGCTGGGTAATGTCCCTCTGCGATGGGTAGCTCGTGTGATTGGCAAGTGGCAAATCATAGACAACGATCGGTATCACAAAAGCGATGCGTCCAAAGTGAAAGGGGCCTTTTTGCAAGGGCTCTCTCTCCGAGGGCAGAGGTTGAACCTCTGTGCCTGATTCTTCGGGATGAGGGGTCTCTCAGTGTGGTTTAGTCTTGAGGAGAGAGAAATCCCAATACCATATACTTACTTAAACTGTATAATGTACTATTTCAAAATATAGTGGAAATATCTTTTTGCTTTTGTCTAACAACACAAATAGAAAAATAGTTTCATTAACGTGATACTAAATGATATAAGGAATAAATATATTTAACTCCCAGTTATCCGGAAGCACATTAAAGTATAATAAACCACAATAAACAAACTCAAAAAAGGTGCGTTTGTTTATTGTGAAACGATACTGAAAGTATTATCATGAACCATCACCGTAAACTCGGCGGGAAATTTGGAAAAGAGGATAAGAAAGGGGCATAGATCAGCAGCAGTGATAGCAAGATGATATCATGTACTATAACCATACTATCTAGGAGTTTTATCCACATCAGTGCGAATTTAATCGTGCGCAATCCGAGATATATATATAAAAATTTTTAAATCATCCTTGAAAATAAGGTGTTCATTTTTAAAAATAAAACAAGTATACAGCCATTGATCTCTTCCACGTTGACTTCTATCGTAAAGTAATGATGAATTATGGACAGCGATAGGAAGAAACCGAAAGAATAGGATGAATGCGCATCTCCGAGAGAGAGAATTTTGACCTTATATACCTAATTAAATTATCTTAGTCTCCAGATTAAACTGATGTTAGCTGCGAACGTCGTTTCTGGTATCACCCCAGTTAATTGATTGTTGACTGTAAAGTGGAGATAAATTTATCAGAGAAATGCGGCTACGGAAGCAAGAGGAGTATCAAATACTTCTGACCATTGAAAACAGTGATCTTTTATCAGTTGAAGTGTTCTGCGTGTGAGTTCTTCATAGCAGGGAGCAAATAAAAACTTGATATGGCCAAACTCAGGAATTAAGAAAATATGTGGGGAAGTTAAGTGAAAACAATTTGCGCAATTGCGCCGTGTGGTAAGATTCGTTGGAAGGGGGGAAAAGAGAAAAACAAACACAGAAGGAAACATGTAAATTTCCATAAAATATTTTACAATGAGTCATAAACCTCCAACTTAACATCCTACCGTTACGAAATGTACAGGCGCGGTAAGATGGCTTCCCCGCAAAGCAGTTTTAGGGTTGCCATAAATGGCTAAGGAGGAGAAGGTTGCCACATTTGGCAAGAAATCGCCCATTTGGCGATGAAATTGGTGATATACTATGGACGGTTGGAAAACTTTCTGGAACGAATTCTTACCGGTTTAGCTCAGAATTTCCCCGAACACAAGCCGAAAGCTATATAAACCCTGCTGGTCCGCAGGTTAGTGTGTGTGCCTCGTCTAGCGAGCTGATAGTCATTGAGCGAGTGTCTCGAAGTCTAGCGCCCAATTGGTCGTCGAGTGCATCGAGAGAGTCTTTTAGTGCATCGCGAATTAGTGCATCGTCGAGTTTTGTCTTAGACTGTGCTGAGTCGAGAGCTATACTCTTGTGTACCGTCGAATGCATCGTGTGGAGAGTCTCGAGAGTACGTGGAGTTCCGAGAACAACCAAGCAGAGTTGGGAGCTGTACTCGGGTGCTTTGCAGTTAAGCTGTCTCCACCGTTATTGACTGACAGTGTGAAGGCTGTGTCGCTGATTGTTCCAGCGTGTTTATAGTAGATCTTCGACGACTGTAAAAAGTGTTGTTGGAGCTGTCCTGATTAATATTGGCTAAATAAAGTGCGTTTCGATACTTCATCAAGTTTCGTCGTTATTTACTCCAAATCTACAAACCCCGTACGAACGTGAACGAAGAAAATAACGCAACAATTGATGTCAGAAGAAGAGAAAAACGTAACACTATTAAATGCTAACTACCTAGCGCTGTTTCTTCTTTGTAAGACTCAAAACCTTTCATCTTTCGTACTTTACATGCGAATGACGGTTTCTTTTATTTAAAATTTGTAATGTTAATTTCATTACTACCACGCACTCGGCACTCTGCTATGTATGTATTTATCATTTTATGCGTTTTAGTTAAATTATAATTATAGTGAAAAGAACTGTCATACTCATTCTAATGTTCTTTCCTTTTAGGAATATCGCCCACATCTTCGCCCTAAAATAGGTGTACGTAGCCTGCCCAACGGCGAAGATTTCTATAAACGTCAGCTCGCTTTTCACCTCACGGATACTTCTGTCTGTCCTGAGGAAATCCATCAGATGGGGCTGTCAGAAGTAGAAAGAATAACTAATGAGATGGAAGAAGTAATCAAATTTTGTGATTATCATGTTCCCGTTAGCCACTCTGACATACATACGCAATACATTATTTGGATCATAATGAATGTTAGCCGTGTAGCCTATGAAATTATTTTTGGCAGAAAACATATTAATATATTATATAGCATTTTAAGCAAAAGTATGTATTAAAAACACGCAATGTCCATGTTATTTAAAATAACAATAATCGCATTTACCTTCCTGTCACTTTTCCCGTCTTGAAAAGTTTATGAGTGATTACCCCCGCCACAGTGTAGATATTAGCGGTATATAAGATCATGTAGATTATTTTTTTCAACGGTATATTTGTTGAAAATAGCCTGAGCACAAACAAAATAAATAGGTATTTTGTTTTTAACATTGGTAACAGTAGTGCAGTTTAAAACAAAAAGCATTTGACATCCTCTGTAATTCTTTTAGTATCGTCTGTGATTCGATCTAGATATGTAGTGTTTTTGTAGCTACATTTTGTTTTAATGTTCATCGTAGAAATTGTGAAAATAAAAGTTTTTTCTACAAAAATTAATCTTCAAGTACCTGTTTGATGATTTTCTACCTATTAAGCTCCTTCCGGAATTTGTAAAATTGTAAAAATGTAAGACAAACGTTTTTCTAAATTTTGAATTTTAGAAATTTTGAAATTCTGAATTTGAAACTTAAAAAATTTTCGACTTTCCTGAAATGGAAAAATTTAATTACAATTTTACAACAATATTAACCAGGTTTATAACAACTATGTTCAAAGGTTTTTTTTTTCCGATTGACAGTCTCGAGAGCTGGAGATAAAAATATTTTATTCCGTACAATGTGTTGCCATTGCTCGCTTTGAAATCGTTGAGTTTGTTAATAAAAAATTCGTTAAAATTTTACAAAATATGAAATAGATAATAAAACAAATTCAAAATTCGGTCTTCCAGGTGCTCGTGTTCGGGTGGATGATTACGTAATTCAAAATTTAATAGCTCTAGGTACCGCCGTTTTCTCACAGTGCGAAAAACATATATGCATTCACTCAGATTCTTCATTATTTATTTTCTTTAAATATGATACAAGGCGATAATTTTGGTGGCAGCATTTTGAAAAGTGATTCAACACAAAATGTCATTTCGAGACTAATAACCCTTCTGGGCTAATAAATCCTATCTCAAATGAAAATTCTTTAAATAAAGGTGTGGTGTAGTGTGTGGTGTATTTATTTATGGCAAAGCACACTAGGGCTATCTGCCTAAGGGGAGGGATGCCTTCGTGGAGGACGTTCTAAGGGAAACTGGCTCGTATACACGTTACACATGGGGAAAACCACGAAAGCGCCCATGCAGCCGGCCCGTTCGCGGGATTCGAGCCTCGGACCGAACTACCAGTGTTCAGCGACTTTACCGCTCGGCCGCTGGTGGGTGGGCCCCTTTAAATAAAGGAAAAATTAAAATATTTATTAGCGAGAGGTTTTTAACATTTTATAAGGATTAATTAATTTATCAAATATTCTACTAGCAGAAACTACTAAGAACAATAGTTAAATACTTCCATTTTTCACTTTTATGTAAGACTATATGTAAATAAGATATTGAATAAATGAAATATCTGGTATATATAAATTTCATATATATAAATAAACTGTCTACCGTGTTTACTCGCTTAATAGTCGCAGCATCGTTTTGAAGTAGAAAAAAAATCGTCAAAGTTTATAATATTATGTAGTAGATTTCCTCGCATAATAGTCGCACCTAGACTTTCACAATGAAAAATCGGCAAAAAAAGTGCGACTATTACGCGAGTAGAGAAAAATTAAGTTATCAAAAGTTTGCATTTCGTAAATGGCTGCAATAAGGGAAGTCTCTTGAGTTTTCATTTTTTCTGTTTCTTCAACGTATGTTAATTTAGGAATTTTAAATTGATTTTATCTGTGATATATAATATAGCAGCAAATAATGATGTCATAAAAGCTCCATAGAGAATAAAAAAAAAAAAAAAAAAAAAAAAAAACTGGAAAATTAGGATTTACCCCCCCCCAACCTTTTCTTGAATAAATTAGTAAGAAGTATAGGGTGTCCAAGAAAAAAGTGAAAAAAGAGCGAAGCACGTATCTGAAACCATTGTGTTTATTATATAAATTGTAGTTTATATAGCTGGAGAAGAGAATTTATAAATTTTGTTCACACGGAAGACAGGAGTGCACAGGATTTCACCCTTTTAGAGAATTTCTTTGTATGATGACTTTAGATTTCTTGTGACATTTTTTGGACTTGCCTTTTTAGATTTTTTCTTCTGGAGTTTTATGAAGAAAAGAGTCTATTGAGTGCCCGTGGAAATATTGCAGATTTTGGTGTTCAAATTATGAAGGCGATAAGACTGGTCACAGTAGTGATGTTTTTTTTTAAATATTTTGAACACATACAATCTCCCGTGAACCCCGGATGTATAACAAGGAGCTTGCAAAAGTAAGTTAACTACAACATCAAATATTACATGCATAAATAAAACGAAAGAAAACTGAGAGCAGCAGTCTGTACTTCAAAAAATTGGGTAAGTTTACTAGCCGAGTCACGCCGAACGTTTTGAAATCATTCTTGAATATTGCCTAGACATAAGCCTAGTTACAAATAGCGCTCATAATAAAATATTTTTGAGTAAATCTTTTCCGGTTGTGTAAACCAAAATGCAATAAACACAGTGATTTTGGATATAAGTTACGTTTCTTTTTTATCACTTCTTTCTTTCACACTCTGTATTTTTGGCGTATTGTCAAGCTGAATCTGTCATTTAAATGCTTTAGGAGGCGTATCATCATCTTCTTGATGGATGATGTTTGTAAGATGAACGAGGGTAATATTATTCATAAAAGAAAGGATATAATATTCTTTCAAACTCCATATCAATATAAAGGAAAATAAATCATCTTTAAAGCTATTTGTCATCACGCATTAGACTTTCATATGACAGGCTGTAATAATTTATCAGCATTTTGCATCCCTTGTGGGTTCCTAATGTGATAATTCATTTAAATTTGACATCTCAAAATACGTTCACATTTTTTGAAGACACAACTTTCTCATGTTCTAAATATCGCTCTATGCCAGTAGTTATCTTCAACAGCGGCGCAGTAGTGGATATATTCGGTACAAATTTACCTGCGAAATTTTCAGTTACTGTGTACTTTACACTAGTAATTTATTCTTTTCTTTAAAAGCTACGAGGAAAATGGTTAAATAAAAGATTTCCTGCAGGCGTGTTATTTTTCGGGAACATCTTTTAGGCTTAAAATGTAGTTACATATTAAGTACTGAGAAATCTATAAAGAAACTGATCCTGTTTTCAGTTGAAGCTTTATATGAAACGCTAGAATTGAATGTTCATAATTAAATTCCGATGTACTTATTTAAACTTGATAACGTTAATAAAACTGCTAAAAGAGAATGTGGCGTATTCATTCTATTCTGAAACTGTAATGAACATTGAAATTAATAATCATGATCAACGAAATAACAGTTCGAAAAATTAATAATCGTGATGCACACAAAAGCAATTATTTATTTAAACAAAGTTTTAAAAAATAGCCAAAAACGTTCTTAGTACTCTCGATCAAGAATTTATGCTATCGATAAGACAACATTTAATCGGTGTACATTCATGCATTCTTCTATTAGAAAGACGAAATAATACAGTTCTTGAGTAAGAAGCGAGTAGGTAGTAAGACTGATAATCTTTTATTTCAGAGCAAAACATAAAGTGATATATGAAAAGAAAAGGATTTAAAGATAAGTGCTTTCTACTTTGCACTACGAGAAACTCAGTTGTTTAATTTTTTATACTATGGAAATTTCCTGTTATGTTTTTACCACCAATCCTCGAATTCCATATCACAGATTATGTTCGTACTGCATTAATATAAATATTAACAAGACATAGTGCACAATAAAAATTAAGCTTTATTTAGGAACATCGCGCATACTCCCCGACAGCCTGCCTGTTTCGCTCTGCTCGCTACTCGTAAGAAACTTCTCCTCTAGGGTTGCCACACTTATCGGAGGGCGCAAGGCGCGCTCCTTATCGCCATCACCACAGAGTTTCCCCCCAGTTCCTTTAATGGCTATTCAAAGGAACGACATAGGTTATGAAATTATCTCAGAGTATCCGTGCTGTCGGGTATTTTTTTTTGATTACAAAATTAGAATATAAAATTAGAAAAGATCAAAATGCAATTCAATATATAACAAGGTATTGACACATATAATAAACATGAAATAACAAGAAATATGTTAAGATATGAATTTTAAAAAAAATGTTTTAAATTGTTATGTAAGAAGCAAGTTTCTTAGGGAAGTGAACATGTCTTCCCGATCTGGTGACAGTTTGTGTCTTAGAGAGTTCGTTTGCAGATTTATTCTGCTGAACTGTCTTTAAGTCTTTATTTGTTTTCAGTTCAGGCAAATTAGAGTCCGAAAGCAAATAGGCTGGTTTCACACGGTCTATAGACACAGTAGATTTCAGACCGTTAACATCAATTGTGAAAGTTTTGTCCGTTCTAGAAAGGACTTTATGCGGACCTGTATATGGTTGGCACAGAGGTGGCTTTACTCGATCGACACGTAAGTATACATGCGTACACGACTTTAAGGTAGCACTTACGTAACATTTTTCTTGGCAATGTGCAGATGTTGCTATTGGATTCAATGTTTGCATTCTATGCCGAAGATTCGTGATAAATTGTGTGTCATACGGAGATATCTTAGATGACGTTATCATATCACTAGGCAGCTTGAGAGTTGTGCCGTACACCAGTTCAGCACAAGATGACTGTAGATCTTCCTTTACGGCTGTCCGAATACCAAGCATAACAACTGGTAGTGTTTCAGTCCAGTTATTGGTCTCGTGAGCCTTGAGAGAAGATTTTAAATGTCGATGAAATCGTTCAACAATGCCGTTGGACATTGGATGATAGGCTGTTGTTGTGATTCTGTTCGTACCCAAAATGCGCGTGAATTCTGCAAAAAGTGCGGATCTCATTTGAGAACCTTGGTCTGTTGTTATGATCGATGGGCAGCCAAAACGAGATATCCAACAGTTGAAGATGGCTCTGCAAATGGTTTCCGTTTTCATATCCGGGATGGGAATGGCTTCAGGCCATCTGGAGAATCTATCTATTAGAGTCAAAAGGTACACATTGCCTTCTGATGGAGGTAACGGTCCGACGATATCCATATGGATTTCTGAAAAACGTGCATCAGGAAGAGAGAATGTGCCCAGTGGTGCTTTAGTATGCCTAGTAATTTTCGATTTTTGGCAAGATTCACAGGATTTCACCCAATTTTTGATATGACGTTTCATATCGGGCCATACATAACGAGAACAAATAAGCTTCGTAGTAGCTGCAATTCCTGGATGTGACAGATTATGCAGATGATTAAAGATGAGTCTGCGAAAGGAATTCGGAACAAATGGACGAGGAATGTCTGTTGATATGTCACAAAGAATATTACCATCAGAATATTGGCACGGTTTAAAATTCCAGTTTCAAAGATGATGTGTTGTTTTTTTGAGAAGGTCTTGTACCTCCGGATCATGCCGTTGAGCTTCCGAAAATTTTTTAAAATCCAAAAATGGAGATTTTGTTATGGAATCAATTTCGATTCTTGAAAGAGCGTCAGCAACGACGTTTTTTGAACCTTGCACATGCCTAATATCAGTAGAGTACTGAGAAATAAAATCTAAATGGCGCAATTGTCGAGGTGAACATTTATGAGGGTTCTGTTTAAAAGCGTATATTAACGGTTTTTGATCCGTATAAATTATAAAATTTCTGCCCTCTAACATGTGTCGGAATTTCTTAATTGCAGAATAAATAGAAAATAATTCCCTATCGTACGCGGACCATTTCTGTTGACTTTTACTTGAGTTTCATAGAGAAAAATGCTATAGGTTCCCATGTTTGTTGAGACAACTGCATAAGTGTGCCGCCGATTGCGACGTCTGAGGCATCTACCCAGATGCTTAGCTGGGCTCCGGGAATAGGGTGTCTCAAAAGGGTAGCCTGAGCAATGGCATTTTTGGCAGCAATAAAGGCTTGTTCAGCATTCTCGTTCCAATTTAATTGTGGGGATGAATCCTGAACACGAGAACGAGATTTCTTTTTATTAATATAGCCTTCTAACAATTTTATTAAAGGAGAAAGTGCTGCTTTAGGTATGAAATATGTGCTGTGCTGCTTTAGGTATGAAACATCTGTAAAAGTTAAACATGCCTAAAAATCGGCGAAGCTGAGTGAGAGTGGTAGGTTGAGGAAAATCTAAAATACATTTGACTTTGTCAGGAAGAGGTTCAATTCCGTTTTCACTAAGGTGAAAACCTAAGAAATCAATAGACATGTTTGACCAAAGGTGCATTTTGAAACATTTATGCAAAGTCCATATTCCTGAAGTTTGGAAAATAAAGCTTTCAAATGCCTGCAATGTTCCTCAGAATCTTTAGAGGCTATGAGCAAGTCATCGACGAAAGCGTAAACGCCTTCTAAATCCCGCGTGACTTCATCTATAAAACGTTGAAAAGTCGCAGATGCATTGCATAAGCCGAATTGCATACGGGTACTTTCGAATAAACCGAATGGTGTGCATATGGCGGTTTTGTGGATGTCGGCTGGGTTAATTGGTATTTGATGGTATGCCTTAATCAGGTCGACATGACTAAAAATTTTAGTACCGTGCAATGCAGCAGTAAAATCGGCTAAGCATGGAATAGGGTATTTGTCTTTTATTGTTTGAGCGTTCAATGCTCGATAATCTCCTACAGGTCTCCATTCCAGACTTCCCTTTTTTGGAACCATGTGAAGTGGGGATGCATAATTGCTGCTCGAAGGTCTCAAATGCCCCAATTGCATCATAGTTTGAAATTCTTGTTTTGCTATTTTTAAGCGATCTGGAGCTAACCGACGAGGTTTTGCAACCACAGGTGGACCTTTAGTTATGATATAATGAACGGTGTTGTGTTTAACAGGTTGGTTAGGATCTGGTAATCTAGTAACTGAAGGAAATTCTTTTAAAATTTTGTGATATGGTGTATCACTAAATACAGTTTTTACTGAATAAATGCTTGCATTTTTCACGCAACCGACGGTTTTAAAATGCGTTTTTAAATCTTTGAGACATTTGTTTCTGAGATCAGGCACCAATTCAAAGAAATGGAGAAAATCTGCTCCAAGAATGGGTGTACTAACATTTGCTATAAGAAAAGTCCATGTAAACTGTCGTCTTAATTTGAAATCCAAAGAAAGTGTTTTTTGACCATAAACATGAATAGTAGAAGAATTAGCAGCGAAAAGTGTTTGTTGGGACGAATTCCGTTTTTGAGAATTATTTGCTGGAAGTAAGGACACGTCAGAGCCGGTATCGACCAAGAATGAAAGGTTTGTTCTACGGTCACGAACGAACAGGCGACGTGAAACTTGAGGCAAAGAATAAGTCGCCTCTATTCTTTGCTGGTTTCGTTTCCCTGCCATGAACAAGGTTTTGTACATTTGTCATCTCTACACTTTTTCCCAAAACGTCTATGATACCAGCAAACAGAATAATCTCTCCTTTTGGAATTGCTTCTTTCCTTATTGCGATCTCCGCGATTTGGCGAGCGACCACGAGAAAGAGAAATGCGATCAATACGTTTGTTTAATTTTTCTATTTGTTTAAATAATTTATCCTCAAGAGACTGATCGACTGTGCGAGAAACGGCACAAGTCCCTGGGGTTGGATTTACTTCTAAAATTCTGTCGGCAATTTCTGCAGCTTTATCTACAGTTAAATTGGAAACCGCTGCCAAAATAGACTGAACAGTCGAAGGCAAACGTTGAAGGAATAATTCTAACATTAAGTTATCAGGAACATTTAAAGATTCTGCTCGACGTTTCATATTTCTAAGCAAATCGGAAGGTTTTCGAGAACCTAATTCTTCTCCAGATAATAATTGGCGAATTTCTTGCTGAGAAGATTCTCCTGAACGATTTATTAACTCAGTTTTAAGCTTTGCATATGGATCAATAGGGTCTGGTTTCATAAGTAAATCCCGTACTAGTGAGAGATGCGATATCTGGAGGAAGATGAGCAACTACATAATTATATTTAGTAATGGATTCTGTGATAGGTTTGGGGGTGGCAAGAGCAAAAGGTACTTTCACACATAATAAACCATAAAGATGGGTCTGATCGGTTATAAACCGGAATTTGGACGGCATGAAACATCAGACATTGTGCAAGGTTTTTAAGCCAAAAATAAAAGCAAAAATTTAACTAAAGAAAATGAAATTAAATGATAAGTAGAAAACAGAATTATAAAATGATCTATAATTACTACTCATCTGTGATTCGGAGGACGAAAACCGATGTAATCCATTACTTCTGGTTTGGAGATCTTGAGTGATGGCTTGTAGTCAAAACCGAAAGTGCTTGAGAACTGTTCATACGATTTAACACAGTCCGGTTTACCATTATGGTAAATTTCCTGTTATGTTTTACCACCAATCCTCGAATTCCATATCACAGATTATGTTCTTACTGCATTAATATAAATATTAACAAGACATAGTGCACAATAAAAATTAAGCTTTATTTAGGAACATCGCGCATACTCCCCGACAGCCTGCCTGTTTTCGCTCTGCTCGCTACTCGTAAGAAACTTCTCCTCTAGGGTTGCCACACTTATCGGAGGGCGCAAGGCGCGCTCCTTATCGCCATCACCACAATACACTGTAAATTAATACAAACTCAACCTGGAAAAAAATAGTGAAATTCCGTGTTAGAAGTTTTAATAAAATAAAAAATGCGCGAATTTTCCACAGAGAAATTTCTAGTTTACCTAATTTTTCTCTTTATAGGTGATACAAAGTCTAGGATTGGATCTCACTCCGCAAGAATTTAGTGATCATGTTCGAAATGACCCTTCACTTTTCTTCTCTTCAGAAGTAAGGATATTTTTGATATTTATATTATAAAGCTATGAAACAAATGTTATTTAAAAAACACTTTGTTAATAATATATTGTGTTAAAATATACTTATAAATATATTGTGAATATACTTATGAATGTATTGTGTTGAAAGTGCATTAGAACTCCAGAAATTCGGACTTCTCAGCGATTTAGAATATTCTAAAAATGTGAATAATTGGAATATAGTAATATTAAATAGGTAATTTTGCAAACCAAATACTCTAGCTTCACTCCAACAGAGATTTTATTAGTCTTTTTAATTCGCTCTAATTATTTCTGTATTCAATTAAATTTTCCTACATCCCACACTATTGTTTTTGTTTTCATTTCTATCAATTATTCACTTTAAAAATGAGACTGTTTATGAACTTGGTTCTAAAGATTCTTAAATTATGAATATAAAGATAATCTGACTGAGAAATAAAGTTTATCTTTTTTCCTACGTTTTGTATTTTGAACAACTTTGAAAAATTTAGTCTTTCTTACTAATTTTAATTAAAAAAAGGTTAAGGGAATTATTTCTCATTGTGCTGGTTTATGAAATTTGTGACTGCTCATAAAATTAGAAGTTTTGCTGAGAGAAAAACTCTTTACTTGACATTAAGCTAAGAATATACTGAAAATTTTAAATAACGTCTCTTAATATGCCAAACATTCATATTGATATATATTATTTAAACTAAGTTATTATAAATCCTATAATTTCTACGCCTAATATATTACCTAAAAAGTTAACTATAGTGTTTTTTTTTTTTTTTTTTTTTTTTTTTTTCTTTAGGACGAAGCATTGAGCGCTTACCGCGAAGCTATGTTTAATGTACTTATGCCAAAAATGCCTGTGCTCTTCGATTATATACCTCAAAAGAAACTGAAGTGAGTGGAAATTTTGTAATATTAAAGTTTAATTAAAACTTAAAAATTTACATATATGTTTGTTTTATATAAGTTTTAAACAGTTGCTTTTAATCTCAGCAGTTTATCATTCTTATTCATTGTTCAATTCAATTATTATAACAATAGTAATGCTAAACATTTTATGCAATAGTATGATGTTACTTCAAAGAAGAAATATTCATAGCAATCAGGCTAAAAATGCGTAATTAATCGGCTGGCAAGAAAATAATTTCGGTTAGCATAAATAGGTAACGTTTGTTTGTTATTCTTCTGTGAATCTTGCAATTTTTTTTCTTTTGAGATTTGGCAGGTTAAACTTTTAGATGGCTATCGAAACAAATTCCATGTATTTTTGTTTACAACTGTTAGGTTACGATCAGTTTCAACATGAAGTGTAAAACATTTTTGACATATTTTACTTTTCTTTTTTTATAAAGACAAAACACACATTGCTCGCAAAGAGATACGGGGAGATTTCGGTGTCCATTGTTTAAAGGAATGCATGTATCGGAACTGGTTTAGAAACTTACCGTGATTTTTCATTTAAAGACGACCAGCGTTCTGCTCGACCTTCTGAAGCTGTTGATGAAAACATTAAACCCGTCAGATCATCATAACTGTGGAAGAGATTGCAAAATGGTTAAATGTATCACACCCAGCAGTTAAAGATCACTACCTTGAGGTTATGTAGATAAGCTTGAAATTTTGACTCGATGAAACCAAACGTTAACTGACTTTGATTTAAGGATACCGTTTTACTTTAAAGATACGAATATCTACGTCATTAATCCCTTTAAGATTTGAAAAGGGACTTACTGGTTTTTCTCAGTTAAATTTAATCCTTTATGTCCCAGATTACTTTATTTTTTTAAAAAATACTTTTAAACTTTTTAATTATATTTCTTTATGCATGAGAAATATCTTACGCTAAACTAACAAAAAATTTGTAATTTTTTCATTTTTTTTAAATTTAAAAATTGGGACTTAAAAGTCCCGTTGGGGCATAATTTTATCCATATAAGGTGGTGCTAGTAATTAATAGGCCAAATAAAAGGGAATAATTTTTAATTTTTAACTTATTTAATCATTTTAATTAAAAGGCCCACCGGCGGCCGAACGATAAAATCGCTGAACACTTGTAGTTCGGCCCGAGGTTCGAATCCCACAAACGGACTGGCTACATCGGCATTTTTGGGGTTTTCCCCCATGTGTAACATGTATGCGAACCAGTTTTCCTTAGAAAGTCCACGAAGGCATCCCTTCTCTTAGGCAGATAGCCTTCGAGGCATTGCCGTAATCACATAAATCAAGCATTTTAATTAAAAACATATTTTCTCTTAGAACAGAATAATCATTTTTTATACAAAAATGTCATTCATTGTGTAAATCATAAAAACTTTCTTTTTTTCATTCGCACAGAGGAAAATTTTGGATAAGGCTCATTGAAAATGTGGCTTTGATTCAATTTGTTTTGATGAACGTAATTCACAACGCCTCTGGATATAACAAAAACTGGCCAGTGTGCTTTTTTATTTTGTTTACTAATATCATCAGATACCGAAAACCTTGTACCCTACTTTTCGATGCAGATGACATCTCAGAGGAATAGTAGGGAAGAGTAGATGGATGACATTGAAGCAATGGCAGTTTCTCTACCAATTCGCAAAACACTGTATACGAATGGCAAGAGCGATACCCAAAATTCCACGAAAAAATGGGGGAGAGGAGTTCCGATCATTTCCCCCTATTTAATATACAAAGATTTCAACATATCACTCTCGTCAACACCATCCATGCGGCTATAGTATATAGCCCTCACTATTATATACACTATTATTATTATATATACACTATTATTATTATATATACACTATTATTATTATATATACACTATTATACTCACTATTACCCTCACTATTATAAGGGCTACAACATAGAGTTTGAAACTGTCCTTTATATTTCTTTGAATAGTACATGTCTTGGTTCCATGGTAATTTGACGAAAAGAATAGAGAAACAGTATCTCTCCGTGTGAAATAGGAAATCCTTTAGTCTGTAATACGAAAGTCAAAATATCCTCTTTTCAAATTTTTATCTTTGAACAGAATTGGCAAGCCTTTATGATTGCTTCTTACTGTGTCACATGCACTTATTCCAAGAGATTTTAGATACTTGAAAAGTTCAAGTGACAAAAAGGAGTGATTGAAAAAAGTGAAAATATGAATGAAAAATATAAATAAAAATAGGTTTAAATGAAAAATTAGGTGTCTAAAATGAAAAAATAGAATAAGTTAATGTCAAAATTAAACTCGACATTTGGAAAAATATACCAAAAAAAAAAAAAAAAAAAAAAATCAGATTTTAAATTACGTCAAAAGGGGCGTTTTTTAAAATTTTGTGTGTTACTTCTTTATAAATATCATGTCCTCGCACTTAAAATAAGATCCAGTGCACAGCAATATCGCAAAATTTTTAAAACGAGCATATCTTTAGAATTTCCGATACAGAGACTAACGCGCTGGAGATAAAAATGTTTTTTCTGCACAACGTTGCCATTGCTCGCTTTGAAATCCTTGAGTTTGTTAATCAAAAATTCGTCAAAGTTTTAAAAAACATGGAAATCGATCATAAAACAAATTTCAAATTTCAAATTTGGTCTTCCACATGCTCATATTCGTTGGAGGATTACGTTATTCAAAATTCGATGACTCTATGTACCGTTGTTTTATCACAATACGAGAAATATACATACATTTATGCAGATTTTTCATTATTTAATTTCTTCAAATATAATGCAGGACTCTAACATTTTGTGGCAACAGTTTGAAAAGTGAACCGACATTTATGAATCCGACGCAAAATGCCAAAACGAAACTAATAGTCCTTCGGGATTCAAATCCCTTTGGACTAAAAAAAAAAAAAAGAACAGTAAGGTCTAAAATATACATTACTTATAAATTAAGGTCTCAATGTCCCAGGGAGACTTTTCAGTCCCGCAAAAAGATTATTTTCCTTACTCAAGAAAACTAAAGGTTTGACTGTCAAAACTTAATCATAACGTAAGTGAAATATATTAAACATGCACAAAAGTATGAGAGATATATCTCAATAATTAATCAGTGATCCAAGGCTTAAAAACTAGGTAATAGCACTTCCGCCAAAATAGCTGTTTCAAACAATGTGTTAGCAGATAAATACCTCTGGAAATCTTCGCCATGCAAAACGAGCTCCTGTTGCCATCTAATTTTGGTAAATAAAAGCTTAAAATCAGAAACTTAAAAGCTTCAATGGGATCTTATTGAAAATTTACGTACTGCTGAGCGATTTTATTGATGGGACTTAGTTCCGTAGGGAAATAAAGGATTAAGTTTATAGTACGACATAATTTATGAGGCACTTTAAAGACTTAACGTCTTAAGTTTCTCCATTTCTACGATTACTTTTTGATGTGATGTCAGTTGTTGGTTATACAGGGACTATATAAGTTCTAAAATCTGCAGTTCATTCTTAACAATTATCGCAGATATTGATTTATTGATCCTTTACGTACTAAATTTTAATGAATTTTGAATTCAGTGTAAGGAAAAATTTGACTATTATAAAAAATAATACATTAAAAGAAATTCCCTTCGACAAGAATTCCTAAGAAAAGACATCTTGCAGTAAAACCGTTTGAGATATTTCTTTAAAAAATATTCCACATAAGGCAAAGAGCCTTCTGAAGTTTTACCATTCAAATTCATCTTACATTCTTTTACAAATATTTTTATAAAAATGAAAATAACAGCTTGCTCGTTAATAATATTTTATTTAATTTTTAGAGTGGAAAAAGTTCCTAAAGAAGTGGCATCGGGCCCGAGAGCTTATTACATGAGACCATCACCTGACAACTCAACGCCCGGTATCTTTTACCTGGACACTTCATCGTTAGAAGACATGTAACCAGATTTCCATTTTTTCATATAATCTGTACTGCTCTAATCCTCCTGACGAAAAATCCTGTTTTCATTTATATAAAAAGTTGATTATTAATTTATGTTTTTTCAATGCTATATCATTGTTCTTAGATACATATTACGGGTATCATTTAATTGGTTAATTAATAAGCATGCATTTATGAATAATTAACCATTATTACAGTAAGTTAATTTTGGCAAATTTCTTTTCCAGACCCAAATATGAAGTGATGACTCTGTCAATGCATGAGGGAGTTCCCGGTCATCATTTTCAGGTATAAATTTTCCCCACATCGCATGTAAAGAGGGGATGCATCTAATTTTTTTCCCTAAAATTATTTTATAAGGAGTTTGTAATAAAATATTTTTTATTGCGTAAGAAATTAACATTTTTTTAATTACAAATATTATGAGAAATAGGGAAGTTAGATTAGTTTATAGTATTAATTCAAGATTGTTAATTATGTTATTATTGTTCAAAGACTCAAATGCTTTTTGATTTCTATACAAATGTCTCAAGTTTAAATTACTCAGTTTTGCTTGCTTTTTTACCTTTCTAATTTTAAATTAAATTTAGGTTGTTCGCACGCAAATAACTTATCAAAAGATATTGATATTTTAAGATTTAATCAAGATTCATAAAAAACAGTACTCTTACATTTTTTTAAATTTATTTATGCTCAAAGAAAATGATACCAGTAACAAGGGGAAAACGCTCTAAACAAAAAGGGATAAATGATATGGAACTTTTTGAGGAAGTAAAATTCTCTGTAGCAAAAACGGGTTGACGTATTTTCTGTTAGGAAACTGGATATCCACTCGTAAAATATTTTTCAAAATATTTACGCCTTTGGTAAAAATTAATAAATAAATATTGTATTTGCAAAAATCCTAGCAGTACGGTTTACCTAAATTAAGTCTTGATGCGAAATTCTGACTTTACTTTTCTCGGCTGTAGAATTGGATCATTAGCGCTGTTTTCTAAAAAGTGCTCTTTAAATTTTGAATTTATTAAATGAACATTTTCTTTTGTTAACTTCTTCGGTGGGTCAAAACACCGTTGCACAATTTTTCTTATAATTTTGCCAATTAAAAATCGAATCCAATCTAAGAATCATATATCTACAATTATGTCATATTACTTAATTAAAATGTAGGGCATTCATTCAATTGCATTTGTATTATTAAGTTATTAATGATGAAAACCTTTTAAAATACCACTCAGGAAAACAAAAGCACGTTATTTTATCAAGACATAGATGTTCGTAAGAGCAATTTTTTTTTTAAGTTACACCAAACCATATATTGATGTTCATTTTGGGTTTGGTTTTTAAAGAATATTTTATATTTCTTATGTCTACAATACATATAATCCATTTTAATCCATTAAATTATTTAAATCCATTATAATCCATTTTATTCCATTAAAGTTATCTTTATTGTTAATGCGATTTTTAAAAGTGATCATTATTTATTTTCAAGGCATCATTTAGGTCGAAATGAAAAATGGTGATTTATCGGCAGACTCGTGGGGACGTCAAACACAAATGGATTAGTCAAAATCTGAATATTCCTGAAAGAGTCTTACCAAAAACTTGGAATAGCTCTTTAAGCCGCAAATCAGTTAGCAAGGTCAAGGTTGGTCAAGAGTAACAAATTGTCTACGAGTGTAACATTTTTTATCTACAAAAGAATTAGTTTTAGACCTTGAAACCGCCACAGGAGCTAGAATCAGTCTTTCTGCCGCTGCATAAAAGCTTCATCAGTGTAGACTTTCTGCGAGGAAATCAATGACCTGTATCGCACTCATTTCATCTTCGAAAGAGACCCTTTAAGATGGTGTCGTCATCTTATTAAGGGGACTCATACACCTTAAACCCCTCATGATCTTCGAATATGTGACTGTTGCAAGAATTGGGATATTTTATTTATTTTAAAAGCAATTACTTCCAACTTTTTACAGCTGACTACACAATATAGCTGCATTGGAAACTAGTAACCAAAAAGTTTGTGTTGCCACAAGTATTTTTGTAACTTAATCCTCTTTGTGACAAAATATTTCGCCATGTTTCCACCTTGCGCGCATGATATTTTAAAAATGGCTAATGGTACATACTTGAAATTTCATGGAATTCTTTATATGGGCACTATTTTTTAACTGAACCAACAATCTGATGAATATTTTAATATTGAAAAATTTTATGGACGAAAACATTAAAACATTTTTTAATAAAATACCTTTTATAAATTCAACTCAATAAAATAAAAATTTAACATATTTTTAAAATTTTAGGTTCACAGTAGTTTTCAATGTTTAAAAGCTGTATATTAAATGGATTAATTATGAAACAGAATGTTTTAAACTATGCGCGCAAGTTGGAAACATGACGAAAAATGTTGTCACAAGCGGATTAAATTATAAAATTTTTGGCAACACAAACTTTCTGATTACTTTTCAGAGAGCAGCTATTTATGTAGTCAGCTGTAAAAAGTTGGTAGTAATTGCTTTTAAAATAAATAAGTTATCCCAATTCTTGCAACAGTCACCTATTCGAACATCTTATGGGTTTTAAGGTGTATGAGTCCCTTTAAGATAAAAGGAATGAAACTGTGTAGCGAGTTCAGATATAGCCCGAACTGTGACTCCAGACTTGTCGATCTGCAGCAAGCTAACAGGAAGCTTGCCTTCAATGCAACTTGTCTGCAATTTTGTTCATGAAATACCTTATTTCCGATCTCATGGTCTGGAATGGAATCATGAAAAATGGCTGCGTCGAGGTATATATCTTTCGCGGGGTTTTATAACTTGTCACAGATAACAGATAAGAATAGAGAAGGACTTACAACTCCGTATAGTACAATTAGAAGTAATGCTGGCCCAGAAATGTTACTAATGGATGACAGTGCTCGTCCTCATCGAGCATTTCATGTATCAGTCAGAATGTTTGGAGAGAGTCACTTGACGGAATGGCCAGCTTACACACTATACTTGAATCCATCTGAGCATATGGGATGAAGGGCCACCGAATGAAGTGCTCCAAATAACTCCGCGGACCTTTCAAGCACTGAAATATACGCTTTTAGAAAAGTGACGGGTACCATAAGAACTGACAAGCATTTTGTTAATTCTATGAAATCATGATCTGAAGTTTGCATTACTATGACAGGTGGCATACACCATCATAAAAACAGTTTTGTTGCAAAATAGAGAGAGATCATTCTTTTATCATTATTAAATTTCCATAAATTCAATATTTTGAGATTAAGCAACTGGAAACATGGTAATTTATACTAAATAATGCTTTTTTTTACAATTTGCATTCAATCATTTCTCAATAAATAACAACCAAACTTTATTTCCCTCATAGCCTTTAATTTTAATGAGCAGTTTATATGCAACTTCAGTAAAATTTTATAAAGATTTAACTGACATAATTTGATATAATTCTCGTAAAGAATCAAATCTGTAATAGTTATATAAGCAAAAGTTTGCTTGAAAGCTTTATGTAACCAAATTTTTCACGGAAATTCTTACTGCTCACTTGCTCCTCAGTATCTTTTTTCTACTCTTCGTCCCCGTAAGACCAACAATGCTGCCCTATTCAGCGTCACAGGTGAATGATGGCACTTGTTTGGGGAAACTATGCCTTAGAGCATTTTTAGACCCAATGAAAAGAAGCCTTCCTGACTGACACACCATTTATCACAGTATAATTTCATCCTACAATATAAAATTCCATGTACTAGTAAATCATTAATACGATAACTATATACACTGAAGTGACAAAAGTCATGGGATAGCAATATGCAAATATACAGATGGCAGTAGTATCGCGTAGAAAATGTATAAATGCGAAGTGCTTTGGCAGGGCTTTCATTGTGTTCATTATTCTGTGAAGAGGCTTTGACGTGATTATGGCCGCACGACGAGAATTAACAGACTTTGACGCGAATGGTAGTTGGAGCCAGACGCATGGGTCATTCCATTCGGATCGTTAGGGATTCAACATTCCGAGATCACAGTGTCACGTGTGCGAGATACTAATTTCGGGCATAACACCACCATGGACAGCGCGTGCCGACCACCTGCACTTAACGACCGAGACTAGCGACGTTGCGTAGAATTGTCAATGTTCACAACAAGCAACACTGCGTCAAAAACAGCAGAAACAATGTGGGACGTACGAGGGACGTGTCCGATAGGACAGTGCGGCGAAATTTGTCTTCCTTGGGCTATGCCAGCAGAAGACCGACTCGAGTGCCTTTACTGACAGCACGACATCGCCTGCAGCGACTTTCGTGGGCTCGTGAACATATTGATAGCAATATGCAAATATGGACCCACGAAGCCATGGACCCAAGTTGTCAACAAGGCACTGTTCAAGCTGGTGGTGGTTCCATAATGGTCTGGGCTGTTTTTAGATGGCAAGGACTCGATCCTCTGGTGTAACTTTTCCGATCATTGACTGGAAATGGATACCTTCAGCTACTTGGAGATCACTTACAGCCATTCATGGGCTTCACGTACTCAAACAACGATAGGATTTTTATGGATGACAATGCGCCATGTCACCGGGCTACAATTGTTCGCGATTGGTTAGAAGAACATTCTGGACAATTCCAGCGAATGATCTGGCCACCTAGATCGCCCGACATGAATCCCATCGATTATTTATGGGACATGTCGAGAGTTCAGTTCGTGCCCAAAACCCTGCCGTCAACACTTCACAATTAGGGACGTCTATAGAGTAGCATGGCTCAATATTCCTGCAGGGGATTTCCAACGACTTGCTGAGTCCATGTCACGTCGAGTTGCTGCACTTCGCCGGGCCAAAGAGGACCGACAAAATATTAGGAGGTATCACATGACTTTTGTCACTTCAGTGTACATTCCATGTATAAAGTCATGTAAATTCATTTTACCATTTCCATGTAGAAAAATACTAGTTATCATTAAAGTAACCTGTAACTCATAGCTGAGAACTTTAGAAAGATGATTTTGTGTTGGTTAGTTACCAGAAGAATTTTAGACTTCTGGAATTTTAGATTTTGAGTGTGTTAACACTTACCAGCTGGAAGAATCATATATTAAGAAATATAATTTACATTTCGACAAGAAATTGATAATGTTTATAAGTTAAAATATTAAATAAAATGCTTAATAGTAAGTGTACATTTTATTTTATTTATTTATTTATTCCTTCCAGATTTCTTATGCTATGGAACAAACTCACTTCCCCAATTTTCGGAAATACGATGTACATAGCAGCGCATTTGTAGAAGTAAGTATGACCTTTAAAACGCATTTATGCACTCTACGCGTGATAATAATAATAATGGCAGGATTTTGAGTTCGTTTTTGTGATAATAAACACTATACAAGTGCAATATATTCTGAAATATTTTTAATAATTAATAATTACCATCCCTCCCAGCCTTAACACATTTACAGACTTTTCCAATATATACGTAAGTGAGATATGTTGGAAGGCTCATTACAGCCATTGTCGTACCGTCCGTGAATCTAAGGAAAAATTACAGAAAATTTGGCAACAAGTTTCGAAGGCCAGCATCTGACATTTGAATGAATTCATGCCAGACAGAATATCTGCCCCCGGGCATTATCGCGAATGGGACTACATATATTATATATGTATAACATTTTTATTTCTAAGCTTATTTAATAAATATAATGACTGTTATACAGTTTTAATTACTTTATTTAATTATTACTTCTTTTTATTAAAAGAGGTAATAATTGAATAGCAATAATTAAAACTTCTTCATTGCTCATTTCAACTTTCATTATGATGGAGTAATTTTTCTAGATATGTATAGATACTTTTAACATAGAATATGTTTAGAAAGATTTGGGCGATGAAAATGCACTTGCTTATAGTTTCAAATGCAATGATGTTAACTAAATTGTTTTTAATTGTTGATTTTAAAACGTTATATCAATAATAATTATAGTTTTGGAAACAAATGAATTAACTGAATTTTAAAGTATGAAAATACTCATAAATAATATTAATGCTCTTACAAATAAAAAATTAGCAGAATTAAATTTTAATTAAAAATTCAGAATGTAAATGAATGAAGCACACGAGTTCATCTTTAATGCTTTGTATAATTTGAAAATCTCTTCATTGTGAATATGAAGTTATAAACTTAAATAAATTTCAAACCAGACACGTTTCATAATCCCATTACTAATACGCTTTGAAAGAAACGTTAAAATTTTTTGAATGTGTAACTGATTTTTTAATTCAAATAACGTCAGATTATTACAGCATTAACGATCTGGATAAGCTACTGCAAATCTACGTAGCTGTGCGAATTGGAAATTCCCACAGCAGTTTCTAAACTTAATTTATTTTTCCTGACGAACTTTCTACTCTGGGACTGCTTTCCAATCTTGACGCAGGACATTTTAAATTTTTCTTTGAAACCATAAAAATACATTGCATATAGCTTAATAATTTGATTAGACTGCAAACAATATATCTGCTTCCTAATCATTTTTATTCGTATTTCAAGAATATGTTTGTTTGTATTACAGCATATTTTCCAAAAAAAAATGCGAAGATCGGATTTATAAAAAGTACATAAGATAATTTATATAAATCGTTTTTAACATACTACCGACTTAATTATATTTTTGGAAAATTAAACCATCAGTAATTTAAATTAAACCATCAGTAAGTAGTTATCGTAGCTATAGATTGGTTGTTCTGTATACCATTTATAATTTGTCGCATCTGCTGTAAATCCACTGACATCTAAAAGCTAGGCACATAATGCAAATTAGCAATGTTCGAAACCGTAGTTGAATTTTAATGACCGAAAATAACTGCAGATGCAGATGGCAGTATGCAAATATCGTATGCCACAGCCAATCACGATTAATTGAACGAACATATATTAAAGTAAAAAAAATAAAAAGTCCTGTCCTAATCCGATAAAAAAGTGTTCATAGCGTGGAAAAGCAAAGTTAAAAATTTTATTTATAAATCTTGCTTAAATATACACAAAAAATATGTGCAGAAAAATCGAACGAGACTTGAACATAGACCATGATAACTAGGCAGTCACTGCCCGCCCCAGCATTCTGAAAGTTTTGAGGAGAATAATTTAAATGCTGATACGAAGATGCTTATAACTTTCTTAACATGATTTTCGTTGATATTCGTGTCTCTATGGCTAAAGGATGACGAATGTCAGAGAGTGTGCGCTGGCGAGCTGTTGGTCGCATTGAAGTAGGACAGTCAATTGCTGATAGCTCCCTCTTCTATCGCTATGGTCATTTTTCGAATTTGGAAACACTTACAAACAAGTCAAACAGCTGTCCGGAGACTTGTGCTGGTCGACCCAAGGTTTACCATCTTTTCTGAGAATTTGTATATTGGTTTAGTAGTAAATGGAATCTACGAATGACGTCCCGAACTGCTACATTCACTTTTACAAAGTCACTTGGTTATGAATATGGGCCAGTAATGTGCGCCGAACGCGTCACATGAAGGAATTGTACTCTGTGATACTAAGTGTTTGTGTTCAACTAACTGCCTGATCCAGAAAAGCTAAATTAAAGAAAGATTAAAGTGGTGTCGTCAATATTTTGTTGAACTATTTCTGACTGGCGAAACGTCCTTTTCCCGGACGAGTCTACATTTGCCTAGAATCAGAAAATAAGCGTGTAAGGGTCTAGAGGAAACGAGTTATATAGAATCAGCCCCAAAACATCATCGAATATCACTCATTCAGAGATACTAGAATCATGGTGTGGGCTGCAATTTCAGTGGGATATCGCACTCAGTTGCATATCTTTAAAGACGATTATGTGAGGGCTGTGAAATTTAGAGTTCTACACCTCACTGTGAGAATCTAAGCTCCAGTAGTTGGTCATAACTTCCTGCTTGTGGATTATAATAGTCGTCCCTATTCAGCAACATTGTTAACGAGTATGTGGGAAGCAATGGCATTTCCCACAAGGAGTGACCGTGTTCCACAATCTTAATGCTACTGAAAATCTTTGGAACACTCTCGGCGTGATGTCTATGCACGTTTACCTCCTCCAGCAACTTACAGACTATTGGAAACTACTCTATAGAAGAATGGTCATTGCTAACATCTGCAATGGTTAATCATCTCACTGAAAGCAACTACAGCAACCACCGTGACAACAGCTTTGCTTCGGGAAGAAGATGGATAAGCATGAAAGGTCAAGGTGGACATATTCTTTATTATAGAAACTTAAATATTGTTTTCATATTTGTACGTAATGCTCGTTTGCCTTAATTGCAGAAACATATTTGCTACCTTCATGCGCAATTTGGTTCTTATCAAAACTTTATTTATGCATTTTTGTTGGTTTTACCATCGCGTGCTTAACTTTTGATGTCGGCGTATAATTTTGATTTTCTAATCTCCGAAGTAATGTGGTTTATGTAAATATGATTCCTTTCCTTAAACTGTATTTTCAAATTCTTCCAAGGAGATTAATTCCGGAACTTTCAATTTCAGATCTCTATTTGGGAATAATTGACATAACTCTAAAGACATGTTCAAATGAAGCTGCTGAATGTCAGTATAATATACAAGTATTGAAGTATCCTTAAATTCTTATCCAGTATTTATTTTTCAGGGATGGGGTCTGTATGCTGAATATCTTGGCTATGAACTAGATGTCTATGACGATCCCTATATGAGGTAAGCTTTACTGTTGCTGCCCACCAGCGGCCGAGCGGTAAAGACACTAAGCACTGGTAGTTCGGTCCGAGGTTCCAATCCTGCGAACGGGCTGTCTGCATGGGCGTTTTCGGGGTTTTCCTCATGTGTAAAGTGTATACGAGCCAATTTCCCTTAGAAAGTCCTCCACAAAGGCATCCTTCCCCTTAGGTAGATAGCCCTAGTGTGCTTTGCCATAATTAAATAAACCAAACACCAAACCTTTACTGTTGCTAACAAAAGTCCATAACTCTGGATGCTATGGTAAAATGAATAAGCAATCAATAATTAATAAAAAGTTTTCTTAAGATAGCTTTCTGAGTAAGAACTGGCAGTCATAATAAGATCTGAGTCTGATGCAAATGTAACCTTTTTTCTTCACAGGAATCATTTTGAACTAACTGATAATGACCAATAATTGTTTTCTTGTTATGTTTTATATATAAATATAGTATGTATATATACTGAGAGATTTGTTAATAGCAGTAGCTTTATATGCTCTATATCTTGAATAATTTGTATGACAAACCACATTAAGATTACCTGCTTTCAGGAAGCAACACCTTAGCAGACGATTTTTTTTAAGAAATTGGCCCGTAACTACGTTACACACGGCGATCTTTTCTTCCTTAACAATCTATGCAAATAGTTTTGAAGATGATTACCCAATAATCAATATCTATTGCATGGTCATGTGTAGGTTATGTCTGCATTCGTAACAGCAGAAGTTTGTCTGCCAGAACGTGCTTAGTCGATCACTCACATGTTACCGCTCTAAAGTGTTTCTGTCATTGAAACACTCAAGCACGGCTAAATGTTTCGCCAACGTATGAATAATGCAATTTTTCAAGTGTTTTTTTACAATTTTTCCCAATTTTTCAATCTTATCTCTATTGTAAAGTCATGCGGACGCTTCTTTACCGTTGCAATTTACCTTGCAAGTATCCTTAAATTGAAAGTACCTTGCAAGTATCTTTATAAAAAAAAGTTAAATTAAATTTTTCAATCTCATCTCTGTCGTAAAGTCATGCGGACGTTTCTTTACCGTTGCAACAAAACATACTAGATCAGTGGTTGTCAACCTTTTGATTAACGCGTACCATCTAAACAAAAACTGATGATTATTTTTCAGCTTTTCAATAGAAATATTAAAATATATGTATATATAATTCCATTTCTACAACCTTTTGGCTATTTTTATTAAATATGCACGCATAAAAATATTAGATTAAAAATTGGTTACCATTTTACTTATCAAAATTTTGAGTTATAATACTTTAAAATTTATTTTGAAATTTGGACCATCATTAAATAACCATCATTTGTTTTACAACCATCATTTATGAGAAATTTGGTTATGTCTATAGCTGGAAGAATATTTGTGAAAATTAAAACGGATTATCTTGCTGAAGTCTCTTGATTGGCTATTGACTCTGAACAAAGCTGAGATCGCATAAATTTACGAGCGTTAGAGAAAACATTTAAACAGAATGTTGCGGTATTTAATTTTTGAATTTAATAGTTAATGCTTTGTTTCTTTGCGTACCACCGGTTGAGAATCGCTGTACTAGATGTTTTCACGTACTGTGATCAATTACTGGTAGGCCATGATTTTCGAACTGCTAATTCCCTCGCGTAACATCGGGAAGCAGGACCAGTTTGAAAATTTTTTAATCAACCATTGTATTTTAATTTACAACGTGTCGACTCACAGAGGGCATGGCACATGCATCTGCCAGGCACTAAGGATCCATTTAAGCGATTCTTCATCAAGAAAGCGACCGTTCTTAAGAAATTTAAAGAATATAAGAGAAAAACTAGAGGCCGGGGGACCTGTGTCATTCTGATTAGTGTGTCCCTCTGTAATGAAAAAGCTATAGAGTGAATAACATATGGACTGTATATAGTATTATTGCACATAATGACTGTAGTACTGTTCGTAATGAAATACAATTACTGTACCTCTGAGCGTTATGACCGGATTTATCCGGTCATCAGAAGTTTTGCTACTTGGCATATATTGGCTTATAATTTAAAACATTTTGTTTTCTTACTTTCTTTAATAATGTAAATATAATCTTAATGAATGTAAGTTTATGAAAATACGGACTACAATAAGTAATTATACAAACTCAATTAATAAATCCTGTTTAAATGCCGGTCTTCATGACGGATCTAAAGTCCTGCGCCGCTCAGAGGGTTAATGACAGCAGTACTGACTGTCATGAGTAAGAGCACTGTGAGTAAAGTCCAGTACGGTATAATATACAAAGAACTACTGCCCTTAATATAATGCGTGACGGGCAATGTAAAATGTATTTAATGAATAGCATATATATTGAATTTAGTATTATTGTACCCAATGAATATAGTATTCTGTATGTTATATTTAAAGTATTGCAATAGTAATTTTTGTTATGTAGTATTTGAGCAATTTTGTATTGTGCTTTTTATAGCGTTCAACTATTTCGTATAATCTATTATATGTTGAATTTGTTGTTATTGTAATTAATGTATTATTATGTGTGTTGGATGTCCATTTGAATTTATTAAGTGCTAATCTTAATAATGGCTATGTAGAATATAAATTCAATAAACTCCCGATGCAGCCTTTGTAGGCTACCGTGGTGTTCTGCTCTAGATAGCTGCGAGATCCGGATAACACCCGATCAGTATATGATCCGAACCCTCCCGGGTGTTCGGATCTGCTCTCACCTGTTCACTTGCATTTTAATTTGACCCATTTCTTGCAGTGTAGTAAACAGGGAATAGGTAGCTGTTCTGTTGTGAGCTATCAGCTTTTAATTTCGTAACTGTGGGAAAGTGGATTATGTAATACAGATACACAGATTATTACAGCATGTCAGACATTAAATCATATTTCACACATAGTAAATACATATTTCAAAATGTTACTACATCTTTTCCATATTACACATTGCTACTTAAATACTACAACTGCTAAATACTTTTCAAGCATATGAAAAGAATAGATCAGGTAGAAGATAAATAAGACACTCCGCTTACTGTGAGTCATTAAATTCTTGTTACCAATTAACGTCCTATTTAAAACAATAAGTTTTACATATTAAAACGTTTACTTAATATTTCGGACAGAAAATCACATTTTACACAATTAAATTTGTAAATACAGGGGCAATTCGGAAACGAAACTCCGTTGTGGCGTGGCACTAGTAGTAATGGGCGGAGAGCAATGATTGCTACATCAAGCAATCTGCAATTCAGTAAGATTCCTGGTAAGAGGATCGTACTACCGTGCATGTGTTGTGACGTCTCAAAATATGCTCAAATTGACAGTCATGCCAAATGCGAAGTAAAAAAGTAACAAAATTTCCTTGGACAAAAAAAAAAGCTGTTAATGAAGACATTCATCGTGAACTCTATGTCATACACGGCCCAAACATTACGAGTGAAGGTGTAGTACGTCAGTGGATGAGATTTTTCAAAGACGGAAGAACAAAAATTCGCGATGAACCAAGGAGTGGGAGGCCATCTGTAGTCAGTGATGATCTCGTCAAACAAATTGACGACAAAATCCGTCCGTTTCGTCGATTCTCGGAACTTTCACAACAAGTTTCGAACATTTCCCGGAGTGTTTAGTACGAGGTAGTCACCAGTAAATCAGGCTAACGGAAGTTCTGTGCTCGACGGGTGCCGAAAATTCTTGCAGAATCCACAAAAACAATCGAATGTGAGCTGTCTTAGGCATTCTTTTCCGGTGTGACTGGCGGTGAGCGCATGTAAATGCTGAGACAAAACAACAATCAATGTTATGAGGTCATATCGCTAAACCGACTGAGGAAAGCCCGTCAAAATTTGTCAGCGAGAAAGATTATAGTCACTGTGTTTTGGGACACATGGTGCGACAATCAGTTCTGAAGTTTACTGTAACACTTTTAGAAAACCGAAAAGAACCATTCAAAACAAACGCCGCTACCTTCTGACATCTGGGGTTGTGTTACTTCACGATAACGCTCACCCTTACACTGCTCAGCGAATACATGATCCTTTGCACCAAGTCAAATCGAACATGTTTCAGCATCCCCCCTACAGCTTGGACTTCGCTCCTTCTGATTACCATCTGTTCCCTGCAATGAAGAAGTGGCTTGGAGCAGTTCTCTAACGATGAGGAACTTCAGAGCGCTATGGCAAGTTGGTTGAAGTCATAGGTGGCTGAATTTTATCCAGAAGGGATAGGCAATTTGGTAAAACGCTATGACAAGTGCTTGAATATACAGAGTGGCAATGTTGAAAAATAGAAGACAGCTATACCTTTCAGATGTAAATAAAAAATTTGTTGAATCTATGCGGGATTTTTATTAGCAGCGAAACGATGGTTAGTTCCCGAATTGCCCTCATATATATTAATACTTTACAGTTTCATACCGAAATTACACATTACAAATTACATTATACAACTTCTAAATATTTAAGAACAAGGTGAGAGAGTATAGCAGAAGTAAATACATAAGAAATTTCATTTACTGTGAGCTGTTATTTTTTGCTACAAAATAATTTCATATTAAAGAAACATATTTTGCATAGATTACTTAATATGTCAGATCCAAAATCACATTTTACATTCTGTTAAATTTAAGAAGACGACTATTTCTATTCGCAAGATTTATTCGTGACTGAAATTCATTTCAGGTACGGACATCTTTCTCAAGAAATTTTCAGAGCGTGCAGAATGGTTGTGGACACAGGAATGCATTATTTAGGGTAAGCGTAATTGTTTTAGAATAACATTTTTCTGTAAATTGCTTTCAAAAGTGAGAAAGAGTGTTATTTTTTCTGGGACCATTCCTGTAGATAATAAATCATTGACAGTAACTCTTGCAAATTTTTGGCGGAAAAAATGCATTCTTAGATTTTCATTGATCGGCCACTTTTTCATTTCATGTGACTCTACTTTTGTTTAGTTAATCTAAATTTCTAATTTACAGTTCGCCGTTAAAGTTAGGCGCAATTTGTTATAGTTATGTTATAATTAAGTGCAGTTTTATACAGATGAATGTATTTAAGATTTCTCCTTTGCCATTTTGCAGGTGGAGTCGGAAGAAAGCAATTAATTATATGATGAAGAACACTGCCTATACTTTAAGTAACATAGAAAGAGAAATCGACAGGTACATAACATGGCCGGGACAAGTGAGTATACTTATTCACTCTGCTGATTTCCTGCTTTCAATGTCAAGTACATTTGCTCATTTATTAAATATATCAAGATTATGGATCTTTGATTTATACTTTGAGTTGTTTTTGGTTGCACAATACCTAGGAAGATTCGGTTTATAAAGATTAACGTGTAAAGCTTTCAAAAAAACAGACATAAATCTTACATTTAAGGTAAACATAAAGCTTACAAAATCAGATAGACATAAAACTTATAAAAGATAAACATAAGCTAAACCATAAAGGTAGACACAAAGCTAAAAGATAGACATAAAGCTTACAAAACTTCCAAAAAACATAAACCAGAAGCTGTTTTAAAGTCTCAGAGCTTAGCCATTGCACATCAGTAGGAAGATCGCTTTCTGTGATTCTTTCATGATAAGTGAATAAGTAGCATTAAATCACAAGCAACTAAATTTTATATGTTAAGTAGTGAATCCCAACATTTGCGCGCAGCAGCTATCAAAAATCACAGTTTAAATCAAAACACGCCAGGATCTTTGGAAACCTACTGACAACAACCACATACGCAACACTGAAAGCAGTGATCGTGCTGATAGATTTTAAGACTTCCTTTTCCTAGTTTTAAGCATCCAGATTCTTATTTGGAATATGACCGCCTTCCGCATGGTAACTGCTTTCACTATCATTATGCAAACTAGTTTTATTTCGCTTAAATTAATAATGGGTGGAGACGCATGGTCTTTGAGAACTGTTAACTGGTGGTTTTCTCACCCCCCCTTTTTTTTTGTATGTGTGTATGTGTGTGTGTAAAGGGGGAGCGGGCTGTTGTTACAGAACGAATTAGCTACGTGGCTGTGATTTCTTTAACATGTATCTTAAATATCTTCCCTTTAGAATACTAACATTAATCACGAAGATTAATAAACTCCCATGGCAAGTGCCTTTTTACAGCTTTATTTAAATGCTTATTGAACGTATTTATTTAGGTGCAGAAAACAATTGAATAACACAGAGTTGTTATGAAGAGTGTCATTAAAAAAAAAACCTGTCTCAACAGGAATTTGATGTAGTCGGTTTATATGTATGAATAAATTTATAATAATAATAATAGTAATTCATAATTAATTTTGAGAAAGTTTAATTACTTTTCAACTTGTTCAGCCTAACTGAATGGGGTTTCCCTAGTTTGCATAACAAATTGTTTTAAGTTTGGTATCTTACCTGAACCTCTCATTTTCCCCTCGTATTTCCTCGCCAGGATGCAAATTTAAGGTCAAGTGAAGAGAGTATAAAAACAGACGAATCTGGATGTTTATTCTTATACTGACTTAATGACTGTTTCGCACTTAGGCACAATACGGACAGGGAGGGATACCCAGTGGAGGACCTTTTAAGGAAACTGGCTCGTTACACATGGGGAAAAACACGGAAACGCCCATGCAACCAGCCCGTTTGCTGGGACTCGAACCTCGGACCGAACTACCAGTGTACAGCGACTTTTAATTCAGAGAGTGATTTCGCTAGCCAAGCGCACGTTACTATTTTTTCCTTGCTGCTATTACGCCTTTTGGCCATTTAATAAGTCTATCGAAGGTTATGTTGTTAAGTCTAGTTAGCCTTAAACTAAATTGTTAGTCCAGCACTACTATTTATCTTTGCATTTATTGTTAAATTGTTTTTAAGTTCCACCGCAAGTCGTTGGTGTCATTGTAAGCACGAAGTATGTGCATTCGTATTAAGAGTTTGACGAATAATAAAGGGTTTATTTAATCCTTCTTCTGTGTTGGTATTATTCACGCTTGTGCAAGAAGTCGCCAGATTAGCTAGTAAGATGATTTTAACTTCATGATAGCGAAAAGAATTAGACCTTACAACTGTCATTTCCTGGATAATGAAGATCTGAGAAACTTGTTTAAATCCCTTCGGAATAGTTAAATGCGAAAGATCTCTACAACTAGAATAAGAGCGTGCGTAAACAGAAGGAGGAAGATAAAGAATCTTAACCAAAAAAAAAAAAAAAAATGTCTACAGACGACTAAGATTTCGAAAATGAAAAACATACGAAATGAACTGTGTCCTCAGCGGGATAATTTTACGGATCTTCGAGTTTCCGGCTGGAAAGGCTAATCACTTGTACCTGGAACGCACTCAACGATAAGCGATAAATTCTTTACAAAAGTCACGACTCATAAAGCTGGTATCTTCCGAACACAAAACACAGTAGCCAATTTTTCGTAGAAACGCATTCCCCCAGAACTACTGTAAAGAACATAAAGGCCTACTTTGCATTTTCTCGAAAAATGGAGGGGAAAAAAATTAAATCATTATTTTTATCAAAACATATATTCTTATAAAATCTCTAGAATATTATAAAGAAACTACACGATGTTAAATGAAAATTCAGATTAATAAACTTACAAATGTGTATAGAATATTTCAACCCGTCAAAATGAAGAATAAAAGTGAAAGCACACTGCTGAAAATAACAGAATAAAACGCTGTCAATATTTTCTGTCGAGTCATCTGCCTTTAATAACAGCCTTGAGCCTACCTGGCATGGAATTTACTAATTTTTTCGTTGTTTCTGAGGAAATTTGTTTTTCCAGGAGAAACCTTTTCAAATGGTTGTTATGGTGGTGTTTCAAATGGTTGTTGATAGTTGTTGTTTCAAATGGTTGTTTTCAAAAAGTTGTTAAGGAACTTGAATATTGGTAGTTTGATCCGGGTTTAAACTCAGTGAACTGGCTCGCTATATCTTTGGTTTTCTCAAATTTTCCCATGTGTAACGTGAATACGAGAGAGTTCCCTTTAGAAAGTCCTCCACCAATAAATTCCTCCCCGTAGGCACATAGTCCTCATATTCTTTGCATATTCAAATACACTAACATAAAAGAATGGCAGGAGTATTTTTTCATTTTTATTCTTTGTTCTTGATATCTTAACAGTACAATGAATTTAAATTACTTAAGTCTGATGAAAAGTCCTTGTTCCACGAATTTTTACTCGAATTTAAGAAAGTTACTTTAATTTATAAGTTCTAATTACAATATTTTAAGAATTTATTGCATATAAATAGCAATAACACACTGCTGGCCACCCAAATTGCAACACCAAGAAAGACAAGAGATATCACAACAAAATATATTTAGAAGATAACATGTTGACCAATTATCAAATGATTAAATTTATAGACTTCTGTGAAGTGTGGTTCCTTCCAGAATCAGTAGCCAGAGTAGCCCCATTGTTGGAGATCACCACTGCCACACGCCTCGGCATTGATTCAAAGAGACTTTGGATGTGTTCTTGGGGTACAGCAGACCAAACAGCTTCCACAACTAGGACTAGAACTACACCCCCATTGTGCAAAATTACTTGTTTATTAGGGATTTGTGGTGTAGTCTAGGTGGTATTTACTACTACCGTCACGAGGGCGCAGCCGCAAGACTGGGAGCTCGACAGATCCATGGCCGAGACGTATAGCTATTGACACTGACTCTATTGACACCGTACAGATAAGAGAGGAGCAGGCCAGATGTGGGCCCCTGGGGAGTACTCTTAGCGGTAATCCGTTCGGATAAAACGCGTAGAGCTCAAGCGAGCTTTTTATTTATTATGTGTCCAAGACCATAATATCTCCATCTCGGAAGAGACGTTTATCAAAACGCTCAGGGGTTCTCGGAATCGGCTTTTGCGTCATTAAAATGACGAGCCACTAACTAGCTACCTTAATAGGCCAACGTCACAAACTGAAGAGCCATTATAACCACTTCAATCGAAAGTGTATCTTTAGTGGAATAGCTGCACGAATGCAGCCTACCACCAAAACTTAACGTGAGCCACAAGTGAAACTCACGTTCGTTCAGACATAGGGCTCAACAACAAGGTTTCAGACCACTCGCGTCATCATCACGGAAACAGATGATAAATAACAGAACGTTGCCACGTTGCCAAAGTTGATCTGGTGTGACAGCTTGGGATGTAATCTGTATCAATCGTTCCACATGTTTTCTATCGGTGAAAGATCTGGACAGCGAGCCGGCCAGGGAAGCAATTCAATCTGGCGATTGACGAAGAACCCTTGGGCAATGCGTGCCACTTGTGGTTGCGCATTATCCTGTTGAAATATGGCTGTGGGCGAACCCTGAAGGTAAGGAAGGACAACTGTCTCCAACACCTCGGAGATGTAGCTCTTTCTGTTTAAAGTACCGGCAATGCGTATTAGAGGAGTGCGAGAGTGATATCCAATACCGCTCCCTAACCATAATACCCGGTGCAGGACCAGTGTGAAGGGGCATAACGCAGCTTTTTAGCATCCTTTCTACATGGTGTCTCCAGACTCGAATCTGATCATCGTGGTGTTGCAGACAGAAGCGTGACTCGTCAGTAGAGACAATTTTATTCTATTCTGCCGTCTACATCCTTCTTTCATCGCACCACTGGCGGCGGAGACGTCTGTGGTTCTGCGTCAAGGGTAGACGAAGCAATGGACGTCTTGCGGACAGACCACTCTGCTGTAAACAGCGTCGAATGGTACGCGCAGACACTGGATGATGCATTACAGACTGAATGTGCTGTGCTATGGTTCGTGATGTGACTGAGCGATCCGTCACTGCCATGCGCACAATGTTCCTGTCATCACGTGAAGTGGTGCACTGAGGTGGATGCGATCGAACACGTCGGTCCGTCGTACCCTCCTGCATCCAAGGGTCACATATCCGATCCGCATTACAGTTGTTTGGTTTCGTCCAACACGACTACCGATTTCCCTGAAAGATAATCCACACTCTCGGTAGGCCACTATCCTTCCTCTGTCGAACTCGGTTACTTGATAAAACGATGATTGCTGTTTACTAAGAGGCATAATTGATCTTTATATATATATATATATATATATATCAAAAAAAATTTTTTTGCCGAACTTCAAATCGTCGAAAACTCCAAGCCTTAAATAGCGTTTTGAAGTGGCGCCACAGGCGCGCGTGATGTGTGTCTGCGCTGAAATTCTAATCATCTGCATATCTCACCTCCGTTAATGCATGTTGTTAATTTCATGTTATTTGCATGCTTCCTTCAGGGTATTGCATTTACGGTGGCCAGCAGTGTTTAATTTAAATGAATATAATTATTCCAGAATATATTTAGAAATATTGCACTGCAATTCAGAGTTGACGCATCTTATAAAATCATTTCTTGAAAAAAAAAAAAAAAAGCTGCATTTTATAATTAATTGTAAATAGACATTTTAACTTGATCCATATTGGGATAGTATTGAACTAAAAAAGTTATACTGTCATCGGTGATGCCTGAAGTCTACCACTTGCAATAAATGCGCCTACGCTTCAGCAAGGATAGATTTATAACAATAATTTTAAGGTTACTGAAATATTAATGAAAACACTTATATATTTTACCACTTTACACCACTGACTGACATATAAGATTTCGAAAATTCTTCTACGAGGAAATTTCAAGCGATTCTTGTTTAAAAGATGTATATGAATATGACTCTTTAAAAGCTGTATAATTTAAATGCACGTATTTTTCAGGCATGTGCGTATAAATATGGCCAAATAAAAATCAAAGATCTCAGAAAAAACGCTCATCTAGCATTGGGTAAGAACGAGCACTCTTTTCATATCTTTAATGTTCACTCGCTTTCTTATATCATCTTACAACAGAATTGTTTGTAATATTGCTTTAAGCTTCGGGAATATTTTTTAGATTTATTTAACATTTATGCAATCATTACATAATATTACATACCTATGTCAGATCTTGGAATTAATGCTTAACAATGTGACAAATTACAAATAATATTAGAGGGTTCAAATATAACTTTGTACGAATGGAATGACTGAAAGACTAGAATAGTTACATTTTTGTAAAACTTGTCATTATCGTAGCATCCCACTCTTATATGGCAAAGCATTTCCCCAGCGTTCTGGAAGCTGTTTCATCCCGTCTTTAAAGCAGACTACTTTGGTATTAGATATGCATCTAAAATCGAATCGCTATGTTGACATTGTCAGACATTGAGATCTAAATCTGTTACGAGCTCAACACAACCGCATTTACATGACAGATATTAATCTTCATTTTATCTGCGAAGTTTAGTCAAAATTTGGGACTTTTGAGATATCTTCCGCCTTTTAAAAAAATAACAATAAACTCTTGTTTCGCGGACGGAAGCTTATTCATCAACCTCACAGGCATCATACGCATTTGACCAGATTAAATCTCTTCTGCAATGCCGGTAACACGAGGCAGCTAGAAGATGGTGGTGATCCACTTTCAAAAGGAATTAGATTAAATCTTAATCTAATTCAAAGATTTAATCTAATTCAAAGAATTAGATTAAATCTGCAGATACTCTGTGCATCGCGTTAGAGAATCCGGAACACCATTTCCTACAAAAATACACTTTTATTTACAGATCGAATTTGCATGCACCATCGCGCTTTATGAATCTTACACACAACGTTTCAAGTATCTCTATTGCCATTTTTCCCGCTTTTCACCAAAATCTTTGCACAGCTTTCGAACACTGACAGTGGATCAAAGTAAACGATTAACTGCATAGAAAATTTATTCCGTAGGTATACGATATTTTATGAAAAGAAGTTGAGATGACATTTAATAAATGTGGCCAAATATATTTTTTCCAAATTTGCTGGAATTCTTGAAACTTGTATATTCTTGAAAAGTCTTGAAACTTTGTACGCGTACTGTGTATCTGAATGCTTCAATATTTAACTGATTCTCAAAACCATACTAAATACGACACATTTCAGGATTGCCGCATACATTTACGAAAAGATTATCTTCAGAAAATTACAAACATTTAAACTATACTCGGAGCTTATCTGCTTAAATGAAGTTATGGGATCTAAACAATGGCATAGCGAGCATTACTGACGCCCGGGGCAAGATACCTTTTTGGCGCCTCCCCTAAAAAAAAACACTTACGGTAATATAATGTATGCAATATATTCGTAATAATAATAAAATGCTGAATCTGCCATAAAATACTCTAAAATATATTCAGAATAGTCACTACCTAACTGCACTAACATTAGATTCGGAAATGTATCTGAGTCGGCAGAAAAATCAAACATACGATGATCTAGAATTAGTTAAAAAGTATTATTTATTTACATATTTATATAATTGTTTTTAAAAAAAGTACAATTTTTAAACAATAAAATTTTAATATATATTATAGATAAGTAGATATATTTATTAATAAATAATTTAATATTATAATATATTAATATTTAATTAATGTATACATTTTTCTTGCCTTGGATAAAAACATTTATGAATTACTTTCAAAGTCTATCATTTCAAAATTTTCTCTTTCCACATTTAAAAATGCTAGATGACTTAGAGGATCTTGTCCCATCGTTGGTTGTAAATATGTCCAAATTTATTTTAATTTGCTGAACAAACGTTCATAGGTAGCATTTGATAATGAAATAGTAAGGAGTAGTTGAAGTGCTACTCTTAGGCTTGGAAAAACTTTTTCTCCATAAATCTGTAATGGAGTTTTAGGTTCAGTTTCGTTCTACTGCGGAGTAACATCTTGCAGTCACATTTACTGCTCAAAACAATTAGGGAATATTGTGAGTTCGGTATGAAATAACCATATAATCGACAACCTTTTCAACAAAAAGAAACAGAAGAGAGTATAAAGGAAAATTATAGCGTTTACAAGTTGAGAATATGCAAATTTAGTCTGTGACATCGAAAACTATGCATTTTAGATAAGGAGCGATCTGCATCATTCCTTTTGTAGTAGGAGATAAAAAACAATTGACACGCGTTGAATGCTTTGAAGCGGTGAATATACGATGTCTCAGCCTGATGACTTAGTTGAATCGGTAGCCAGGAAGGCCATCAGGCGTTTGCAGGAGAGTCAAACGCAATCCATTGTAGCGAAAGCGTTAGGAGTTTCCCAAAATGTCATTTCCAGACTATGGAATCGGTTTTTGGAAACTGGATATGTTTGAAAAATTCGGGACAAGGTCATGTTATCGTTTTAAAATAAAAAGCGGGATCTATATATGAATTTCGTTTTAAAAAAAATAAAAATATATCTCTAATTTAGAAAAATGAAGTGGTCAGAAAGAACGTTTTGTATGCGGAGATATTTGGTTGATGTACTGCAAACATTTTATTACATATTTTATCAGACAAATCAAGAAAATAAGTAATTAATTACATTACAATAATTATCAATTTTAAATATATTTTCCAGAAATCGATCAAAATAAAAACTGAAATTTTCCGGAAAATCTTGTTTGAAGACCATTTGGCGCCCCACTGCGAGCGGCGCCCGGGGCATCATACACCCCCTTGCATCCCCCCCACACGCTAAGCCCATGGAGGTAAGAAAGGAAGGAGGGGCCATTCCGCGCTAGAAGTGAAGCACTGCTTTGAAGCTTGGGTCACCAGACGGGGTGTTGTTTGTTTACATTCAGAAGCTCGCTTGACAAGATTCTGATAGTATTTCGACACACGACAGTTCCATAGAAATCGAAAAAGGGAGACTCTCGCATGAAAGAAACATTCATAGTGTGATGGATAATAGCAATTTGTATAGTTTACTGACATTTACGCAAAAATCACATCTTGGTTTATTTTTTTCGATAACTAACAACAGCGATTTTGATTATGAATTTGTTTTATAAAATTCTAAGCTGTTGCACTACAAAAATATAGATTTTAAGAAAATTGCTAAAAGAGATCTGCCAAAATTTATTTTCTAGAAGATTTGAAAAGTTTGAAACTTGATGGCTAAATGTAAATATAAAATTATGTATGTTAAAATATTTGTAATTAGGCACATAGGTCAGATTAAGTTTTTATTAAATAGAGTAACGCATGCAAGGGCTATCTGCCTAAAGAGAGAGATGCCATTGTGGAGGAATTTTGAAGAAAAACTGACCTTTGAGTGGGTATTTAAAAAATAATAATTTTCACTCAATATATTCATATATATTTTTATGTAAAACTTTCGAGTCTATGCTATTAGTGTAATTACTTTACACGAAAAATATAGTGAATGCACAGAAATTAAAGATTTGCACATGCCGGAAATGATAAATAGGAAATATGTATGGGTATTTATGCATGTGCTTGCAAAAAGCATGTATCTGCCTTTGACAAAATACTTAAATATCATTAATTATTTATAAATGTATTTGAAATGAAGAATTTATTCACTTATAAACAACTGTGAAAGTACTGTGAAGAAATCTAATGATTAAATGTATCTAATTTATAATGATTATAAATGTTATCTAAATATATAATAACCTTAATATTGAATTGTAAACATAAATTGAAATCCTGTTGATAAATACGTTATAAAATTTATTTAAGCAAGAATTGTTCGTATTGGAAAGCAATCTGTTAAAAGGTATTGTAAAGCAATGCTATGAGATGCGCCTTAAGAACGTAATAAAGAGTTTTGGAATATGTATTGTTGAAATAAAGGGTAAAAAAAAATCTGATAGGTATAATTAAAGAATTATTCACTTTACATTTTATAATAACTCAGTTACAAGTTTTAAATAATACTTAAAAAAAAAAAAAACTTATTTTATTCCCTTTCAGAAATGTTCAGAGAAAGTCAATAACTATTAATTCCTAATAATTCTCTAATTTAAAATGAACCGAATAGAGCATTAATTATAAATTGATTTACATTTTCGATTTAAAAGAAGTCAAAAATCATGTCATATTTAAGAAAGTATTTTTAGGAAGAAGCTCTCCTATAATAGAAAGAAATAATGCATAATTTTAATATTAATAATACAATAAACTTTGATCTTATTTTTGTACCTTAACCGAATAAAACCGAATCACCTTAATTTTTTTCTAATGTAATTAACGAAAACTTGTGAAAATATTTCATCAAATTAAACCATTCTGAGAAAACTGTCCTGTGAAAATATAGATTAATTCCGTGCAGAATGAAACTGTTGTTTAAAAATATGTTGTTTTCACATACTTAGGACTCTTAAGTGTTGTAGAAAAAGAAAATAATACATTTATATGTATATTTGGACGACGTAATTACAAAATATTTACACCCGAAACGCGTCAAATCCCATAGAACTCAATGGTAAATGACCCAATGTTTTGGTCACCACGTAAGGATCGCCGGTGCTTCAGAGCAGGGTACGGAGAAACTTGTTTAGGGCGACTCCTTCTTACTTCCTACCTCCATGGCTAAGCCACTGGATCTAAACACAACCGATTCCTAGAAAGAGAACTTTTTTTTGGCGGGGGGTTAAGAATGAAATGTAAAATTTCAGATGAATGTTTAGTAGAATTATAAAATATATGGCAACTGAGTTTACAAAAAAGGAAAAAAGTTAAATTTATCAAATAAGCAAATCTAATAAATTTCAGGGTCTATTTAAGAGCAATGAATGGAAAATAACTTTTCTTTGATACTCAAGAATTCAGAGAAGAAAGAGCTTAAAGTTCTCATTTTCCCAACACAGATGATAAATTACTACAGTTTCATTTTTGAGGCTGCAAGAATTAGTTTACAATGATTTTGAGCAGGCGTTTTGTTTTCAATTCTTCCCAAACCAGGGTCCTTATCGTAATATGCATGAACATATTCTTTTATCGGTCACTATAATATAAAATATTCATTTCTTTTTTACACTGATTGCCATTTCGTTACCCTTTGATTTTCGTTCAAGACAGAAATTTTGTAACGAAATTTTACACAAGCATTTAACATGCTATCAAAATGTAAAATTCTGTCATTTGAGCTAACTAAGCTAAAACATTTGAGCTAAAACTAAAGATAATCGTATGAGTTATTTCTCCCACTTCCCTAGCGTGCCTTCGTGGTGTAGTCGTTCAAAAGGCTGGGCCAGTATTCCAGAGGTCCGTGGTTCGATTCCCGGCGAAGGCGGTTGCTAATTTTTCATCTCTCTGGCTTCCAAAAATTCCCAATGACAAGTGGCGCCCGAACTAAAAAGGGTTGTGGATGTGATGATTCTCCGCACCCAGGATTGGCGACTAGGTCCCCTAAAATCCTAGCCTCCTCTTTAAAAAGAGGAGTATGTAAGGTATTTCTCCCACTTCCACAGCATGCCTTCGTGGTGTAACGGTAGCACACTGGGCCGTATTCCAGAGGTCCGTGGTTCGATTCCCGGCGAAGGCGTTTGCTATTTTTCATCTTTTCTGCCTCTAAAAAAATCCTAATGACTCTACAATCGAAGCAACTGATAACAATACTTTCTTGCAATTCGCTGATTAAAATATATCCAAAGTTTTATCCATTTTGAAACGTTTTGTTTATAAGAAACAAATTTTTATGCTCTTTTCAACTTGCTTGTATGAAGAGTGTATTTATTTTGGTAAATATTGATCTTTGCGAATAAATACATAACAATAACAGACAATTTCATCAATTATTTTGTTCTTGCAGATTTTTTCATATACTAGAAAATTCTTATACTGTTATGAAGCTTAACCTTAATTTTAAATAAAATTCTATTTTTTTTCCCAAATAAATATTCATCTGCGCTAAGATTGATTGAACCGTTTAAAACTTAGTTCATCAGCATTTAAAGTTTTTAAAAAATTTCATTTTTTCCATGAGTTAATTTTTTTGATTGGATAATTTTTTTCTCGTTTTAGGAAAAGCTTTTGATTTAAAAAAATTCCACGATGTTATACTGTACAATAATGGACCGATGGAGTTCGTCGAAAAGCAAATAGACCGTTATACAAATGTCGTCTGGCTGAGAAGTGATAAATAGAATCCATAGTGAATGTCTGCACAGGTAATTCAATCTACATCGTATCATTTTATATTAAAACATGTAGAATGTCATTTTATTTAGGTTTCACACCAACTTGAAATTTTAAAATTTCATAAAAACCTTTTCCATAGTTGGATTTCATAGTTTTATACATGAGTTATAATTAGTTTTAGTTTTATAATAAGCACATAATTTGGACTTTTTAAGTCTCTTAAATTATGTACTCTCTTAAATCTCTTAAAATTTTGCAAAGTTATAAAATCAGATAAAGAGGCAGATAGAAAATCTTAATAAGTTGAATGACATAAATAGCTTTTCGACGTGATAACTATTCTCCTCCCACAAACACTTTTTTTTAAATTCCTTTAAGTGAAAATTCCAGCTAGTTTGGGTGGTAAGACTTCCGATATTCTAAAATTAGGACTTTCAGTCTTCTGATTATAAATGAAATTTGTCGTTGTGTTGGTAAGTGGTAAGCTAGCCGGCTGCCATAGCCACACGTTCAAATCCTGGAGAAGGCATAAGTGCTTGTAACTGTAGAGATGGCATAATTACTGTCGAGCCAAAAATCCTCTCGATGGGCCTGGTGGAAAGAGAAACGTGTCCTCGGATCCATTCTCCAAAGAATTTTCTTTTAAAGAGCTAATAGAAAGGGGCAAATTCATATTCTCACCTGTAAAGTCCCAAGGTCTAAACAAACCACAGGCTCAACCCTTGCCACTTGATACAATAAAATTTATGAACTTGATATGATGTTTACTGTCAGACAAGTCACCTAAAAAAATAATAAATAGCTAAATAAAATCTGAAACTTTCAGATTTCATATTACGCCCAAAAGGAGCGTTTTTTTCATTTACACATATATACAAATTTTGACAGCATTTGAGCTAACGTCCCCTTTGGACTAAAAATATTTAAAAAGAGAATATCTTTCGCATTTCCGATAGACAATCTCACCTGCTGATGATAAAAATATTTTATTCCGTACAGTGTGTTGCCACTTCTCACTTTGAAATCGCCGAGTTTCTTAATAAAAAATTCGTTAAGTTCACAAAATATGAAATAGATAATAACACAAATCCGAAATTCAACATTCGGGCTTCCAGGTGCCCATATTCGGAGGGAGGACTACATTATTCAAAATTTGATGGCTCTGGGTAATGTTTTTCACAATGCGAGAAACATATATACATTCATACATATCTTCATTATTTAATTTCTTTAAATATAATACAAGGCAATAATATTTGGAGGCAACAATTTGAAAAGTGATACAGCTGTTTATACTAATTCGGAGACTGATAGCCGCTCTGGGCTTTAAAAAAAAAAAAAAAAAAACAACTTTCTTTGGTTCTTAATAAGTATTTTTAATTGTAAATGTTTTCATCAAATATAACTTTTTAAAAATAAATGATGGGAACTTTTGCTTCTCTCTCATTAATTCGGGACATGCCAGGTTTCAGAGAAGCATATTTTGTAGTACTCATTTATTTATTTTTTTAAATTTTAAGGAATAAAATACTATATTTTGAATTCATTATATTCAGTAATATTAAATTTACCTTATTTACAATGTATTAGTAAATGTCTTTTTTTATTTTTGAAACAGATAATAGGAATAGGCATTTAAACATTTTGTGTAAATATATTAACATGTAAATATGTATAATGTTTTTCTGGCACTTCAAAAAGTCTTTAAATTTAAGAACATAGTTGAAATTTCCACAGGTTGAAGCAGTAAATTTTATCAACCAGAAGTTCATCATTTCAGAGATCAAAATTAGGATTATACCGGTTTTCATTTGAAAATTAATACTTTACTATAAATTGCATAGTACTGGTACTTGCAATATAAGTTACCTAAATGCTAAGTAGATTTACAAGGGTTGCATAACAAATAAACAAATCATGTTTTCCTTTGTTACCACTTTTTAACAACCTCAGATTTGTCAAGGTTGACCTCAGATCAACCTTGAATTCCCATTAATTTTAATCGGTCAGGAAATTGCTTCTGTATCTGATATATATTTTCTGCCAATATATGATAAATATTCTTAAAATGTTACGTAATTTTAGATCTTCTATTGGTTTTCTGCATTTTGTACTGATTTACCAAACTAGAAGCCAAGGCAAAACTTTTGAAGCTTCAATAGGTATTACTGGATGCAAATTATAAAAACCATTTAGTGAAATAACCTAATATTTCAGTGTTTTTTCATGTAAATCTACTTAAAGTAAAAGTATAGTTACTTTACTGTATGCTATGTTTTCATAGTGTCAATTTATTTTTTGTCATATAAAAAAATATAAGTTTATACATCTTAAATCAAGTTACTGTCTTTCTTCTGGACAAAAATCTGATGCGTACACCATGACATCCTTGTACGCAATATTAAATTATACGCATTTTTTTCTGCATTTCATTTAAACTTATTTCATTGGAGATATATTTCTTATTCAATTAATTCAATTCTCAGTTTGCTACAAGGCAAAAATACATAAAAACTCAAAATATCTATATTAAAAATTTAAAGATATAGAAAAATATAAAACACAAAATACAGTTAAAACAATTACAAAGTTTTTTTTTTTTTTTTTTTTTACAATTAAAATTACAGTTTCTGTGCAAAAACAAGCAATAGATTTTTCGGTGCAGAAAACTGAAAGTTTACTTTTGGTCCCACGCGGCGCAAAGACATTGAAGGCGTAGAAATTGACTTAATTTGTTGTGGATGCTATTCAGAATCAATATATGGGATAATTAAAAAACTTAGATGATAATTCCAGAATGGATTCAGCATAACTTAATTTGCAACTTTGTTGTTGGCATGCTTAGGTTCTCTAGATTGGCAACAAATCCACTATTCTGCTAAGTTTCAAATGTAAACAAATATGGCTGCTGTGGTAAAAAAAAATTAGGCTTAGCCGCACTTAAGCAACTTTTAAATTGTTGAGAATTCTACACCTATAACATGCAGGTTAACTAAAGGCATAAAAATCTTAACCGGAAGATAAAAAACAATATAATTCAATCATTTTTAATGCAAAAAATGCATTTATATACTTTTGGTGCGGCCAATTTGCAACCAAAAAGGGAGGTGCACATCTGCATGTTATAGCAGCCCCACACAGTTTCAACGTTCTGAGGCTACTCGTTGAGTTATGCGAGATATATACGTACAGACGCCACAAAAAAATCTCTTCTGAATCCATTTTAAATCAGTTTTATAATTCATTTGGGGGAAATTGTCCTTTATTCTGTCCTTACATAGAGATGTCATGCAAAAACATCATTAAATTGCATTTGATAATGGTCAAAATGAATATTTTCGTTGAAATATGAAACCTGGTATTTTTCGTGATTACAATTCTTCCTTTACTTCGTACAAGGAAGTAAAATAATGGAAAAATTATAAAATATGTATATTAAATGGTATCATTAACAAGAGTACACACCAGTGGTACAGGTTTGAAAAAAAGTCATGAAAAAATAAAATGTGAAGATTTTTTTTAAACTTTTATCTTTATAATTTGAAAAATATTCTTAAAATTTTACATATTTTTAGACAACATAGGAGGATTGGAGACAGACCTGAGACAAACACACCCATTTTCTCTTCTGCAAATTAGGCCCTACTACCAATGTTTTTGATTAGGTAGAAAAATATTCTATAATATACTGTATATTTATTCTTAATGCTCAGTACAATTGTTTATGTATTTATTCTTAATGCAGAATACAAAATTAACAGTTTATCACAGGCTAAGCATTTTATCTTATCTATTTTTTAATGAGATACTGTATTTCTGTGTCTTTATTTTTGATGAAATCTTTTCATGATTCATTGAAAGGAAAAGATGAATATATAAATCAAAAATTATGTTTATTTTCAAAAATCTTCTGAAAGACCAATTAAAAAAGGGCAGTCAAAAATAATCTTTTAAACATTTTATTTTTACAACTGAGGACACTTTTATTTATTTTTCAGATAACTATACTATTATTAAAATCAACAAAAGGTACATAATCAACCTACAGAAGAAGAAATGCAAGAAAAGAAATTAGTCATTGTTGTGAAAATGGTTTATTAAAAAATGTCTGATATCACCCTGGTTAAAAATGTTGAAAAGAAAATTTTTGCAATATCATATTTTCCTATGGCTGATGCATATTTTGAGAGAATAAATTACAGAAAATTAGTTGTATCAACTTTTTGACCTAAACTCTGCTTTTGAAATTTTATATCGCTAATATACTGTTAATCATATCTGATAACATCCTTGAAAATCAAAATCAGTAGATTTTCAAAGAAACTTCCTTTTTCTTCTTCAGCAAACTCCAAATACTTAAATTTTGTCCTTATAAAACTCATCAACATTTTGCCTAGTTATATGAAAACATATGTTAATTTGATTCTGCATGTGTTTTCAGAATTTTTTAAACTGAAAAATAAGACAACATATACACAGAAACAATATTTTAATTACATCAAACAATTTATAATACATTCCACTTCACATTTCTGCAAGTAAAAAGAACAGATATATGAAACATACCATTGCTGCATTGAACATATAGTTAACATTTTTAACAGCAGTTTTGTGTAACATTAAAAATACTTCAATGTTATGAAAATGAGTCTTTTTTTATATAAATGGATATGATATCACTGTAACAGTAGCATGCACCATGATAATATGTAACTATAAAAAAACACAGTTTTCTAATAAATTTTAAAATTTCCTTTCTACAAGCATAAATATAATTCACTGGACAGTTGGTTTTAAAAAAAAGTAGAAATCCATCGAATAATTTTCAACATTTATTAAATGTATACAATTATAATAGATGAACATGCTAGTTTCAAAATAAATGCATTTTTATGCAGAGAGAGATATATTAGGATGTAAAGGACAATACAGGGTTCTGCAATTATGGCATGCACTGTTACTAGCTAGCATTACTGAGATTTGTCTGGCACATGCAAAGGAAATATACTTTAAATTAAACCAAATCTATTACCAATTTCACGGTTTTGAAGATACTTAGGCAATGAAGCACCAAATAATAAATATTAAGGTTAGTTAGTACACACATCATGAACTTAAAATTTATTCAAGTACTTTCTTCCCACAAGAATTTTTTTAAAATAAAAAAATTGTAGCAGTGTACTTTGATGACCAACATCTCGGACAAGCAGTTTTGCAAAATCTTCCTCACACCAGGGGAGGGGGGAGGATTGTGCTACAGAATATTTTTACATGAAGCAAAAGAACATACACTGAATACTTACAGATATTCTTAAGAACATGTAAATATGAATGTTCTTAATAACATAATGGATCACAAATCATTTTTGTAATAACCTAATAATCATACAATACAATTTTAATTTACTTAATTTTGCATAATGTTTTTAGAAACTAACTGTCCAGTAGAATTTATAATCTATTTGAGATTTCATACATGTTTCTGTCAAATTATAACTTGTTAAACTGTGTTTAACACATACTGAAGAGTTTTTCAATGTAATGAAAGTGGCATGCAGCACTAAAAAATTTGCAGACTCCCGACATTATTAACAGAAAAAAATAACTTTACCTTAAAAAGATCAAGTTACGAGATTTGAACATGGCACAAACAAAAACATAACTTAAGCATTATGAACAATAATGGAAGCACACAAGAAATTGGGCAAGAAACTATAACATGACTAGCAAAAGATTAATATAAGGAATAACTGATTAAGTGCAGTGTTGTCATGTACTTTAATTTATTAAAGAATGAAAGGCTGCCATAATTTTCTTTAAATTTATCATAACTTTCACTGCATGATCTTGGTACATAAATTTCTAGCTACAAAACTTAATTTTTATATATATTTTACCAATATCTTTCAATATAAATGTTTACTACTTCACAACCTTTTGAAAAAAGTAGAATATTTACAGCACACTTTTGTAATAAAGCTTAATATTGCATGTCAATATTTAAAATGTTCATCTTATTTTTTTAGACTTCTAGAAAATTTTATAAAAATAATACTTTAAGTTGAACAAAATTGATAAATCATTATTTTTGTATGAACTGTGGAGTGAAATTTCAAGCAAGTCCTGTAATAATAATATCCTGTTTAATATTTAAATTTCATACAAACTGTGGAGTGAAATTTCAAGCAAGTCCTGTAATAATAATATCCTGTTTAATATTTAAATTTCCTCCAAGTTTCATTAAGTAGTATGTTACTTTAATAAACATTTAAAATCTAATATTCATCACTCAATAAAAATAATCTGAATTTTCTTTTAAATAAACAATACAAAATTATCATCACATATTATTTTAACAAAATATTTGGAGCTTCTTCAATATCTAAATATTTTATTTTATTGTACATATTTATTTTCTCAAGTAACACATTTTACACATTGAAAATGCATTTATATTTGTATTCTAACTCTCTAATAGAAAAAAATCTATGTTTTCTTCTATGAGCATTCTAGTCTTTTATCAAAAGTTTAAGGCAACTAGAGAATTATATCATTATCATATTTCATTATCTAATGTAATGTACGGCAACATAATGATTTAATTTATGCATATTCTGCATTGAAATAACTACATTTCAACAAAAAATTCTAAAAAAACAAGATATTAAAAGTTATTTATTTAAAAAAACTTCTCAAAATTCATCTTGAAACACTCATATAAAATTATAATCCCTATTTCTAATAAGCTCCAAGAGATTAGAAATATGTCAAAATGAACTTTGCAATAAATTATTTTAAAACATAAATAAATTTTTAAAACTCTTATTTTTTTTTTTTTTTTTAAAGTAATTAGACTAGTAATGGGAAGAAGTACATCCTTTAGGGTAATTTACATGTGTTGTTTAAATAAATTAATATTCAATTCACTAACATGAAATCACAGTTTGATACATGTTTGAAATTTTGTACAATAAGAGTAGTAAGCAACTTACTTGCTTGAGGACATCAAAGAATAAAATTCTATCATGCATACAAAACAGATTAAAAAAATTATGCAATTTCTTTTCAAGAAAGCTGTAATTCGGCACTTAATGATATGAGACACAGTGAACAAGTAAACAAAACAACAGATTGGGAGCACTCTGAAACAGTATTTATATATATATATATATGTTTAGATCATATGTTAATGTATATATATAGAGATATAGATTTTGTACATATGTATGCCACAGATATACATATCATGCTATGTACAAAATACCTGTACAAATTATGTACCAGACACTGATGATTTGAAGCACAGCATACAACCATGATGAACTATTCAGAGGAATACATAACATCCAAGTATGAGTACCATTATCTCACATGGTACTTAAAAGAAACATGATTAGTCTTTGAGCACTATATGGTGTACTTATGCATGTGTTCCGGACACAGTTGCACATGTAAGTGATTTCTTGCATTTCCTTTCTTTTTAAACACGGTAAATAATATTACATTTTAATATTCATCTCATAATAGATATGCTTTTTTTTTAATAAAATAGCATAAGAAATGACAGAAAATGGGCATAAAAATCTGAAAAATACTGAGAAGAAAATTAGGAAAAGCTGATTAAAACTGAGAAAAACTATCATGAAAAATATTTCATACTTAATTTTCTCATGGTTTTTCTGACATAACTTGAAGAATCACATCTGCTTTAAAATATAAATGCTATTTTTTAAAGGCATGATTCTAACTATCAGTAATACCTTCACACATGCACACACATAGAAACATGAGTACATACACAATTAAAATGTATGTTAAAAGCACAGAAACATTTTACTTATCAAGCTTACAAATTAAAGTAGAATAATTAATTATATGTGGGGAAAAAAGATGTATTTCGTTGCTTATATTTAAGTCCATTATCAATGCAACTATATCTAAATAAAATGACAATTACTACATTTATTTTATTATCAAATGTAATTCTACCAATTACAAGAAGCTTTGAAAACAATCTATGGAAATTTACACAATACAAAATTCAATTTACAATAGATCTGATTTTTATAGTTAGTACGTTCAGTTCCTACAATTTTACACTTAAAATCTCTGACATTCTAAGTACTTTCATAAGTTTAGGAAAATTTTCTTATATCTATAGAATACAAAATCAGTTTGAGAACAAACACTGCTATTATCATATGAAAATACTTATGTATTATCTTCTTTATCTGTTATTATTAAAAGGTGTGATTTCTTTGATTTCTTATGTAAAAGTTTCTTAATTTGACATAATTTTCTTTAAATGCTGATTAGTTTCATTCTGTATGATGTATTTACAATCCTTAAACGTTGAATATCCTACATCGAATATTTTTTTACTTAATTGTAATTTTTTATGACATTATTTTAGAGCACTAAAATAAATGTAACAATCTGAATGCAAACAGTAGACACACATTTTATTTGTAAAAGAATAAAAATGATTTTCCTTGCTTCTTCTTTTGAAGAAATCATTGTAGTTAATGCATATTTTGATTTGCTTTATAAAGACACAGTCTATAATATTAAGAGTTATAAATTATGTAAAGCAAGACAAACTTTGTGTTGCAGTCAGTTAAATTTGATATTATAAGAAACAAGATGGGCAAATGAATGGTAAGAATAATTATTATACGCTCTTAGAAAAAAATTATCATTATTTGACCGATTTCACATTACTAAAATAAACAATATGTGTTACAATTATTATTATAATTGCTTTTTGTGCAGTTTACCCATACGTGTAAAGTGCACGTGATATAATATATAGCTATATATTTAATAATTGGGACAGAGTTTACAAAAGACTTTTTCAAAGAGATTATCAAAAAATTCTTTCAAGCAATGTCTGCATACCTCATTCATATAGGCAATGTGATATTTAATTAAATTTTTCAATTAAAACAATAGATAAAGATCTGCATTCTAGTTTTACTATGATTTTACAATTCAAGATAACTGTTTTCAATTATATTTTTATTTATACATATATAATATATTACAGATTTTGAACAAGAGGTAAAATTTTCATCATAAGTAATTTTTAACATTAAAAAAATTTTTTAAATATTAGATAATAGGTATGTAAAATGTATAACGCACAAGATTTTGATCTTAGAATGAAATTCTATGTGCATTTAAATTATCTCATATTAAAAGCAGCAACATAAAAAAAGACTAAAGAAGAAGATAAGAATCTTAAATGTCATTATGTGACAAAATATAATACGTTTTACATGAATTATATTTAAAAAAAAAACATTCACATTTAGAGACAGAAATGAAATAAAAGAAATGTTTCAAACTTTTATATATACATATATATATAGAAGAGTACTATAGATAAATAAAATATGAAAAGATTCTCTTATTTATAATTTCGATCGTATCATCATAAAACATGCAGCAATAAAGGTTTTAAACTAAAAGTGTTGTTGGTAGCATAAATAAATAAACATAAATTTGCCCATAAAATGGTAGAGAAATCAAAACTTTGAACTAAGTTGAACTCAAAACATTTCAATACACTGAAATAAGATTAAAAACTAAAATATACTTCTCAGGAAGAGAACAAATGCGAAGTACAGTTAAGAGAAAAGAAAACTCCTACATTTCATTTGCAAATACAGTGCCAGAACCAAAATTAGAGCTTTATTCGAAAGAAAACATTACAAAATTCTTTTCTTTTCACCGGTGTTATAAAGAAACAATGAAACATAAATATGAAACTAGTTAAAATTTGCTCAGTTTAAGTAATTATTATTTTTATTTAGAAAATAAAAATAATTAATTTAGTGAATTTGCAAATAAAATTTTCACATAGGAAAAAAGTTAAAACATTCAAAAACTGGTAAAAATAAATTTTAAAGCAACATACCAAACAGTATAAATTAATACTTTTATTTATTTATTTATTTTTGAGTGAAAAAAGAACGCTTTCAAAAGCTAGACAATGACAAAGTGAATAGGCATTTGACAGCTAATCAGCGTTGACCATTCAAGAATCTAAATCCAACATTACAAAAACATGCATTCTAAATTCATGTAAATCAAGTTTAAAATCATTTTCATCGATATCTTTTTCATTAGGATTTTCATTTAAAAACAAAATATACAAAAAAACCCATCTAGTTATGAATCTGAATAAGCTAAAATGTTCATCATTTGGATGTAGGATCAGCCCTGCTTTGCATTTTATAAATACTGTTTCTCAGATGTTTTACAACTATTTTTACACTTTCATTTGATATATCAGAAAGCCACATTTCATTTCTGATTTATGTGTTCTTTCAAAGTATCACTTTCATTCTAAAGACATGGAAATCTTAGGCTGGTCAAGTTTCAGGACTCAACAGCATGTCTTGATTTCAAGTCAATGATCAAGCAGCACCTACTGAGGAACTTGTTGTGGCATACTCACAGGCACAATAAGGTATCCTGATGAGTTTATGAGGGGAAAAAATGTTCAAAAGCTCCTACTCAAACACCGGTTTCGGATACACGAGATGGAATATTTAATCTTAGCCCTTCAAATTCTGAACAGCTGTCATCACCAACACTTATTTTGCTGCCAAGATTATCACTAAAATCGTTGTCACCATAACCATCTGGATCATAATTTGGAAGAGCAAGAGGCACCTGAGAATCTGTATGTTTGGGACTATGGGTTTCCATACGATGCATCTGGAGTTTAGGACCCCATTCTTCGGTTGGTTCAAGTAGGATGCGGATACGCTGTGGAGAAATAATTAAAAAATAAGAAATGAGATAAACTGTTTTATCTCTGATTCTTGAATACTAAAAATTAAATTATTCTCAGAGTAGTTAAAATAAAAATCAGTTATCACAGAGGTCACAGAGTATTTCAGTTATAATATTAAAATAACATGAAAATAAAATATTTATGCTCTCTCTCTGCATATACTTGCAGAAACAATGGTCATAGTTTTTCTAATTATGCATCACAGGGAAAAAAAAATCTATACTCATTTGCTTCCTCCAAAAAAATGATGGCACGGTCAAAAGAAAAGAAAACTCAAATGTTTGAAAGTCAGACTGAACAAAAATTCAGTGTCTTTATGAAATATTAAGCACAAAGCATATGCAGTACAACTGAACTGTTTGCATATTAAGCTAAACAGCATATCAGCATGAGAATAAAAATGAGATTATCAGCAAGCTGGAACGGATATCCATGAAGTGTGTTCAATGCTTTTACAGAATTTTTTTTAGAAAAAGACTTATTTTCCAATTTAATATTAGTTTGCATATTCATCTTATAAAGATAACATAATTTCAAACTCTTTCATAAGGGATATTATTTCACTTTTATTAAAAATTATACAATACCCCAAGAGTTACATAAATAATGAATTCCACATACTTTTATGTAACTAACTCAAAATTGGGTACAAGTCAAATTTCTTAATTATACGTCTGAAAAGACAAATAATTTTAATTATAAGTCTTTGTAGATGGTGCCTGGTATGTACACTGTGTGAGAGGGGGGAAGAAGGAGACATATCTTCTATTCTACTAGGCCGATTGACGAAATTCAAATTGCATTTTTCACGTCTCCAAAGCACAACATAGGATACATATTAGATCTATATATAGCATTGCTCTAACATATGTATTTTGACACAAAACCGGATATTTTCTGAAATAACATAATAATTTTTTTTTCATATTTCGTTTCTACAACTCAATTTATGCCTAAATATTACATTTTGTAAAATTTGGTGCAAAATTAATGGAGAAATTCAAAAATTTATCTTCGCATATTTTTCAGTTTTCACCAAGAATAATTTACTTGGTGAACATCTTAATTTTTATAGTAACCTTTTCTTTTTTCCATGGTAGACAAGCGGAAAAAAAAGTCATTGTTCATACTTTCAAATAATTTTAACAAACTCCGTTATTAACGCTAAAAAAAAAAAAAAAAAAAAAAAAAAAAAAAAAGGTTGCCAAATTTCAAAATGCTCCAATATGTAAATTCATGTAGCTCTTAGAAAATTTTGAATAAAAACTCTTAATTTTTTGCAGGTGAGCCTAGAAATACATTTATTTTAAGATGATGTTAAAAATTTTATACGTTATAAAGAAAGATTTTTTTCAAAAAATTTATAAAAATATTTCAAAATACAAATTTTAAAAATAAATCATAAAAACTGTACCAATTATATTTGGATTAAGCCTAAATTTTGAATTCTGGAAGAAGAAATCAAGTATGTTTAATAAAAAAAAGAGATATTAATAAACATATATATCAAATTCAATTAACACTGAGGAGCTAATATTTTGAAAGCTAATTTTTTAAAAAACTTCTTGTGTGATTTTTACAAAACTTGGTAGTTTGGCATAATTTGAGTCGTAGAATCGACATATGGAAAAAAATTGGCATGTCATTTCAGAAAAAGTCCGATTTTGTGTCAAAATACATACATTAGAACAATGCTACATATAAATCTAATACATATCCGAAGTCTCGCTTTTGAGACATGACAAACACAATTTGAATTTAATCAATCAGCCCAATAGAATGGGAGCCAAACTGCCAAAAATAAATTTCATCATCCAGTTAAGTTAGTTTGCTGACTGATGATAAAATACAGTATGAAGTCGAAAATCCAGACATCCAATACTCGGAATGATATAATATTCAAACATCTGGACTCCCCTCAAAAAGGAGAAATAATACTCAAGAAAAAGCAAATAAATGTGCCACAATAGTTGACTTTTCTCTTACTTAACTAAAATTCCTGCATATCACTTTCAAGTACCTGCTGGCTAAGAAATCACGGTGTGGCCAATAATAATACAGGGTGGTTATAAAGTCCCGGACCCATTTTGATGTTTAATAACTCATAAAATAATGAAGATATAAACAAACTTATGGCCATTTATTGATGGAAATAACTTATATATTTTCCTTTTCAGGTTTGAATATCTTTACTTTTGTAAATATAGTTTGCACGTGTGGTTAATTTCAGATAATTTCATTTTCCAGTCTAAATATCTGTACTTTTCTAAATATCGTCTGCTTATTAATTACATTTTTCTCTCTTTTGTTTATGGCAACTATTGGAATGTTATGGATTTTTTTCCTTTGGGGATTTGTAAAGGACAACGTTTACAGGAGGAGAGTGTCGAACATTGATGACCTAAAAGCCAGAATTACAAACGCAATAGCCTCTGTAGATGCCAACATGTTTGCCAGTACCTGGCATGAAATTGAATATCGATTTGATATTCTCCATGCGACGAAGGGGGCACACGTGAAACTTTTTGAGTCTATCTAACCATTTATGTTATTAATTTTAATCTATCTTTATTATTTTATGAGTTATTAAACATCATAATGGGTCTGGGACTTTATAAACACCCTGCATATCGATTGATGTTGTATTAAGGTAAGCCATGGCCACACTTTTGGCCCTTGAATGCTTAAATGTGGGTCGCATTTATATATCTGATGTAAAAATTAAGTGAAATCCCATACATATTTGTATGAGATGGGATACTTCTCGTACTGCGTTTCTTTTGTTGACACTGCAACAGCAAAATGTGAAACAATTAGATTCCAAGGAACTTAACACAGCAAACTGTGTTCTCCCTTAACTTTCTAAAACTGATCTAGCTTGTAATTTTTAGCAGATTTATTATTATTACATCTCATTTTTCAACATGAAAGCTAATTTTCGATTATGTCAGTTTCTAACTCTGAAGCTGCAGCAGAATCTACAAAGCCAAAGTGTATTTTAATGTTCATCAAGAAAAAAGTGGAACCACTGCAAAAATCTAATAAAGGCAAATCTGCTTCAAAATTATGCAAGGAGAATGCTGCTGAAAAGTCAACAGTCTAGAGCAGTGATAGCGAACCTATGGCATGCGACTAAAATATTACCTCCATAACCAATAATTATAATAAAATGATACTATGTAATTTAAATAAGTGTTTTAGTCTATTCTTGAACGTTTCACTTACTTACTTATCTCATAATGCCACTGGCATAGGGCCTAAGACTAGATATATGATTTTCATATATATTGCCATAGAAATGTTATACATAATTATTGACACAATTTATGATGTTTCAATTGTTTGGGCCCATCATATTACTTGTTACATGGCAAAGAATACATCAAAGTTGAAGTGGCTAATATTTGTTAAACAAATTCAAATTTATTGCAAACTGTCGGTGAGTTTTAATGCTTTCATTGTTAAATAGATTTTCTATACTCCAGGTCTTGAACACTCACAAATGACTCCAGAAAAAAAGTCAAAATTAAACACTGGCAGTAGATGATCATTTCAAGAGACTTGGACAAAATCATTTGGAGTTATTGAACACAACGAGAAAGCATTACGCATTCTATGTGGGGAAAGTGTTGTGTGTTGCCCATCTAGTGTCAGACAGCCCTTTAACACCAACCACAAGACTATTGCCGAATTTGATGAAACTGAGCAGAAGATGTTTATTGAAGGGAAATTGAGGAATTATAATTACCAGAAAGTTGGTTTTTGCAATTATCTTTCCCAACAACAAAACAAACCATATAACAAAGGCCAGCTCTCAAATTTCACTGTTCTTAATAAAACATGGGGATCTGCACTCCAATCAGGATTTAACCCCTTCGCGCCGGGTAGCGCAAACATGCGCTTATCGCGGAGGCCGGCATTGTCTTACGCGAGCGTTTGTCCAGGGGCTTTTTTGCTATTAAGCCTAAATCCATGAAATTTCCGAAGTATCAATGCAATTTGCATTTAAGTTTATGCATTTTTAATGCTTTATAGAGTATTTAAAACGGCTTATGCTTTATAGATATTTTTATACTATATACTTTAATTACCTTATTTCTTGTTTAAATGCATATTTTACACATTTTATTTTCATTACTCACCATTTTATGACTTTTAACATTATACATCTGAAAACTAAATATATTACTTAAAATTCTCTTTTCGTATGAAAAATTTGAAAACAGGGATCTACACACAGTCCTGTTTTACATTCCTTACACTCGTAATAACTCATTTGCCGTTTTGGAGGATTTTTCTGGGAATGAGAACAAACGAAGCATCGTCGTTTCATTTTCTTATCAGTCTCTTTTGAACAAAGTTTTGGAAAATGTCTTTCAGTTAATCTGAGCGGATTTAATGATTCTGCTGATCTTGGTGTGATGTATTTAGAATCAATATCTGAAATATTTTGCTTCATTTCTGCTATTTCATGCTCTGTTAAACATTTTTGACGCTTCGACATTGCAACCGTAAAAACAGAAAGAATTCACGTCTAATAAGATCTAATTACTTTCTAAAAACTGAACTGCAAACCGAAATACCCAACACTTTAGCAAAAATAAATCTCTACTTACAATAAACAACTACCATGTGCGAATTTAAAGAGAAGTCATAAATCACGCCATTTGGAAATATTTACTTCCCCTTTTGTTTATATAATCAAAAACATGTGTATGTGAGTCATGCTTCTCTCATTTCGTGTAGAAGGTCTAATGTACATGTATCTGAAACCATATGGACATACAGTGCCATCTTGTGGCAAAAATTATAATTTTTAAAACGTTCCAGTACTGGAATACTGGCACAAATACGTGACAGTCGGGGCTAAACGGGAAAATGCTCTGCCACGCCTGCGTGTCGGCCGGAAAGTGAGTGTGTTCGTTGCTGGCACGTAGACGTGACTGTCTGCACGAAGGGGTTACTCAAAGAAGTTTTGGGCATGCAGCTCCAAAAAGGTTTGCCACCGCTAGAAGTCTAGAGCTATCGTCTTAAGCTATGATGTAGAGCATAAAAAAGAAAAGAAAAAAAAAAAAAAAAAAGGGAGGTAGAAGGGGAAAAAGGGGGGGGACGTTTTAATTTTGTTGTGGATTCTGACCCCCAATCTTAATAATAATAAAAATCATTCACATTCGTAATGCTACAAATGATGATCATGACAAAGTGATCACTGAATAGGTGAAATAACACTGCTGTGAGGACATGCCATTGACAAATGTAATGCTAATTCATAAAGCCAAAATATTTCATAAGGAAGTGAACACATTCCCCAGGTTGATTAACCAACTTAAAAATTACTATGGTAGAAGACAGTTATAAATACATGAGAAAGTTTCAGCTGATATTGAAGCAGCTGAATTTATTGACATTACTAACAGTAAAAAATTATCTAAATATATATACATCGATGAAACTGGTTTCTGGCAGTATAGGCCACGAAATATCTTCGTGTCCTTTGCAGAAAAGCCTTAACTGATATCAAAGATTCCAAAGTAAGGCTAATACGGCTCATTGTTACATATTTTTCCTAGCAATGAAAATGTGACATACAGTATACACATATTTGCTAGAAGTTGCTACATATTTTTATATTTGCCATATCATGTCTTTAAAAACTAGCCGCTCACACGACCAGCCTATGCTTTGCTGAGTGGCAACAACTTGGCACATGGAAGATAAATTTTCTATTTCTGGAAATGGGAGCACACTGCTATCAAATAGCAAACTTTCTTAACTAATACAAAAAGATAAATATCTTACATTTTTTCCCAATAGTAACAGTGTTGCTACTGCTTGATTTCAAATCGCTGAGTTTGTTAGTCAAAATTTCATTAAAGTTTTACAAAATATGAAATAAATCATAAAACGAATTCAAAATTTGGGCTTGCAAGTGCTAATCTTTGGGTGAAAGACTACATTATTCAAAATTTGATGGATTAGGTATCCCCTTTTTTCCCCCAATGTGAGGAACATATATACATGCATTCATATTGTTCCTTATTTAATTTCTTTAAAAAGTAATGCAGCGTAATAATATTTGGTGGCAGCAATTTAAGAAATGATATGCCATTTATAGTGAATTAACATAAAATCACATTTCAAGACTAATATGCCCTTTTGGGTTACTAATTAGTTTGAAATACTGGTAGTCAAATCATTTCAGAACTGAATAAGAAAATGTTTAACTCATTTCGCCTTAAGTTTTAATTACAGATAACTTCTTTGTCTAATTTCCTTTCCTCCAAATTGCATATCAATCATTCAGCTGCATGCACTGAAATGCAGATGAAAAATACCCTTTCTAAACAAAGGTAAGACCATTCAAGATTTTTTTAAAAATATTTTAACATAATCCATAATTTGATGATCTAAAATCCAGAAACTTTCAAATTCCATAACTGCTGAAATTATACTTATTTCGGATATCAGACGCTGGATATTTAGTATCGGATCTCGGACTTTGGTTATGCTTATTTTGGATCTCGAACTTTGGTTATTTATTTTTTAATTACTAGGCCTAATTCTTTTATAAAGTGGTCTGTATGCTTGAAATATTGGTGTATAATAATTTGAATGGAAAATAATTCAGTGCTAATACAATAAAAGAGTAATTAAGTGCCATGCCACTGGAGGAAACAACAACTAAAACTTTTGTCTTAACAAAGTAAGATTCATATTGAAATTATGATATACATCTGTCATAAAATATTTAAATAATTCATGAAATACTAACAGCAAACATTTAAATGTGATCATGTTATGCTTTACAGAAGTATCAAATTTTCATTAATCTGTTTCTATTTTTATCCTCAAAATTAAACCCTTCAACGTTCTTAAAACAACATAACATCTCTCAATCTGAATCTGATTTCTGATCTACCTTTCAGTTAAATTGAAAGGCTTAGCACAAGAAGGGTTAAGTCTTCTAACATATTTCACATAGAAAAATATTCAGTAAGATACACATTCAAAACTACTTGGCACTAAAAAACAAGTAATTAAAAAGTATATTATATACCTGCAAAATTGGGCCTTTCGCTCTGTAGATTTTCAACACAACAACAAATGGAATTGCGCTTACTGATGTCAAAGAAAACAACCAACCAACATAATTAGCCCATGGAGGATATTCATAGCTGCCATACTGTGTAGGTTTCAAATCCAAGCAAGTAAATATTAAGATAAACTGCAAAGGCAAAGCATTATAAAAATTGAATTAAAATCAAAATTATAAATTACAGCACAAGATTTCAATATCAATAACAATTACTTAATTTAGCATAAAAAATGTAACAAATTAATTTTTAATAAATTAAAGCAAAAACTGCTTGGATGAAAAGCTATATACAAGATTCAAAACATCCACAAATTTATATATAAAACAAAGCTATAAATCATAATTATATTTTAAAGTTACACAGGTTTAGTCCATCAATAATGCAATTTGACTATTAAAGGTTGAACATATGTATGTACAGTAATATATTATTTCAAACATTTTCTGCATACATTTCTGATGACTGCAAACATTTCTGAATGCAGTCAACACATAATACAATAATTAATATTTGATCACATTCATTTTATTTATATTTATAAATATACATAAAGAGCTAACTCGCTAAGATATTGTAAAAGTGTAATTAATTACTTTAAACTGAAACAGAAATCACATAAAAAACACATAAACTTTCATCTAAGCATTTATTGTATGAAAGTAGGAACATAATAGATTTTATTTCACCAATGAATAAAAATTTTACGTTATATAAATGCTTTCCCTGGGATAATAAAAAAATGCTTAATTTATATCTATAAAGAGTCCTGTAATTACCGTTATGAGAAGAGGAACAACAAATTTCCACATGAATCTCCAATACTGATAATGGAATGGATAACAACCCATCATCACTTTGATATCATTTAGGAATCGTTCAGCACCTTAAAAAAAACAATATTTATAGGAAATTTTAATTTTACGTAGTAATAACATCACACAATAAAGAAAAGAACAGTTAAATAAATATAAAATTTAAATGAACGTAAGATTTTGTAACCAATTTAAGCATGAGAAAATAGAGAAATGATAACTTAATACTGAAATATGATTTTAATAGCTGTTTGGGCAGTTAATGTTACACATTACTATATTAAAACAGTTGCATTACCCTTCTCCCCAAAATTGATTTAACCAATATTAATTGGGAAAAAGCACTGTATATGTTATAAATATTAGTTAATATATTTATTCAGAATTCAAAGACCTATATTTGACTGAAAAAGGAAAAGCTAAAGAATTTTTTTGCATATTTGAATTCTTAGATGTTTTCCTGCTGCTGTTGGAATAGAGGTATTGATGATCCCCAAACTTTTCTTTCCAAAAAAGAATTAGCATGACCATTTTGAAATATAGAGCTTCTCAATTTTATTTTTTGAAAAAGAACTATAATAATGGTCGCAGTAGAAATAAAAGAAATAAAATAATAAAAATGACAATAACATATTTGATTTTTTTTAAATGGGAAATAAATTAATTTTACAGTTTGTTAAATCCAGAAAGTGATTCTAAAAATTATTAGGGCTATATTACAATAATTGTAATAATAGGGGATGATTCATATTAAACTTCAATTTCTTCTCTAGAAAATTATGTCCAATCTTAAACCTCCTCAAAATTTCATAAGTTTGGAAATCCTAATAATGATTTGAAACTCAATGATGTTACTTTATGAAAGAAAATTTTTATGAATGATAAATAGTAAAATATATTACAGAGTAAATATTATATGAATAAGCACACGTATCTGGAATAAAATATTTGAGATTATAGTAAAAGTTGTTAGTGAGTGAAAACTCTTTTATGGATAATAAGGGAATAAATTTTCCATTAATTTATATTGTTTTTTATTTGTAGTATTGTTGCTTAATTGATATGGAAAGGACATCTATGGTTTATTTCCTTCATATAAAATAGTCAGTAATTCCTTTATTATTTAATGAAATATTTACTGCCTTTCAAAGCATTGAGGAAGTTATGAAAAACAGGGAAATTGAGCCGTTTTCATTTTAAATTGTTAGGTCCTATAAAGAGGTCCTTATTTTTAATTATCTACATGTGAACAGGAACTCATAACAACAAATTATGTATACCACTTATAAAAGACACATTAAAAATTATTAGCAGAGATCACTATTTGTATTCTTCAACTAAAACAGTATTAAAAAAATCTGCTATACTTCATAATTAATTTAATATATGTTCAGATCTATAATAAATGAATGAAAAATTTCTACATATCCAAATATTAAACTGTGACTAATGAATTTATTATTTCCTCCATAACCTAAATAAATACATAGGTAGGGAGGTTTAGTCCAAAAATTCAATAACAAGTTTTCAGCAAATAAGCATAAATTAGGGTCCCTAGAATACTTTTACTATTTTTACAATGATATCTGTCTGTCAGTGCACATGTGTGCAGTAATTTTTCATACACGATAACTCTTACATCAAACTTCCAAAAGTGTCCTATTTTCTGTATGCAGGCTTTCTGCACTTATATTAAAAGTTAATTGAATTTTGGATAAAACTGGAATAACAGAAGTGGTAAAACTACATTAAAATATAACCAAAGCTTTTCAATTTTAATATTTAAAACTTTTATATTACTGGAAATAACATATCTGATTTTTTGGCTAAAATTGATAAACAAAAAGTGATACTTTACATGAAACTGTGAACAGATTTTCATGTAAAAATACATAATGATCCAATCCAAAAATTCTCAGAGTTGGTATTTAACTCCCTGATTTGCTCAAGTTACGTCAGGGTGAGAAAACAATCATGCAGAGATTCCCTGGACTATTTGAGGGCTCAGTATCTTCAAATGCTTATCATATGATAAGCCTAAATGCAAGAATATACTTCAGGTTTCTACTGCAAAGCATATCCCTGCATCAAAGCAACTATTAGCAGTTGGCACAGCAAAAGAAGTAACCATAAAAATTTTCCCTTTCAAGAAATTCAGTAGAACAAAACTGCCACTCTCTTTTCACAGAACAATGTCATGTACTTATAGGATTATTTTTGCTTTATTCCATTTATACCAACTCCAGTGGTATATGCAAATCCTTAGAAATTAATTGCATCAAAACTGAAGGGAGCGCATTTAAACACAATAAGCATCCTACTTCATTGAGAGAGAGAATGCAGTGTCTGGGAGGAATATTAAATTACATTTGAAATGGAAAACAAAATTTTTCACACCGTGAGGTTTTTTTTTTGGTGGAGGGAAAGGAGAAGTCTTTCTACTGTAAAACAAAATTCATTTCATTGAGCTAACATTTAAGGGGTTGAAATTCATACGCATATATGATGCATATACTATCATGACTGAGTAAAACATATCAGATTTTAACTATATACAATAAACCAGAAATGGTATTTTACTTGAAACTTTTAACAGATTTTCCTGGAAAAGAGTTTAATCCAGAATAATACAGGACACATTAAGGCAATTCCTATTATATCTAAATGTGGTATTTATTTACATCAAGCCATAGAAGAGAACAATTTTTGTTACAGCTTTTTCATCTATAGAACTTTAAACTCTTTAAAGAGCATGTTACCAAAAAGTGCACAAGTTATTCTCTTGAATGGTTTATGATGGCGAGGCAGAACAGCAAATAGCAAATTTACAAACACATATAGCTTTACATCTTACTGATCCAACAATGCACATAAATCATTATTCAGGTGTTATTCCAAAAACTAACAAGCATTCTTTAATCCTGGAGATATGTATGCAAGCATAATTATTTAAATATTATAATTATTATTAAATTAAGCACTTTATTTCAGAGAAAAATGCATTGATATAAAAGTCTTTGCTAATTGGATGGAATTAAAAAAAAACTAACTTCAAAATTAAAAAACTACATATATAATTTTTTTAAAATTATAAAACATTTTTTAATATACAATGCTATGTTTAAAAATGTTATTTAAGTAATTTTTTTAAAAAAATCTTACCATAGATCCAACCAATAACAATTACTTCAACCAATCCAATGATAAGAGCAGAAAAACTGGCACAGAAATTGTCCATAAGTTGTAAAACATACATTCCACCCTTTAAAAACATTGAAGAAAAAAGTTTAGTTATGAATGCATTACATGAAAATTAAGAACACAATGCATTTAATTACTCGCTATGGAAACTGATTGCATATTTTGCACATATCAGTGATATACAGTGGAAAAAGATTTTTTTTCTTTTAAAAGGTTTTTCAGTTTTTTATTTTGCAACTATAATCATCAGAAAATTATTTTTCAGTACTATTAAAACAGAAAAGTTAACATCATCTTAATGAACAGTATTAAAACAATAGAAATTGATATTAGCTTTCATTGAAAAAAATTTGAATGTGTACTGACAAAATAAAAAATTCAGAATGGCAAAAAATTCAAAGATTTTGATGAAAAATGCTGAATGCATGTACATAACTCCATACATTTACATCAACTTTCATGGAAAAAGTATTGGTTGGTATACAGAAAATGTTGTGTCTTTATGAACAGGGTGCTACTTTAGTTTGAATTTAATATTACTTTTTACTCTTGTTTCCTCTTCATGAATAAAAATTAAATACATGAAGTTAAAAGGCAAAAATTCTGTGGTTCAATGGTTAGTTTTAACATATGATTAAAAGTAAAGTAAAAATGGAAATATGTTTTGTGCATTTTGGATGCCAATACAAATATGCATCTCATGAAACAAATAAGTTTTTACTTCCTTGTACGAAGTAAAAAGGAAGTATTGTAATCGCGAAAAGTTTCAGGCAACATATTTCAACGAAAATATCCATTTTGACCGCTATCGAATGCAATTTAATGATGTTTTTGCGTAATATCTGTACGTAAGGAGAGAATAAAAAACTCGTTTCCTCCAAAAAAATTATACAACTGCTTTAAAATTAATTTTGAGGAGAATTTTTTGTGGCGTCTGTACAAACGTATGTACGTACGTACGTATCTCGCATAACTCAAAAACGAGTAGCCTCAGAAGGTTGAAATTTTGTATATAGGACTGCTATAACATGTAGATGTGCACCTCATATTTTGGTTGCATTCGGCCGCACCAAACATATATAAATATATTTATATATATATCTACTCTGTTACCCGGCTCAGTGATCTCAGTTTTACTCATATATGTTTGTAAATTGTACATTTTTTGCTTTAAAAATGATTGAATAATGTTGTTTTTATCTTCCGGTTAAGGTTTTTATGCCTTTAGTAAATCTGTGTGCAATATTTTTAGAATTATCAACAATTTTAAAGTTGTTTAAGTGCCGCTAATATACATATTTTGAGTTTTTATGTATTTTTGCCTTCTCGCGAAGTGAGAACTGAATTAATTGAATGAGAAATACTCAATCGTCTGTGAAAAACTGTTTCTTTTTTGTTTTGTTTGCCTAATTTCTTTTATACATCATTCTAGCTTTATTATAGTATTTGAATAGAACATGTGGCAACGATTAGATAATTCTATTCTTTAAATGATATAAATTTTGTGCATTATGAGTTATAATATGAATGAAATATAATACTGTTAAGTGAATCTAGTGCCAGAGTGTCGTTATGGTAAACAAATACTACAGTGAATTTTAAAGAATGCATTTATTCTATTGCGGTTTATGTGCTGTCGGCGAAGCAGATTTAATTCAATCCAATAAGTTTAAATGAAATGCAAGAAAAAATGCATATAATTTAATATTCCGTACAAGGAAGTCTTGTGGTGTACACATCAGATTTTTTTAGAATGGATTGCCATAGCAACTTCCATCGTAAATATCCAATTTAATTGCATTAAAATAAAAGTCTGCTCACATTTAAAAATGAGTATTTAATTACAGTATTAAAGAAAATAACAAATGTGTATAGGTACAGATAACAAACACGAACACAGAACAGACTTGATACATACCCTGATGTCTTCAACCTATGATAAATAATTTACAATCATTACTAATAACCAAAATTACTACAACAACTATTACGAATCACAACCTTTCAATCATGGAGACGGAAGTATTCAAATAAATAATTAACAATATACTAAAAACTTACTTAACTGAAAATCATAAGATTTTTCTTGAACATTAATAATTATCTTATATTAGAAAGAAGAGTGGGCAAGAGAAGAAAAATGTTTCATTATTCATTAAACTGTTCAGTATTATATAACTGAATTATTTTAACAGTACAACATTCCGTAAAAAAAAGATTTCTAAAATATTAGGAAAACAAGCAGCTGTTAAAATATCACACAAACCATCTCACAAAGAATGGGATACAATGCTTTGCACACGTCTGATATTAGTATCAGATCAAGTTTAAGAATTTTATCATGGCAAAGAGGGCAGGATTGTGTCTGTCATCGGCATGACTTTGGAATCTTACAGGTGACAATAAGATTTTCACAGCTTCGTCTCAATTTTGAAGAAGAATTCCCCCCTCCCCTCTGGAAGTCTAGTCCAAGCAATTCCTACCCTTTTATCCTCTACCATCAAACCACTCTACAGGACTACCAAGTGTATCAGCTCGCTGTATTTTTTAAATGTCCCCATACAACAAAGACACTATACACTTACAAGCATCTAAGACTTATCTCGGATTTGGACGGATTTGGACTCAGGTCCAATGACACAACAGTCACTAATGCCAGCACCACCATTATACCAATCAAGTGGGCAGACAAACTTTGTAATCATAAGAAAGATGTATTCATTTAATAGATTAATATAAAATCAATTTTTGTGTCTTTCTTATGTTCTTCGTATAAGATGACATAAATATTGAAGTTCACTGAGCAGGAAACTCAAGAAATGTTGACACACAACAATATGGTGCTATGCTTACTTATATATTTGCATATGGTGTATTCTGTAATCTATGCAAATGTTCAATTAAACAACTTTATTAAATTAAATAGCATAAATATTAAATGTTAAATCATTTATATAAAATCGTACAATTTTAATAGCATTAAAAAGTATGTGTTTTTTACCTTCGTACAGATAACCAGTCCTGCGAAGTACATTACAACACATACAACAGATAATACATATGCCTTAGATCGTCTTAGACGTTCTGGCCAAGTATCAACAATAGTAGTGGTTACTGTCTCGATCAGTGTAAACTGCAAAAAGTCATTAACAAAATTAAGTATCATAACACACTAATTTATGTATTATTCGCATCACCTTCCAAGTTCTAAAAATTAATCAGTTACCTGTGTTCCTAAGCCAAGAGTAAGTAGCATGAAGAAGAACAGAAATGCCCAAAGTGGGGAAACTGGTAATCGTGCTACTGCTTCCGGATAAGCAATGAAAGCCAAACCAGCACCTATCCAGAAAGGAAGTAGTGGATTACAAGGGAAAAGCAATGAATATAACAAAGCATTTATATTTTTTACCATTTAAAGTTACTGCTTCATGTAATAATTCATCTGAATTTGATCTGACATGCATTTTAAATTTTATAAAAAAATCATACAAAATCAAAATAAATTCGGCTTCAATATACGTTGGCCTCTAAAAAGAGAAAAATTATGATAATGATTATAATCTGAACACGACAGAAAAGTTAATGTAATTATCAGAAAAACAGTGATTATCTTCTGTTTTCAAGACTGTTTAAAATCAAAGCAAATACCTATGATATAATTTTATGAAATTACTGAAAATATTTTAAGACGATACGATAACAAAAACATGCAAAATACATTCTTCTTAGATTATGATTTCGCTTATTTAAATAAAATATCAAATAAATATTCACAATTTTAACATAGTTATGGGTTTTAATCCTTCCCTTTCCATCAGTACATAAGCTTACTGACAAGATTCAAAAACATCCGACAGCTTGCTTTAATGTTCTAAACAAAAGAAAATTGCACTGATCTTTTGTTTTCGATTAGCTGGTGCATTCTAACAATATGATTAATTTTAAGGTTAACAACAACTACTGAGCATATGCAAATATATTTATACATGTATCAAGTAATTATAGTAGTAAACAGTGCAAATATTTGCTTTTACTTAGCAGCGCTTGGTCTGAAATAAGTTTGTGAATTTTAAAAATCATCAGGTGTTTGCCATTTGTTTATAATTCATCAGCTGCTTTGAATGCACAAGCCAGTATTTTAGCTGCTGCAAGGAAGATCATCGGATTTGGAAGTCAATTATTTTCATATTCATGCTATGATGCAAAGATTATTGAGTACAGAAGAATTAGAAGAGCTTTTCAATGAACCTTTTTATTCTGGATCCAATGGCAATTAAACACAGTGAAAGTGATAATAAATCAAATAGTGGACGAATGCAATGTTCCTTCATGTAAAGATTGCTTTATGCTGTGTCATACAAAATAATTGCATTTTATAATAAATGCTGATTTTGATAAAATCAATATAAATACTGTATATTATTTAGTCCTTAATGCTAATGTCCAACAGCTACAACAATGAAATTCTTCCATTACAAATACGCATGTAAAATGTTACAAAACCTTTAAGGCATAAACTGAGTTTTTACAGTAGTATTCTTTAAGAGGGACCTAAATTATTACAACCGTATCTCATGGTTGTGAAACCTTTTATTTCAAATTAAAGAACAAAATCATTAATAATATTAAATGAAATTAAGGTTTCTTTTAATATTAATTACAGATACATTTAAATGCTGCATATGAGATAAGCATAAATTTCTCTTCTGTCTTGATTAATTACAACAGATTATTAATATAGAATTTATATTTGCATCTTTTTCAGCTATTAAAATAATGTTTTTATGAGAAAACAACAATTCATAATCATAAAATTAGAGAAGCCTACCTTGAGCAGCAACCTCTTTAACAGGAACACCCATTTCATGTGCCATGAATCCAACAATACTAAAAATAACAAATCCGGCAAAAAAACTTGTGGCACTGTTTCCAAACGTTATTACAAGAGAATCCCTGAATATAAAATTTTATTATTAAAATGGCAAAAAATATTTCCAACATTGATTTAAATTATTTAAAAGATTCACAACAATTATTTATCTTGCAAAAAAAAAAAAACAATTAATTATTCTAAAGTTTAAAGTTGCAACAAATGCAGATTATGTGAAATTTTTAAAATCTTTTTCCATTTAAATAATAATAACAATAAAATGGTAAAATAAAATTTTTAAAAAATCCATCCACCTAGAAAAAGCAGTGAAATGTGATGCAAATTCAGTTTCAAGGACATGGGGAATACAATGAGGGAACACGAGAAAAACTGAAGAATCAGAAACATTATTTATTGCAGCAACAGAATCATTACAGATTACCATAGCACAGTATTGCCTCAGGCATCAATGAATGTAGAAATGAAGTTTTTTAAGGTTGCATTCAAACCTGTAAAGCTGCCCTCACTGATGTACCCCCAGATATGGCACAGTTCTGCAGTCATGTCAGACACACTTTGCGATGACCAGCACTGATGACTAATCATGTCCTAAACATGCTCAATGAGGGTAAGATCGGCAATCAGGACAAATTTGGGAGACTTGATTAGAAAGTCTAGGAATGTGTGTTGCATGCTCAGATTGTTATTATTATTATAAAAAATAGCTTCCTGGCACACCCAACAGCATGGTTGCTATAACAGTTCACCAGATGTCATTGATGTAATACTGAATCAAGTTGGTGGGCAGAATAACAAGAGTTGACTGAATATCACAGGCAATAGCACTCCACAAGGTAATTAGAACTTTTTGATATTGCATGTGTGATGGAAATAGCCCAGTAGACAACAACATGTGGTGAGCAGCAATAGCCTGCCTGCCTCTCTACATGGATGTGTAAGTCATATGGGTCAAATGAGAACTTTGGTTCATGGACAGGATTCCAGTATGCTATGTTCCACTTCATATGGATGTAACCAGCAAACATTGTAGACAGTAAGACAGTGTTAATGGTAGACTTCATCCAAATTTAAATGGCAGATGAGTGCTGGACCTTTTCTAACTGCCAATTTGCTCTTTCACAGTGTGTCATATATATGCTGCATGAATGCATTCAATTGTTATGTAAATTCTTAATAGCTGGGTATGGAATTTCTGCATGCTAAGTCTTATGTTCCTCTGCATTTTCACAGTGTAGGAATTTCCTCTCCTCCACAAGGTGGAATTTAATTTTTTAAAAATAATAATCCTTTATTAGCTGACAAATATATATATATATATAGGAGAGCATGTAGGAGAGAGAAAGAATACATTTTTCATTATAAGAAAATTATTAAAAATAGACAAATTGTTTAAGCAAATATATATATAGTAAAATTTTTATCACTATTAGAAATAAAAAGCAATTATTAAAAAAATAATTTCACAAATTTTTTTAGATATTAAATGAAAATTTTACGCAAAAACATTAAATAAGTAACCCTAATCAAAAAATAAATAACTCAGCATTAAATTAAAAAAATTAAACAAACATTATATAAATTTTAAAAAAACTTGTTCTTAGTTATGTATAAAATACATTTACAACTGCATATATATATGCATACTTCTTTTGAAGTGTCACAATGAAAATTGTTTAACAACTCACCTAAAACAATTGTTATGAAAACGATTGTAACTAGCAAGAGTGATTAGTCCACCCCAACAAGGGGAAAGGGAAAAGAATATCTGCATTGCAGCATCCCCCCAAACCTGAAAAGAAAAAAATATTTATGAGGCACATTTTTATTTAGCAAAGATAATAATTAGTTTAGAAAATTCAAGTGCCGGTTATGAAAATTTTTGTATTTTATTAAAAACTTATAAATATACTAATTTAAATATATATATATCTATTCCTCACAAGTCAAAAACATTAACTGTACAATAAAGTCTATTGAGAACTGTCTGATGTATTCAGTAAGACTGACGTTATTCAGTAAGCTAAATTGCTGAGATTAGCTGCCACTCTTTTTGTGGCAAGTGATTTCCATTCGCAATTTATTTGCATGTATCCTGTCTTGCACAATGAACATGACTCTGGTGCAGATGCTGCAGACATACATCTAAAGCACTAGAGGTATGTTTCCTTGTGTAGATGGACTGCCACATTCACTGCATACTTGCAGAGATACTTGTTCCAAAATATGTCTCCTCATGTATTTGGGGCTTAATGAGGTCGTGGAAGAAAAACATACTTTTAAAAGAGGTTGATGCAAGGAAAAAAGTTGGAAATTTCTGGTTTATACCATTCTCTAATAAAAGATATAACAAATTTACCTTTGCATCTAAAAGACGATGCCATTCAGGAGTAAGGTAAAACATAATTCCATCATATGAACCTTCCAGGGTTGTACCTCTAATCAAAAGGATTATGAGAACTAGGTATGGGAACAATGCAGTAAAATACACAACCTAAAAATGAACACAATATGAACAAAAGATCAATAAACATCATAATACCTCTATAAAAATATGAGAAATTAAGAAAAAATCTCATATTTTAAATAAACAAATTAATTTTTCATTATTTATATTCATTTCCAAGCACGGAATTGATAAAGATTCTTATATTGTATAAAAAATATCAATAATTTCTTGACACAATTATTTCTAAAAGTATGCCAATTATTGAAATAATTAACAATGATTATTTAATAAGGAATGATGTAAAAATAGACCTATAAATTTAACACACACACAAAGAACTAAATCTCTATTTTTAAGAATAATGCCTGTTAATTTAATTTTTAATATTTGTTCACAATTTTTAAAAAGACTGAAATAAATTTTAAATCAGTTACAAATTAGAACAGCCTTACGTAAATAACCTCTAGCTGATTTATACGATATTCATAATAGTTAGGATAACCTTTCTTGAAGGCAAATTATTAATTTTTAAAATTCCACTGACTTTTGTAGACATAATAGTAATTTATTAGACATAATAGTAATACACAGTAGAAGAAAGATAGAAATATACAGTATTATTTCAATAACTGAAAAATTACTAAAAGAATTTAAGCGATGTAATATAGCTCTTAGATTTTTCAATGTCATTTCAGTAAGACAATAATAATTTAGATAACATAAATACTAAGGAAAAGCATTTCCTTAAAAAGCACTGTTAAATGAAGAATCAGTAATTCTAGCAAAAAGGAATAAATTAAAAAATTACTAAATGCAACAGAAAGTAATAAATTTAAAAACACTTGATTAAAAAATGTACCATGTAAAAACAATAAAGAAAATTCAAATTCTTTTGTTTATTTACTATTCACTGTCTGAAGGGGGGGGGAACCTTTTTAAGGAAATGTGCAGCAACTTTAAAAGGGAACAAAAAAAGGAGGGGAAGAAAAAACATCTTTACTAATAGGGGACAAAAAAAGGGAAAAAAACAGCTTTACCTTTCCCATGCTTTTTACTCCTTTTAGCAGACAAATGAAAACAATAGCCCAACATGTTAGTAAACACAGTGCTAACTGCCATCTAACGCCACCTAAATCATGTAATCCATCTGTTATATCCAATACAAAATTGCTGAAAATAAATGATATTGTACATGAGAAACACTTTAAAAAATACTTGTACAGTTATAGAATGATACAATATGGTAATAATTACAAATGTAATAAAAATAATTATTAACACTGCAGACATTTAAAAAATTGTAAAACACAAAACAAATTTGGTCCTGTTTGTGAAAACATTTTAATCCTACCTCTTTTTGATCAGTACGTCATTTAAATCAAAGTATCCAGTAACTACCTTTCCTGATTAACTAATCAAAATAAAAATGGATAAAAATGGGGGGGATAAGAAATTAATATTTTTCTGGAATTATTGCATTAACTATCCAACCTTTACAAGAATAACAAAGCAGAGTGCTACATCAACTAAGCTGGCAACCCAGAATTTTATGAAAATTTATTTCATCTGGCAACCTGCTAACATGCATGATTTTGGAATTCCAAGGTTATATTTGTTTCTGCTTGTGATTAGTGTGTGCATGTGAGTGTGTTTTCTTGTAACAAACTGTAATGCAATTGTGGAATTTGCCTGCTGATGAAAGAGAAAATCACTTCCGTTCCAAATATATTTCAGTTTATTAAGAGGCTGAGTTTAATACATGGTGATTTGTATATTGCCAATTGTGATACCAGTTTTAAACTTTTCTAGTTAAATAATAACTAATAGTTAATTTAATAATTAATCCTAAAATAATATTCAATAATAATTAATAATAAATAATATTTAATAATAATATAAATAATATTTAATAATAATTAATCCTAAAATAATATTCAAAATTAATACCAATCTCTTACAAACAACTATTCTATCACTGTGGAAATTATTTTGAATATCAATAGATAGGGTTAGCATTTCATGTAAATATGTGTCTTTTTTGCTTCTCCCAGACCCCTCCCAACTGCATCCTTCCTTTTTTCAGACATAAGTCGGGAGGGTAGAATTAAGTTCCTGTTAAATGATTCAACTCTTTTGATTATCACCATATTTGAATCCGAAGTCTGTTTTAAACTGAACCAACAATGAATGTATAAATAATAAATATCATCTGTTTGTTTCATATTATTCAACAGTAGTTTTTCAATTGCATTTATGCTTTTTTCTAGATTCCATTGACATCAGCTTATCATCATTTTTTTCTGTATAATTTTCACTGTCAAATGTCGTTTTTTTTTTAAATATAATTAGATTTTATACTTGTTGTCTCAATATTGTTGTTAACCCTTTGACATTTGGGAAATGAGCAGTTTTCGTTTACTTAATTCACGCAGTATTACAAGTAAACAGTAGTTGAAAATGGCAGCTATTTTTTCCCGCCCTTCTTACGAAAATGTCACCCTTCTCTGGGGAAGCCATAGATAGATCACCTCACACATTTTAAAAATTTCTTAAAGTATTTGTAGTACATAAATAACAGTTTTTACATACTTTAAAATAATTAATAAATGATAATTATTAAATAGTAAATTATAAATGATTATAATCAAATATATCTATAATAATAAAAGCAAGTGTAAGTCTGTCTGTCTGTCTGTCTGACCGAGCTCTCCAGCCAAATCTATCGCACGCAGGGACCTGGAATTTTTTATACGGAAGCACAAAGGGGCTGGCCACCAGACCTCAAAGCCCGATTTTCGATTTTTGAATTAGAAAATTTTAAAAAAATTATTTATAATTAATTATCTGTCTGTCTGTCTGTCTGACCAAGCTCTCCAGCCAAATCTATCGCACGCAGGGACCTGGAATTTTTTATACGGAAGCACAAAGGGGCTGGCCACCAGACCTCGAAGCCCGATTTTCGATTTTTGAATTAGAAAAATTTTAAAAAAATTATTTATAATTAATTAATCACGGTTTTTTTGACTCACTGATATTATTATTTGTTTTCAAATAACGTTCGATTGTAACAATTGATTTCTTTATTCTAGCGTTAGTTTGCTGTTTTGACGATACATTAAATCGATTAATTACAATTCATTTCTTTTTTGTAGCTTGTGGGGGGGGAAAGAGAGAGAGACAGTCTACATGTCCTACACTACTATTCCTGCGCTATTCACTTATCTGCATTTTCTAAATGCACGGGCAACGCCGGGCGGGTACAGCTAGTAAATAATAATAGTTAATTATAAATATAAGACAAATATTAAATTGAAAGGACTAAATAAATACAACTAATGTAAAACTTTATGAAGCATTTAAATACAGTAATTACCTAAAAATCTTTTTGTGTGTGATATATTTTAAAATTAAATCGTAAACTAAACTAGCCGATAAAACTAAATTGGCTCAAACTCTTCACTGTTGAACACTCAAAAATCTTCCTCATTGCTTGAATCATCTTCTGAGCATGATATACTGTGAACAAAGTCATCAAACTCAAAACATGTTTTATGTAGAAGAATCTGTAAGGATTCTTCTACATAAAACACACATTTTCGAAAAAAGTTTTTAATCAATTTTAATTGATTAACCCTTCGCAATTATTATAATATGCATAGCTTCTAGCACAGATATTGACTTAGTTAGCTCCTTACAAGTGCTAACATTTTCACTATATTCAATTTGGTTCATCATCTTCTGAACATCATTTCAGTATTAACATTTTGGCTTGTACACATTTCTGTACATGAAATTAAGTACTTTTATTCAATCAGCTATCAATGAAAAAAATTAAGGACCTATCAGCAAACAGGAATTAAATAAGCTAAAGCAATTATCTACACTCAAACTTGACTTTTAAAATACCACTTAAATCTGTAGGTAGGATGAAATATTATCAAATATAATCTAATACTCAATTATAAAACAAATTCAAGAATAAAATCAGTTTCACAATTTTTTTTTTCAAGGAATTAGCATTAAATTACAAAATTTCTTGAAACATTAATATTTTACACTAATAATAGTCCCACATATTTTAACCTTTTCAGCTTTGTGGATTGAAAATTCCATATAGAAGGGTGGCTTTCATATTTGTTACACATGAAAATGTTTACCAGCTTTTAATGTATCCGATTTCGGGCTGAATTTATATTGGACGAAAAGGAATCAAAGTACAAATTGAGAGAGTCGTTTTTTAATTATAATCAAGAAAATAACATTTATTCATGATATCGTGAGGAACTCTGAAATTTCAGGCTAAACCCATAACATTCAAAGGGTTAAAGAAGATTAGTGACACTTCATTTGAATCTTACTAACAGTTAGTTTTACACCCGCTCAATCCAGAGGTTTATGCAGATTTTATGTCTGGCATAAGTTAAATTAAGTAAAATATTAATCAGTATGATTCGTAACAGAAGCTTGGCTGTTGCCACTGCTGCTGCTTAGAGACAAAAGGTCAGTGGTCAGAATAGATGTAAATGCCTGATGTTGGTATATTTGGTAAGTGTTGAAAGTTAGCTGTGCTTTGTCTGACCCAGTTAGGCATCATAGCTTCATGCAGACTGGAGTTGTAACCTAGTTAATATACAGTATTCAATATACAGTTCCAATAAGCCACAGAAACACCAGAGATATTAAGTTGTTTTGCATTAAGTCTTATTAGCTGTAAGGAATAAATTTTTATGTTAATTTTTACATTTTGGGTTGTATCTTGCATCCATAATAAGGATTAAGGAAAGATGATAACTCATCTTAACATATAGAGATAACTTCTAAGGGCAAGTGGTTAGTTACAAATAATTACATTAAATATCCTTAGTCATAACAGACTTACATGGTTATTTTTTATTTATTTTTTAATTTCTAAAAATATCATTAAAAAGCATCAAGATAATTTTACAGCAGTTATAATTTATGATGCTGAATCTAAAATAAAATTTGTATAAATATACATTAAAAACTATAAAACATTTATTTTGTAACAACAAAATATTAGTATGTCTTTTTAATTTGAAAATTATTTCAATAAACAAATGAATGTTTCCATTAATCTCTGCATTATCTCATAATTTGTTAATGTACCTTTTTCAACAATGTACCACCTTTGAAGAATAATTTTCTCTTCTTTATAAAATCAATTTTTGTTTAATGAGTTTCTTTTTCATTTTTGAATATTAATTTTATTTCTTTAATAATATGAATACTGAGAATAAATCAGAAATGATACAAGGTCAAGGCCAGTGGCAGAACCAATGTAGCAAAATTTTTACAATTTAGTGAAGAGCAACAAAATTTAATGGTGTTAAAATTTTTAGGATATAAGATGAATCATTTAATAAATTGTTGGTTTTCAGTTTCTTTGCTTGCTTCACTGGAAACATAAGAAAAAAAGGGAAGAAAAGAAAAAGTTAAAAGAAAGACTTCTGGGATCAAAAGCAAAAATTCAGATAATTTTGTTTCCATTGTTCTTGCAAAAATTCTGCAAAAGATAAATTCATTGCAAATTTCCTATAAAACACATCCATTACATTTTAATACAAAGAAGACATTTTTTATTTCGTCACAATTTTCTGGAATTGTAGTTTTATAAATCTTACTTTCAAATCCTTCTAAACCTTCCCAGGTGCAAGGTCAGAAATCCAAAAGAAAGTTTATCCCTACCAACTCTGAAACAGCAAAAAACCAAAAGACTTTGAAAGAAAGGAGAAAAAGTTCAGAAAAGAAAAGTGAAGCAAATCTTCAAGAGAAACCTGGTACTCTTGAAATATTCTGAAACAGTTACATGGGGAAAAAACTCCTATCATGAAAAAATATAAAAAAACAAATGAAACTAGTTCTATAATAATTACAGAATTGTTTCAGAAACTGTGCAAAATACTGAAAATGAGCAAAATACTGAAAAATGAGCAAAATAATAAATGGAATTTATTATTTTGCTCATTTTTCAGAATCAAAATATTTGCAAGTCACAGAAATGGGAAGTAATGTCACTTTAAAATATGGCAGTAAAAAACAAAAATGCATTATTTAAATTTTATTTCTTAAATATAATTTTAATATATTATCCTTATTTTTATGATTATCATTGTTATTTTACAGGGTTATTCAGAATTCCCTCCTAGGTTTTGAAGCACTATAAAGTAAAAAAACTAAGACTAATATAGCAAATAAGAACATTTGAAATAGAAACAATTAAAAGTCTTATTTACATAGCTTCCAGGTGTTCTATGTGTAAACTGTTCGTCACACAGCATATATCAATACAATAGTCCAGTTCCTGCCCCACTCTACTCAATATGGTACTATCAACATTACTGACAACACACGTAATCCTTTCATGCAGTTCAGCTAAATCACGCAACAAGGGTACGAAAACTTGGTCTTTTACATACCCCACAAGAAGGAATTGTGGGGTATGTAAAAGACCAAGGAGATAAAGGTGATAAATCACAAGGTGATAAATCAGGTGAGCGTGGGGGCCATTGCAAAAGAGGTACATCATCATTGGAAGCTTGCCCAATCCAACGATGAGGTAAGTGTATGGTCAGATACTCACGTACATCACACAGAAAATTGAAAGAAGCTCCAGCTTATTAAAAAACAAAGACGTCATCTTCATGATCCTCTAATTGTGGCATTAACCACAACTGTAGCATATCCAGGTATACTACATTGGTTATGGTCATCTCTGTAAAAAAAAAAAAAATCACTCATAGACATGCGAGGAGGAGACAGCGCAAAACACATTAACTTTTGGGGAATCATGATGGTATTTCACTACACTATGAGGATTTTAGGTGCCCTAAATGCACAAGTTATGGCAGTTTACCTTGACGGGCAAGTGGAAGATTGATTCATCAGTAAAAATCATTTCTGCACTAGTGTTTCACTATGTTGGACACCGATGCAAAATTTCATACGAGAAATGTAAGCTGACGGATGCAACGCTTGCAACAATCGCAATCTGCACAGTTGCATACACAGATTTTTACGTACAATCCACCACACTGTTGGTTGCGATATCCTTAATTCTTGGCTTGCACGAATGGTTGATTTTGTCGGGACCCTCAAAAAACTTTCCCATACATCACTTACGGTTTGTGCAGATGGTCACGGACAACCACTTTGTTTCTTATCACAGGGGCATCCCTTCCTTTGAACTTCTGGTACTACACATGAATTCTTTTGTTACTTGGTCCCTGGGTTCGATATTTCATACGAAATGCCTGCTGAACCAAAAACCACTGATTTAGATTTAGCAAATTCTGAGACAGAAAAGGATTTCTGTTCGCCTGCAAATGGCATTTTCATTTACTTACTGCCTTCAGTCTACCTGCCCTTTCACTGCCAACTGCTGACGATAAAACTTGAATAATTTCTGTATACCTTCAAATGTTCTTTTTTGCTATACTTGTCTTACTTTTTTTACTATAGCGCTTCGAAACCCTGGAGAAGGAATTCTGAATAACTCTGTATTGTAAAAAAAAAAAAAAAAAAAAAAAATTGCAATCTCTGAATAAAAGATTTTGTATACAAACTGATCTTGAAATCGCCAAAATGTTAATAAGTCATAATAATAATATTAATAATAATAATAATAATAATAATAATAATTCTTTTTTTTTAAAGGGAAAAGTTATTTTTGGTGTAATATTTTATGAACTCTTCATTCACACACAAAAAGAAAAAATTTCTAAGCGTTTTACGTTTCAATTGAGGCAGGGCCTTGTGTCTAAACTAAAGTATCCACCATTTACATTAAGAAGTAAAAAACTCAAATATTAACCCATTAAATACATATTTGTCAATGCATTGCCAAAACATATTTCTCCAAAATGTTAATTCACATCAAAACGGCAGTCATAAAAACACAGACAGAAATATGAGTAAAATAAGGACTTTTTGTCAATTTTGGCTGAAATTAAGGATTTTTAAGAATCAAAAATAGCTTCCAAAATACCCAAGGACGTTTAAGTACTTTTCAGGACCACACAAACCCTGCCTAAAGGCTAAATGTTAGAAGTTGTATTTGCAGGAAGGGTCACTAATGCTGAATAGACTATGAAAATGGATATGTTGGATAACCATGAAAAGTTTTAATATGCATTAAGTAGGATATTCTGGTACTGAAGAACCAATCTTTTATCAACCTGGGTTTAATAAGCAGCGAAGATGAGTTTAATAAGCAGCAGTCTTTCTATTACGTATTTGTTTTGGTTCCTAGAAACTTGAATATAATAAGCGACTGAGTAATGCAATGAGTTTACTAAGGAGCGGGTACCGTAACAGTACAGTGGAGAAATGTGCAGCCCATGAAATTGCATTTAACAAAAGATCAAATTGTCTGAATTATTTTGGGAAGTTTATTTGGAGAAAGTGTCTGAAAGGAAAGCAAAAAGACTATTTTAACCCCTTAACTGCCGCGGGCGTATATATACGCCTTGCTCAGCCGATGCGTTAACTGCCCCAGGCGTATATATACGTCCTTCCAAACTGCTATCATTTGCTTTGCGCTGCTACACCTAAAATTATTCGCAAAGTTAACGCATCAGCTGCGCATCTGGGGCAGTTAACGCATCGGCTGAGCAAGGCGTATATATACGCCCGCTGCAGTTAAGGGGTTAAAGGAGACAGCTGAGCACTGGATGCTAAAATGTAAATATTGTGCAGACTGCTTTCCATTATTATTAAAATCCACCATTAAGAAATAAAACAATGCTTGACTAGGTTTTATTTATCTCCGATGTTACTTATTACAGAAATCTTGCAGCTCTGAAATAGTTTAAGAAATGTTCTTAAATGGTTGTGACAACAGTTTTCCCCAAATAAGTGCAAATCTCTGATTGTTATTATGATTATTATTATTTTTTGTTAAATCAGGTCAGTGCGTGCATGGAAAGCAGTGCCATTTTACTCTGCAATGCCAAAATTCTGTGATGATTTTCAAATTAAAACAGACTGCTGTGCACATGTATAAAAGACAGTGAAAAATCGAAAATTAAGTGCTTTATTATGGGTGTTTGCTGTATTTTAATTTAGTTAATTTATTACTGTTTTATGAAACCTTAAGCATTTCATTATGGGTGTTTATATAATGTTTACAGTTTCATTATGCAAGTTTTTTGGATTTGTAATTGTGTTAATTCATTTGACTTTTAAATAATTTTCAGCATTCAGCCATTTTTTTAAATGGCTATCATTTTTCATGTGTTAGGTTGCCAAAAAATTAGTCGCTAACCATTAGCGACTTTCCAGTATGGTTGGGCAGATAATGCAATACCATCTTTTTTCCAAAATTATATATTATCTGTTTCTAAGAAATTTAAGAGAGAAATGTATATTGCACAATAAGCCCGTCTTTGAAAAATGTGAAGGCAAAACCTAAAGCACTTTTCATAATATGAATAATTTCATATTCAAAATTTCTCGAATTTGGTATTTAAAATAGTTACATGATTGAGAACATTATATTTGCCTCGAACTGTCATATTCACTATTTATTTATCACTTACATCACAAAATAAAGTTATATGTTTTAGTATATTCCTTTTATTTCAGATATTAAAAAATGCTCATTTGTTTATTTTAAAAGTTGATATAATATCACATGTTTACAATTATGAAAATATCAAATATGCTTATTATACAATAGTTTTAGTTCAAAATTAAATCATAAAATGTAAGCCAAATTTATTTGCAAAATGCAGACTTCCAGCTTGTTTTAATTTAAGCGTAAGATTAGTTGCATGTAGCTTCAATAATTATCAAAACAGATTTACTTATTTTTAAACCAATATGTTCAATTAACAGAAATAAATTAAACCCTAAACTATTCTATTAATAAAATCTCATCTATATTTACATAATTATTCACGTTTGAAAATCCCTACAAAAACAAAATTTCAGTACCTCCCTTTCACTATAATTAGAAAGAATATTATACATTTTTACCACTGGTTAGAAGCTTAAGACAAAATTTATGTTCAGTAAGTTGCAACTCAAATTTATTCTCCTCTGCAAGATGAACTAGGTAAATGTTCAATGATATCAAAATAAATCTCAAAAGTAGAACATGGAGAAGTAAAATACATACTGATTTGATAGGTACTTAACACACATTCTTATGACTGATTAACTGAATAAAAGGTAAAAACAAACACATAATACAGGGGGGGAACCACTCAACAAAATAGTAGTAAAGCATCACTTTACTTCAGAAAGTTATTAAAATGAAGACTATCCCAAAGCAATTCCAGATGGAAGATCATTGACAAAAAGAGGAAATATTCTGATTCCCAATAAACAAAAGAATATGAAAATAAATTATTTTCCTGGGAAAATAAATAAGTTATTATGATATTCACAAAAAAATTATATCTGTGCCAAAAAACATCCCCAACTTAAAAATAAACTTGAGCAATAAATAGTTACAATTCAAAGAATAAAATAAAAAGCACTATCTTCACGTAATTTTAAAATTTACAAGGCACCCCATATATACTTACGTACAGGTGGGGATTGGGCCTTAAAAATAGCAGAGGAAACATTCTTACTGAAAATATTCATCGCTGGCCATCTTGGTGTTATGTTTAACATATTCATCCCATTGTGCTGGATCTACTTCACTTTGCAAAACACATGTTCCATTAGATAATACGGTGCCATTATGAGCTGTGCAGTTCCTGGTGTCAAACTTTCTACAAGCTACAAAATAAAGGAAAATATTTAATAAAATCTATTGCTATATTTCATACATAAAATGATCAAATATATCAATTTAAAAGCTTTATGTCTCACTTGATCAAATTATATAAATTTTTAACAGATATTAAAAACACCAGAAAAACATACACAGTACACAATCTAAAATATCCGGACTTCCAGACCACAGTGAATCTTTTTCTACCTCCTGTTAACTTATATACACAGGTAATGGAGGTACTGTTTTCCAAAAATTCGATAGTGAGTTTTCAGTGAGTAAGCATAAATTAGGGTCTCACAACATATTTTTTATGTTTTTAGAATGATTTTTCTATGTCTGTGTGTGACAATTTTTCCATCTATGATAACACCTATATGAAACATTCAAAAATTTTTGTTTTCAGTATTTAAGCTTTCTACATCTGCATAAAGAATTAATTAGATTTGGGGTAAAAATGGACAACCAGAAGTAGTACTTTACCAGAAATCCATAACTGTCTTAAACTTTTTAACTGTCATGCCCGAGATAATCTCGGGTACAGCACTGGTGTTCGAAAATGTCACGCCTGAGTATTACTCGGGGTAATTTGTTTTTGAGTGCATCGTATTGTTATACCCGAATATATATCGGGAGACGTTTATTTCGGCTTCATCTTTTTGTCATACCCGACTGTATCTCGGGAAAAATTTGACAATTTGTGTAGCCAAATCATCAAAATAACTTGACAGTTAAAGGGTTAATAGACAACTGGAAGCAATACTTTACTTGAAGCCTACAGCAGATTTTAATAGAAAACTGTATTAAAATATAATCCAAAACTTTTCAATATTAGTATTTAAGAATGGTAACCATATATTAGATTTTGGTTAAAATTCATAAAAGTGGAAGTGATACTTTTGTTGAAGCTCTGAACGGACTTTGTTAAAAAAAGGGGGGGGAAGAGAGAGAATTCAAAATTTATGTGATTAAGAACAACATATTGTATTTATTAAGAACTGTCACATTTTTCACCTTGAACAGCACCATCTATATTAAAACAGAAAAACTTCTAGCCACTTGCCATGCATGGAATAATATATGTATGAATGTTGCAGAATAAGTCATGTCTCTAAAATGACCATTTCTGAAAATGACTGTACTTTAAAAAACATAAACATGAGCACTAAATTTGTTTTCTCCAAGATGACCGCTATGACCATTCATGTGGGGTCATCTTGGCGAAAATTATAGTTTTTTGTCATACATAGTTCTCTTTGGTAAAACCTCATCTATGCCACTAGCCCCCAAATACATTGATGACCTCTGCAGAAAAGCCCTAAACAGTGTCAAAGATTTCAAAGTGAGACTAATGATTCTGGCAATTGCTACAAGAAAGCATAAATGTAAATTTTTCATATTCAGAAAAAGTACACAACCTTTTGATCATTTAAAATGATTGATTTGAAGATCAGTTTATACATGAGGCTCAGCAATATTTAAAATCAGTTGGTTTACTGAATCAATACAAAATATGTCCTGGTTATAGATAACTGTTTGGCTCATACTTCACTTAAAGATTCAGTAAAAAATAATATCTCCAACTTATTCTCCTTTCCCCCAAATTCTACATCCATTATTCAGCTAATGGAAAGTTCAGAGTGAAATGCAGATATAAAATAACTTGGTTAATAACTTGGTTCTAAATTGGTGCTAAATTTTCAGAGCAATAGCAAGACAATTTACAAGTTTTTGAAATATTTTAACATAAAATTTGCTATGCAGGGTTACAGGAAAACATGTCTGCCGATATTTTTAAAAATGCTTTGGATAATTTACAGCCAGCTGCCATATTTTATGTTGATGATGACAGCCATGATTTTGAATAACAGAAGTTTTCCATTGCTATGACAATCCCCGGATCATCAATCAATTAATGAATAACTAACTCTGGAGCATGGCTTTTAAATGCTGAAATATTGCTAACAATAGTGAAGAAAGTGGCAAAGAGGTTTATTGATAATGAAAAGGTTTTGATTAACAGTTTAGTAGGTTTAGCACTATAGACACAGAGGAAAAATACAATAACAAATGTTAGCACCACACTGAAGAAAGTGTGTTCCAAATACAAATATTTTTCACATTTGACAAAGCACGTTTTCATTTTTCCATGCTTTTTCGCTGGGCAAACATAGCATTTTTTTCTTTTTCTTTGTTTACAATATTATTTCCAATAAAATAATTTATGTCATTCTCACTCTCATTTTCAGAATCAATATTATGTTTGAATCAGTATCATGTGAACTAAAAATTCATAATCACACCCCTCCTCATTTACTTCAATACATTCTTCACCAGTTGATACATCTAATAACTTTTGCAACATGTGTTCATTGTAAAATAAATTACATGACATGTTCGGCACTTTCTATATACTATCACAAATCAACTATGTAATAGTAATACGAATAGGCGCACTGGGTTTAAAAGACATGATCTGATCAAAATCAAGACTCCGAATCAAAGCAAAAAAATTTCGAAGAGGTCGACCTAGGACATAACTACACTGAACCTAAAAAACTTGTCTGAAATAGTCATGCTTTGAGAAAGGTTTGTTTAATCTTGCAGATCCAGTGGGCGCAGTGCATCTGCACGAGAGTTAATAAAACAAATAAATATTAGGCCTTTTTTGTAAATGTCTCAATTACCTTAATGTCATAAATGTTGAAACATTTTAGTTTCATATTTTTTATTTCTACACTAAATAACATATAACACAAAATCAAAACACATACATAGCCGAAACCTACTAGAAACATTAATCTCTGTTGCCATTCACTTCAAAAAAATAACTGTTGCCACTTACAATGTGTATGAATAATTACTGAAATGGAAACTAACCCTCAACACCTTTCCTAATTTTTATTTCATATATTAAAAACTCAAAAAATCAAATTTACCTTTATTACCAATTTTATTTTTCACCTTCTCCCCAAAACATTTTTTACTTAATTTACCATAGTTTCAAATACACTAAATAATTCTTAAATTTATTAAACTTAAATTCATCTAATGGTTATGTAAATACATCTGCTATGTTATTGTCAGAACGAACAAAAACTAAATTTATATTACCTTCCATAACTTTTTTTGACAAAAAATAATGCTTTACTTCAATGTGTTTACTTTTCCTATTAAAATTACCATTCTTAATCAATTTAACTGCTCTTTGATTCTCAATATTTACATTCATACAACAGTTATTTCTTCCAAAAAAAGCTTTTAAACATTAAAGTTCTGTAACACAGTCTGCTACTGCTATGTGATCAGCTTCTATAGTCAACAAAGCAACTATTGTGTTTTCTCATACTCCAACGCACAGAACTTCCTTCATATAAAATCACATATATACATATATAAAATCCCATATCAGCACTTCTTTGAGTTTTTTTTTTTTTTTTTTTTTTTTTTTTTTTTTTTTTTTTTAAAACCAGGGGTTCTAAACCAATAGGGAGAGAGGGAATTTCATAGTTTCAGCAGGAGGGGAATGCAATCAGCCTTTTATCTAGTTGTTTAGTATTTAGTTTACGTTTTTTTGAATATAAAAAACTATTTTCATTCAAGTGTTGGTATTTAACCAATATTTTCTACACTTTTATTTTTATTGCCTAATTTATTTTAAAAATAATTTAAATAAATGTATATATATTTCTAAATTTTAGAAAGGAAGAAGGGAGTAATCTCCTAGCAATGGTGAAAAGGGTTGCATCAGGCAAAAATGGCTGAGAACTACTGCTCTAGAGTAACAGCAACAGTATAATCTAGGCATTCTGTTACACAGATATAAAAAGTTATATATTGTTTCTCTATATGGAAAATTAACTTATTCTTCTTTTTCTTCTTTCCTTCTTTTCTTTCTTTCTTTCTTTCTTTCTTTCTTTTTTTTTTTTTTTTTTTTTTTTTCCCAAATTATTGAATCTAGTCCTATTGGAGTATCTGTTTATTTACAGTCAGACATTCCATATTTCTGAAGAATTCCTTCTTCATTTCTTTCCACTTCTATTCCCCAAAAATAGTGTTCCACTCCCAAAAATTACTTGGATATTCATCTACTTTTACCTCAAATTCATTTCACATTTCTTCTTTCTTCATTTGTTCTCTGTCTCTTCCAGTCAAGATACCATCATCATAAAAAATTGCTAAAACCAATGAGGAATCATTTTTTTTAAATGCGCATCTATTACATTTGAATGAAACCTTTTCTACTTAGAAATTTTGTGAAGCATTTATTTCTATTGAAAGGATCTTGTTTTAAGTCTATAAAGAGACTTCTGAAATTTTAATATTTTATTTTCAATAATTAAAGCCTTCAGAAACTTTCGTGTAAATATCTTATTTTATGTCTTTATAAAGAAAAGCAATTTTTATGTCAAATTGCATTATTTCAAGCTTGTTAATATCTGCTAGTGCAAATACACTACTAGTGCACTTACTGTTATAACAACGGTGCATTGTTTTTGCTGCATTTAGATCATCTTATCCACGGTTCTACTACTGTGTTGAAAAATTTTAGTTACATAAGTGGAAATATTTTAGTTTTTTATATATTTTATTTCTACACTAAATCACATCACATCATGCAGCACAGAATCAAAGCATTAACATAACAGGAAAGCACTATAAATATTAATTTATGCTACCACTGGCTCACAAAAATAATTGTTGCTATTCAATATCCATGTCCACTCAATATTTGTGTGGAAAATCAATACTTGAAATAAACAAGAAGTGCAAGGATATAAAATTTTAAAAAGTATTTTCTCAGTTTTTTTCAATTTGAAATCTTTTTTTCCCATTATGGTATTAGCTCCTTATGGCAAAATACAGCTCAATATAACAATTCTTAGCTCAGGTCTACTTGATGTCACAGACGAATCTGAAGTGATAATCATCAATTAAAGTAAAAGCAACATATTCACATTTCATTCATTAACGTTTTATTCTACAGTTTTCAAGTAGAGAAGAAAAATCTGCATATGTTCTTTCAAATACTATGTCAGCAACTGATTTTGAACAAATCTATATTTTCCTGAGCTTATAACATGGCTTTAAACAGAACAGATTATGATTTATCATAACATAAAAAAATTACTGGAAAAATGTGTTGATAAGAATTACATCAACTAACATGTAATTAAGTCGATTAGGGCTGGCATTTAGAGGTCATGATGAAAATTAGAACTAAAGCAAGAAAGAAAACTTTCACTTGCTTGGAATAGTTAAATGAATATGACAGTTTTTTGAAACTGCATTTTAAAAAATGTGGAAATCAAGAACAAAGGAATCTAAGTTGTTTGTCATATGATATTTGTAAGAATTCATCATCATCTTTAACAAATATTTAACAACATATACAGCAAAAGAACTCTAATCAGAAACTTATTATAACCTTATACTTGACCTAATATTTCACACACTGATCAACTGATATTGATATAAGGTACATACAGCCACAGTGATGTTAAACAAAGGTTTCTAAGATTTATTCTGATCAAAGAATATACAGCATTATATTTGGAATAACAGGTTTTGTCCGCTTTAGCAAAATTAAGGATAGATATTAAACTTCGTAGAGAGAAAACTTATACTGATGACGCAAAACAGATTTTATTATTTTTAAAAGGAAGTTGAAGACAAATTTATTTCTGACATATATATCATGTTCCAACCAGAAATATCAACTTTTTCTAATGTAGAAATTTTTTAAATAATTTTTTTGACAGTTCCAATTTCCAGTGCTTCTAGAGAGAAATCATTCTTTGTCTTAAAATAATTCTGTCTTTGTATTAAAAACTGTTTAAGAAATATGATGTCAGAAGAAAAATTAAATTGTAAAGCTCTAACATATATGGCCCAAGAAATGCTGTACGTTAAAAATAATTGACGGATTTGCCAGAAAGAATGTAAGGAAAAAATTTATTAAACCTGCTACTTGATAGTCGATAAATTTAATAATCAATTACTTTAAAATACTCCATAAAGTATTTTACCAGTTTTATGTTTTAATGTTCTCTCCAGTAAAAAATTTCATTTCTTGCAATAAGTTTAATTTTTATGTATTTTAGTCTTGATATGCAGAAAATAATTTAGAAATGAAAATACTAAATCAAAATTTTTATTAAAATATTCAAATTATGAAGTAATTATACATATTTAATTATTTATTGAATTTCTGCACTAACTGCCTTTTAAGAAAATAGGTATGCAAATACTTTCTTAGGGGCTCCAAAAATTTTACTGGCACAGACGTCCAACTGGCTTAAATTTGCCCTTGCCTACAAAATATATTTTTTATGTTTGTCTTTCCCTGCAAAGGAAATTAATTGTATAACAAGAACAGAACAATACAAAATGATCAAGACTTACCTTCTGTATTCCACCAGTTATCACAAGAACTCCATGGCAAATGACTAGTAAATGAAGATAGCAGATAAAAAAGAGCCCATGCTAAAATCATATTGTAATATATGCCAACTAGACTAGACATCAAAAACATGGCATATCCAAGACCTAAAATGAAATAAATTAATTGCAATTTGAGCAACAAGAAATTTTTGGTAACACTAATAAACATTAGAAATTACATACAGAAATGCTTTTTAGAATTTCACTATTATAGATGAAAACAGAGTATGTTATATTATTCATCTTTAAAACTTCAGAATGAAATGAGATGCACATACCACATTCAGGTTGCACAAAAAAATGGTTTCCTGTATGATGTATGAGCAAAATTGTTAACCCTTGGGTACATTTGAAGAATGAGTTTCGTCATGCACTTGTTCTGCCAAAGTTATGAAATCTAATTTGTCACTCAAACTAAGATAAAAATTAAAACGTGTACATTCTTGTTCATAGTAAAAGTGATTTGTAACAGTTATAAGAGGACATTTCTTCCAGTGCTTTAGTGAACCTTGTTTGAGACAGACTGCTCCAAAATGTCAGGAATAAGTAATATATTTTACAAAAGTGGTAATGAAAGTCTTAATGAAAGGGAAGACTTTGAGAAATATGATAATGATGACTATAGTGAATTACAAGATGAAAGTTTTGAAGACAATAGTGAATTAGAAAATTATGATGATAATGAAATATTTCCAAGATTTCAAAAGACATACCAGATGCTTATCGAGTAGTTATAGTGAATGTTCTAGGAAAGAACTGCCAAGGGAATAGATTTGGAAGGAAAATCTTGCTGATGTAAAATGATATTGTGCAATACCTGGGTTTCAGTTCTATGTGTCTGCATAGACTAAGTGATAATCCTAAGACTTTAGATGTATTGGAAGATTACTTTCATTTCATTTTCATTTTGTTTCTTTTATGAACTTAGATTTGATTTACAATGCTAATCATTATGCACATCATATCACTAAAATAAATGAATTCTCATACAAAATCTACTGCCTTGTGCACATCAGCAAATTAAATCCATACCAAACACAAGAATTTTTTCAAATAAATCTACCCAAGGGGTTAAGTGGTTAAATTAGAGCATATTATTCTCCTACTTTCATAGTCCAAGGATTCAGGATCAGTTTGTGAAAGGAATGTGTTCATTAAAAAAGAGATTATTGATTAATAAAGGATTGACTGTACATATACAAGCTAGTTCAAATATGAATGGGACATCAAAACATTTACTGCGAACCTGCTCTCCGAAGTTGATAATACTGACATTCTGGAAGCATTTTCATGCCTTTTTCAGAGAGGATTTTCAGTTGGTTTTGAATCCACTCTTGAACACTGATGGTGATGCAATCATTATCCAAAAACTGCATGCTTTCCAAGTGAGATTTAAGCATAGGACTTGGGGCTTGAAGCAGTGGACCCATGTTTCATTGATGGTCACTATGAACTTCCAAAATGGACCTTCATCTTCACACTGCCATTGGAGAGAAATGGTAATTTGCATGCACATCACTTTGTACTCGTCTGACAACATACTATGTATGGAATCCACTCAGCATACAATTTGCCATAGTGCGAAAGACTTTACACAATAGTTTCTGCACAATTATCGAATGAATGCATCAACACAAGTTCTTTGATTCTTTTATTGTGATATCCCTATTCTCTCAAATAGCTGCATTCAGATGATCAATGCTTACCAAATAATGGATTATCTCCACATGCTCCTGTCCCTCACTGAAGCACTTACACTACTCAAACACATGGGTTCTAGAAGGAAACTCTTCCCTATACTGTGCTTGGACCTTTGCCAAATTTCAAATGGCTGTTTACATTTTCTCAAATGAGAAATCTGATTGCATGCTCCGAGTCATCTGTTGTTTGCTAACCATGCTTGCAAGACACAACTCAGTAAGTTCTAATCTGCACGGTAGCTAACCCTGGGTAGTGGCCATACTCAACCAAAAACACACAATGCTGTACATAGGCAATGGGCTTGTAAAAGCATCACTCCAGTCCTTATTTGAACCCCCTTACAATATTATTATTTTATTTAGCTACTATTAAAATGCACTTTACAGCATTTAGCAATGTATGTCCACTGTTGTCCACCACAACTTATCCAATGATCATCCTATATTTGACATAAAGCAGCCAGAAGAGTCAGTGGTGTAGCTAGACGGGGCATAGGAGAGGTCTGCCATGGACCCATTTTTCGGGGCAGCATTTTTTCCGTAAAACATTATTTTATAAGGGTTAGTCAGGTTGATTTCCAAGGCAGGTAAAGAATAACGAAATTCTGAATTCCGAAAAGAAATTAAACTGATACAAAAAATAGTTTTTGCTGTATAAAGTAAAGAAATCACCAGGTATATCCCTTTCAAAACAGCAACATAACTCTTATTAATTTAGAAGTCACACAACAAAAACCAGCGTTATATTTTCAAAACTAACGCTGATTTCAAATTTGAAAATATAACCCCGATTTTTGTTGTTTGAATTCTAAATTAGTATTTTTTCGGCATGTTATTGTATCTTAACATAACTCTTGTTACACTTTTTTTATTCCATAAAACTTCTCATTAAAAATAGCAATTATCAACTAAATTACGATCATGGTGACATTAAGAAGGAAGAATTTCTCATTAGGAGAATATTTCAGAGTTTTATTTTTCATTATTGCCAGCGTACAAGACAGAAATGTGGAAGGGAGTCCTATGTCCATGTCCTTGTGAATTTTTTCAGTTTGTTTAGAAATACATAAAATCTTCAGAACAAAGTTCCAAATATTGTAATACTACCACAAACCTTTCTCACAGTAGCTTAAGTGTTACTAGTTGTGAGAAGAATTTTCTAAATAAAACGCATTTAAGAAGTATTTAAGGACTACAAATGCTTATTTAAAAATAATAATAATAATATAATTTTAAAAACTTGGAATTAACAATTTTGAGTTAATTTCCTATAAGTAATTGTGATATTTTTAAAAATTTATTTTCTGGTATATCAAGAGAGGAGGTAAATTCAGAGATCGCTCCAGGCAATAATTTCAGGAACTCTCTGATCGGTAAAGATTCTACCTATGCCACTGGAATAATTCTTCATTTTGAATTCTGCTATAGTGTGGTAAGAATATTTTCCACTGTGATAGCTTGAAAATATTGTATTACAGAAATTACAGAACTAAGAAACACTTAAAACCATAATGCTTTTTCAGACACTCACCTTGGAATAATGGACATATTTTCCATATCGTAACTGGCCCTTCACTAGCATATTGCCCAAATGAGAGCTCCATAAGAAACAATGGTAGACCAACAAATGCCATCATTATTACATATGGTATGAGGAAAGCTCCTATACAAGATAAAAAAAGTTATTACTATTAATACTCAATTTAGTACTTTCTGATTATCCACACCTCCATTGGAAAACTGCAAAAAAAGTGCTGATGAAGGCATGCCAGAAAATATTTATATGGCAATCCACAATAACACCCAAAAGTATTTGTGTGGAAAACTAAGATAGTGTATAGTAGACACATATTTATATGCGGATTTGTACTTTTGAAATTTAATGGCCATTTTTCTGAGTAGTATTTATTTTTCCATTTAGTTACATTTGATTTTGCTGCAATAAATCATAATGGTAATCTTTTTTATTGTTGATACGTTGGAGTATACACTGAAGTTTTAACTGTTCTGGAGGAACTGTGATCGTGGTCAATGAGCAATAACGAGCAATGATTGCTGTACATGGAATGAAAAACAGCATAAAAAATTTACAGAAGGATTTCTTGAAAAAAGTGAGTGTTTTACTTTTTTCATGGACTAGCTCCTTGCATGGCCAGCTGCCTAAAACAGTTATCATAACCACACTTTTTTTTTAATTGCACTTATTGCTTTGAAACTATTTGTTACTCAATAAGAGATATTAAATTTGAAACTTAAATGTCTTACACTTTACTGAATGGCAATATTCTGGCACATGTAAAATGGAAGTGTTTTATTCCAGGTAATGGTAACACATTGCTTTCATATGTTTGAATTTGTTTATTAACTTTCAAACATAAATATCTTACATTTTGCCTACAAGGAGGTTAGAAGCTCCTTGATCGCCAAGTAGCAACAATCTGGTGCAGTGAAAATAAAAATGTTTTATTTCAAACAGTGCTGCCACTACTAGTTTTTAAACTGCTAAGTTTTTTAATAAAAAATTCACTAGATTTGTAAAAAAAAAAAAAAAAAGAATAAACAAGAATAAAAATCTAAAAGTATTCAGATTTTAATGTTGCACTAAATGGTTTCTTATTTTCCCCCCATTTCTCTCACAGAGTACAGTAGGTTAATAATTTGCTCTTGGGCTCACTCCTGCTAACACTTTTTTTCTCTTTGAAGCTTTATTATTAAGTATAATTTTCTTAGCACTCAAGTCACATACGATTCAACAAGATCACAAATTTTTAAAAGTAGTGTGATCATAAATTTTTAAAAGCAGCATATCTTTAGAACTCTAGATACAATATTAAGTGTTGACATTATTTTTTTCAATTTTTCTCATTTCATCATATCTATGTTTAATTTTCTTAATACATGGCCCTCTTTTTTTGTTGTTGTTTTATCAATTTTTGCATGTTTATTTATCAAATAACATGGTTTTTGTACTCATGCCACATAAAAATCCAATAGCAATATCACAAAATATTTAAAAACACATAAAGTTTATGATTTAGTGTTAGGGGTTACCATACTTTTTTCATATGCTATATTACTTTTTTAAAAGCTAGTATGTCCAACTAGTGCAACTTAACAAAAATATTTAATATTTCTGATTAGAGATTTAAAGCATTTTATTTAAATCAATCATATTAAAAAGTAAAAAAAGTACTTTTAAGACCCGTGTCTATAGCTTTTAAACCGCTCAGTTTGTTACTCAATAACCTTTCAGATTAAATCTGAAAGTTATATATCTTAGGCTTTACTGAATACTGGAGGTGGGAAATAAAAGTAATCTATTTCTGGCAGTGGCCACACATTGCTTTTAGATAGCCATGTTTGTCAATTAAAACTGAACCTGGAATTGATCATTCAGAAATTACTTTATTTTGTAAACAAACCCAACCTTTCCCTGTTATTCCCATCCTAATCGATTGGTCAACCATACCAAGAAGAGCCCAACTCATGGACACAGATGACACAGAAGTCGAAATTTATCAATCTGATGCTCTTACTTTGGGGAATTTTAGCTTTCTAAGAAAATGTCAAACAACCTAAATCTTATCACCCCCATACATCCATTAGCAATAAATTAATTCTTTAGATGTTGTTGAAAACCTTTATGAGGTTTGGGATAACAATAATACTAGTTGTATAAACCTTAATATTACACTGAAGTGTCTGGTGTGCAAATATAGAAAAATAACACTTCTCTGACTCCTATGGAACCAATATTTTATTCCTTACGATGTTATAGATTCTTATTCATAAGATTTATTTACATTTTACATGCACGTAGCATCGCATGACAAAAACTCGAAGTTTGTTTACTTCGTTCTTCGCGGAGACTAGAAGGTGTTGCCATTCCACGTTAACTAAATTTAATTAGAAACTTAACGGAACTGAAGCGACACTACACACCCCCTTCCTAGTGACAGCGATTATGGAAGATAATCTTTAAAGTGACTGGGGAACTTCACATGTCTGCCAATTCTAGTAGTCTTAGTTTTATGATGAGTATCTGAATTTTCTTCAGTATTCTTGAATGCAGGTGTTTCCCCAAGTTCCGCTTTCTTGGAATGGGAGTTTTGAAGAAAATATTTTTCTGCCGAAACTTTTCAGGGATGTATGGTCGATTATAATTTGTAGAAGTATCACAGTAAATTTTCTTGTTGCTGTCTGGTAAAGGGATCTGTAGGATTTTTAAGTTTGGGTTGTTTTTTAGTGTCTCCAAGTCGTCATCTTCTTGACAGTCTACTATAGTTTGTAAGTCTATTGCAGATGGTACAGGAATGGTGTCCATGCGAGAGAGAGCGTCAGCAACGGTATTTTCATGCCCTTGTATGAATCGGATATCGGTTGAGAACTGGCCAATATATGACAGTTGTCTAGCTTGTCGTGGCGAAGCTTTTTCCAAATTTTGTTGGAAGGCAAATGTTAGTGGTTTGTGATCCGTGTATATTGCAAAAGTTCGCCCTTCTAAGATGTATTTGAAATGTTTTACTGCTGTATAGATGGCTAAGAGTTCTCTGTCGTAGGCACTATATTTTTGTTGTGCTGATGTCAAATTTCGGGAAAAGAAACTTAAAGGTTGTTTTTCATTATTCACAATCTGATGTAAAACGGCTCCAATGGCAGTATCGGAAGCATCAGTTGTTAGCGATATTTCAGCCTTTTCGGATGGGTGAGTTAAGTTTGTGGCATGAATAAGTGCATCTTTTAAGATCTGGAAGGCGTTTCTTGTTTTCTGCCGTCCAGGTTATTTCTTTTCTGCAGTTCTTTTTAATACCACTGAGCAATGTTGTTAAAGGTTGTTGCAATTTCGCACAATTTGGTATGAATCTGTGATAAAAATTCACCATACCTAAAAATCGTCTTAAACTAGTAAATGACTTTGGTTCTGGGAAATTTTTGATGGCATCAACTTTCGTTGAGAGAGGTTTAAGTCCTTCAGCTGACACTTCGTATCCCAGGAATGCAAGTTTTGTTTGACCAAATTTACACTTTGCCGCATTAATACACAGGCCATATTCGTTTAGTCTCTCGAGGACTGCTCGTATATGTTTTCGTTGAGTTTCTTCATCTGGAGAGGCTATTAGAATGTCATCCAAATAGCAAAACACGAATTCTAGTCCATTCAACACACTGTTCATGAAACGTTGGAACGTTTGGGCCGCATTTCGTAGGCCGAACGTCATGAATGGGAACTCGAATAAGCCAAAGGGAGTGAGAATGGCCGTTTTCGGTATATCTTCTTCGCGAACTGGAATTTGTTGGTACGCTCTAATGAGGTCTATGGATGAGAAAACTTTTTTCCAGCTAAAATGGAACTGCAATCTGTTAAAAATGGGAGAGGGTATCTATCAGGAATCGTGACGTTGTTTAACGCTCGATAGTCTCCACAAGGTCTCCAATCACCTGATTTCTTCATATAGCGAGATGTAGTGGGCTCGACCAGTTACTTTTGGATGGCCTGCATAAACCCATTTGGAGCATAAATTCAAACTCCTTTTTAGCCCGCTTTAAGTTTCTCAGCTGATAGTCTCCTGGCTTTAGCGAAAACTGGTGGACCTCTGGTTTCGATATAATGTTCGATGTTATGATTTTTAACTTTATTATTAACTACATTCAGTTTTAACAAATCCGGAAAATCGTTAATGATACGTTTATATGGATCATTTACGGCATTTAAAATCGGAATATTATTATTGTTATTTTGAAAACAAGGAGTTCCATTGGTTGTTAAGAATGTAGTACCATCAATCAACTTGCGATTTTTAGAATCTACCAAAAGGTTAAAATTTGCAAGAAAATCCATGCCTATTATCGGTTTGTTTACGTCCGCAATTACAAAAGGCCATGTGAATGATCGTCTGAGTCCAAGATCAAGCTTGAGTAATTTTTGGCCATATGTTTTAATTTTCGTACCATTTGCAGCAAAGAGTTCTAATTTTGAGATTTTTTTTTATCTGCAGGCAAGGGAGGAATGACAGAAATTTCTGCCCCAGTATCTATTAAAAATTGGGTAGCCGATTCTTTGTCGCTGATGAAAAGACGACTCAGCTGCGACTCAGGGACAACTGTGGCGTTGCTTGTTTAAAGCAGAAACTTGTAAGCTAAGTTCACTAACCTGTTTTTGTAAACTTTCAATCACTTCCGTTTTTTACCGTTATGGATGATGCAGCAGCTATTTGGGGAGTAACAGGGTTTAATTCCCAAATCTTATCGGCCATTGTAGCCACTTTTGACAAATCTTCACTACTAACAGATATAATGCTACGCATATTAACGGGTAAACGTTGTAGCCACAATGTTTTTAGGAAAGTATCTGTTACTTTATCGCCCCAAATTACGCATCTCACACAGCAATTGAGATGGCTTTTTGTCACCCAGTTCTAACTCACTCAGTAATTTTTGGGTTTTTTTGAGTCTCTGAATCAGCATATAATGAAATTAGTCTATTTTTAATTGCCTCATATTTATTATCTTGTGGTGGACTTAGCAAATATCAGATACCTGTGACAAAATATCGGGTTCAATGGAACTTATAACATAATCATATTTTGTTTGATCTGCACTAATTTTTGCATTTCTAAATTGTGCTTCTAGTTGAATAAACCATATTTTAGGATCTGGCTTCCAAAAAGGAGGAACTTTAACGCTTACCTTGGCGACAGATGCAGTTGTTGCTTTAATTTCGGTTTCGTCTTCGTCAGCCATTGTAGAATTCGATCACGCCGGGATACACCAGTGAAGTGTCTGGTGTGCAAATATAGAAAAATAACACTTCTCTGACTCCTATGGAACCAATATTTTATTCCTTACGATGTTATAGATTCTTATTCATAAGATTTATTTACATTTTACATGCACGTAGCATCGCGTGACAAAAACTCGAAATTTGTTTACTTCGTTCTTCGCGGAGACTAGAAGGTGTTGCCATTCCGCTTTAACTAAATTTAATTAGAAACTTAACAGAACTGAAGCGACACTACATACACCATCTTAATCCAAACCAAGACTGAATATCATAATACTATCTTCTGTAACTTAGGCAATAATACCTTAGCTAAATTTATAAGAAAATTTCATGCAAATGTCTCAGTGATTCGAGAAAAATAGATGATTTCAAAATCTTCATTAATTACTTAGGTAACAACTCTATGGAATACAGTTAAGCATAAATCTGACAGACACACTAAAATTATTATCAAATCAATCATATAAGGTAGAAAAAAGTATTTTTAAAACTTCCCAATAGGATGCTCAGTTGAGAAAATTACAATCAAATTCACTTTATTAAATTTCAAAGTCCTAAATATTTTGCAGCTCGGACACTTCAAAAACAAGATCCCACATCCCATCTTTTTTCAAGTTCAGCTAATGACCTCCCAGAACATCATTGAACTTTATGCAGTTGTTATTCTGTTAAATTTTGTTGTTCCAGTAGTTATTCATACAACAATTGTAACATAACTGACAAAACATAAGCTACTTTTCTGAAACATGTAAATTTCAACCCTGCTGTGTTAAGTGTGCGAAAGCAGATCATTGTATTAATAGCGAACTTAAATTCAGAGATAAACCCATCTGCTGTAACTGTTAAGGAGACCATGCAGGTTTCTATCATCGTTGTCCATACTTTAAAAAATATACTAAATCCACAAATATGTCAGCCCGACAAAATTTATGCCTCCGCAGTTAAAACTGCACGTTATGAAAATAAACCCAATAACAATATTCATTTCACTCAAAAGAGATCAGCAAATAAAGATTCCACCCCAAGTTTTACTTCAACCAGAAAACATCCTCCTAATGACCTGAATACGATCTCTGACCTACTCATTGTAATCAGACTCATCCAAGAAATTTAATTGATGAACGACCAATTTACTCAGATTAAGAATATTAACAACTTAGAAAAATTAATTATGATTACAACCTCTTTAATTAAGGCCTTAATTAATTAATTTTCACACTAACCTTGGTTATATTAGGCAAAAATAGCTTTTCCACCTACCCATATAGCTTTGAAAACATCTTTTTTCTCCACTGACATGTTCAACTTCCTTAACACCATTCTCCAGCAACAATTTCTCCTTTCAGCACCCTATCAGATAGCTGCTGACCATGCAGCACACCTCTTCCATGCTTTGCATTGCTCCTCTGAAATTCAATCACATTCGTAATTGGAATGTTTGAAAGACTTTTTAATACTAGGAAATTTTTCATCACCACGATATTTATTCCATGCTATGGACTATTTCTTATGCTCACTATACAAAGTTATGTTACTTGTTTTATGCTGTTCGATACAGGATGAGGCTTATATCAGCCTAAGTACCTAGATTAAACTAAGATGACTTGCATTCCCATCATACATTCTATGACAAATATTGCTCATGTAGCTGCCTCATATCACTCCCTAAAGTTTTGTTCACTTGTTCAGATTCACCCTGTGTAAATATATATATGCGAAAGGAATGAAAAACTTATTAAAAAGTAAATTTCATTGAAGTAATTACATACATAAATACAAATGAAACATTTACTATATACTGTCATATCAAGAATTACACATTTTGCATTGAGAAAACAGCAAACTTATGCATGGAATGAAGCTTTAAACTACTTGCTTTTTAGCACTGTAGCTTATATAATATTTGTAGCTATAACACATGAGTATTCTAATGCAAATTTTGATTGATTTATGAATTGCATTTTACAATTATGAAATATCATATGCACATAAGGCCCATTAGCAGCCAAGAGGTAAAGTTGCTGAACATTGGTAGTTCAGTCTGGGATTCGAATCTCAATGAACGGGTTGGCTGCATGGGCATTTTCGTGCTTTTCCACATGTAAAATGTGTAGAAGAGCCAGTTTTCTCTAGCGAGTCCTCCACAAAAGCATTCCTCCCCTTAAACAGATAGCTCTCTGGTGCTTATTAAATAAAACCATATGATATGCATATGAAATATACCATGTATTTAAAGTGTGGCCTTGGCTACTAATGTTTAAAATTAATTTCTGATTAGGAACAGCATGAATTATAAACAAATAGCTAAGTTTATTGCATTTTATTTTCCAGTTATTGAAATGCAACACTACAAGCAACATTTTGAAACCAAAAACCTAACAAACATGAAACAGAAATAATTGCCATTCAGCATAAGGTAATTTAAATATAAATATGAACTACTTGTTGCCATTCAGCATAAAAGAAATATAAATATGAATATTAAAAAAATATTAAAGTTAATTTTATAAAATAATTAACATGAACAACTATATGAAATAAAAAATAATTATTTCTCATGCAATAACTAGACCACTACAAAAGCTTGCATACAGAACAGTAACTAAATCTTTTCCAGGTAAATGGATTTAATTTTTTTCTCATATGCACATTTGATGCTTACATAGAAATTTGATGTTTACTTAATAATATTCATGAATTATCAGAAAATATCATTATATATTACAGAATTATATTTCTGTAAAAATTTCCTATTAATTTAACTGCAGTGTTAAATGTACATGGCATTATCTTTTATATTTACCATAGATGTTTCAGTATCTTATTATTCCTGATATAAAGCTGCAAGTGGATTCTGTTAATGAAAATATTTAATCTACTATTTCCATTAAACTATGTCGTAAATTATTTTGTCCTTTTAGTGAATTAATTATCACACCCATTTTAAATAAGAGCTTATTACATAAAAAACTTTTTTTTAGTCTCAATTATACATTGTCAATGATGAAATTTTTAGTCATTAATGAAACACAAGCAACAAATATTATAAGAAAATTAAGAAATTAATAAAAATAACAATGAAATTCAGAGAATGAAGAAATCACTTTGAATACTCAGTTTCGGAAATTCCATATAACAATGTTACAAAAAGCATTTCACTTGAAGTTAAAATTCGGGATGGGGGGATATCACCAACTTGTCTTTTCGTTCACCAAGATGGCAAACTCAATAACCCGAGAAAGTCTTTTTCCTCCACTTTGCTTCAGACTGCTGCACATTTTTTTAAAAATATGCAGAAAATTACTCAGTTAATAAATAAATAAATAAATAAAATAATCATTCTTATTTTAAAGGAGGGCTAAAAGTTTGTTTCATAATCTGGGAAAATTTCAAACTTTAAGAATTACACTAAATGTTGAAATTTTAAAATCATAAACGCCAAATAGCCTAAAAAATTCGATTTTCCAAAAATTTGTCAAACATTCAGAAGTTAATATAAAGTTTTCACACAAGCTTCACTAAAATGATTTTTTTTCTGCTCTATTCAAAGGTACAAGCAGTAAAATTATTATATGTTTAGTTTGTTCATTAAACGAAGATAAATGCGAAAAATTGTTTAAACATCAAATAAAAAAAATCTGAATAGAATTTTGGAAAAAAAAATCCCTTGACCACACTGTCATAGGTCAACAGTGTATTTGAGCTCTATAGCTTGAAAGGAAGAAGGTTAAAATCGGTTTCAAAATTCCAATCACAGTGAAATACCACAAGTGAACTAAATAAAGGTTTTTAAAAGGCAAATTTATCAAAGAAATAACTTCGCAAATTCAATTTTTTTTGGGGGGGGATAGTAACTAATCATTGCGAAAACTTTTGTCATCATCTACAATGACTGTAATATTGGGAAAATTTACAGCGAAATTTAAATAAACTGTCAGTTAAATGACTCAGCATGATTGTCGGTACTACCTCTAGAAAAAACTGTCAGCAGACACTTAAAGATGCCCTGCATGAGACTCATTACATTGAAGGGGGGGGGAAGAAGTTAGAGAAATTTATCTTTTTTAAATTAATTTAAAGCACGTTAATTTTATTCTTGCATAATTTAAAGCCTGAACATTAAGAAAAATAGCATATTCAGTACTGAGAAAAAGATGCTAATCAGCATCCCGTCAAATACCTTTGTCTCACATTCTCACAGAATCGTTAATGAACAGAAATTATTAGTTTCAAATATAAAACAAACGATAGGAAATTTTTACCTCCTCCATTACGATAGCAGAGATATGGAAAGCGCCAGATATTTCCTAAACCTACAGCATAACTGAGGCAGGAAAGCAAGAACTCAACGCCACTCGACCAGTTGCCTCTTTCTTTGTTTTCGTCCACTTCGGAGGATGAACGACCAAAGCTTACGTCTGGAAGATCCATACTCGGAGGCGGCATCGCCACTGAACGGTTGTCCTGGAAAGAATTTTTTTATATTGCATGTACATTTAGGTATTGCATATAAGTAAACATATTATTTGATTGTTTACAAAACACACATGTAACAGAATGTTGATTATCCAAGACCCCACGCATCAAAGCTACAGTTATTTAAAAAATATAAAAAATAAAGCACAATTTTAAATAGAATTTTACTGAATTTAATGCTCTACAAAATTAAAACAAAAATATGTATATTCACAGTCAGCATTATGGTACATCATTTACTATACAGCGGTGTTTTTTTTGGGGGGGGGTGGAGAACAAAAGTGCGCACTGTTACATTTTGAGATGAACAGCGTATTTCCCATTAAAGTACCGATAAAAAAATGAAAAAGGATTTTTTTAGTAATACACATAACATGTACTATTTAAATTTATTAAAACGTATGCCTTCAGAATTTCATATATCCCATATGCAATGGTTCCTGACTTTAGGCAGAAAACACTTAAACACATCTGTTCATTAATAAATGATCTTCAAAATTTTAGTTTAATTCTGGTTTTCTCTTTTTTTGTCAAAATGTTTACAGTCACATCAGCACCAAAATATTGGCTACTAAGGTGGTATCATCCAGTTCTTCTATATGCAAAAGTACCATTTTCGTCATATTTAAACCATAAACATGGGAAATCTTGCTTGGACTTTTCTGTGTGAAGGATACGGTATTCATAACAAAGCTTTTAGAATTATAAGAAAATTATTGTGTTATATTTTACAGGTTTCTCTTAAGTAATTCCAAACTTTGGTTGTGGTTCCTCATATGAAAAGTAATCATGAAGTAAACTGAAAAGCTCCGGCGAAGTTCAAACGATCTATTGCAGTACAACGTAATCTGAATAATATGCATGCATGTAACGTAATTGCTATGTTCCAGTTAGAAAACGATCCTACCGATGAAATTGTGATAAAAGTTACAGAACATACCTAGTGTATTAACGTCTGCGTTGGAAAAAAACAAACTGGCTGGGGCTAAATATGGCTGACAGACTAACAAAAATCAATTATTATTAGCATCTGAAACAATATCTTACCTTCTAAAATGATAGCATAATATATCTTTTTAACTGATGAATAAACTTTAGACAACGCTTCTTCTTATCTCAAAATCTTTTTTAAAGCCTAAATCTGGTATATTGCAGGCAACTTAAAAAAAAAAAAAAAAAAAAAAGAAGAAGAAGAAGAAGGCAAGTCGCTGCGTGCTTCCTCGATTTCGAAAAGGCATTCGATCGGGTGTGGCACGCAGGACTTATCCATAAGCTCAGCAATTTTCTGCTCCCGGTCAGTTTTATTCAACTTATGATCTTGTATCTTTACCGTAGAACATTCCAAGTAAAGTGTGGAAATGCAATGTTTTATGAAAAAGATAATTTACAGTGGTGTCCTGCAAGGAAGCAGACCTCGGCTCCCTGTCTTTTCAAATATATCTTATAAATGACCTCCCAAATCCCTTGGATTCCAAGATTCTAAAATATGCCGACGACACGGTCGTACCTTACGGAATTCTGTCAGCCCGCCTCTTTCAATGGAAAAACTGCAATTCAAAGTAAATATCGTTACGAAATGGTGCGAGGATTGGAAAATCAATTTAAATTCTAGTAAATGCCGTGTTGTGCTTTACAGACGCTACAGGCAGAATGTAATTGTTAATACGGACATCAAAATTAAAAACGATACAGTTCCGATGGCTGACTCCTATAAGTATTTAGGAGTTATTATAGATAGAAAGCTCGCCTTTAAATGCCATGTTACAGCCGTAGCGGAAAAAGCAAATGCTGCGTTCTGTGCTCTTTACAGCTTGATTGGCAGGATGTCTAACTTATCAATAAAAATCAAAAGAATACTGTATCTTTCCTTAATCAGACGGATTATGTTATACGCGGTGCCAGCATGGGCGACAGTCAACAAGACTGAGCGTGCTAAACTAGACATAATACAAAATAAAATACTTAGAGCGATTGTGAACTCACCGTGGTTTGTGAGGAACTCTCAAATTCAGGAGGATCTGAATGTAAAGGCCATGCATGAACAAACTTTGATCACTTCACATAATTTCTTTGAAAGCATGAGAACCTCTTCCTACGCTTCTACTCGTATTAGAAGCCTGTGCGATTATGACCCTACTGTTGAACATGTGGCCAAAAGGCCCCGCACCATACATCCCAACCCGTCCTGGTAGTTGTATTTATGTAAATAGTTTTCAGCTTTTTTCTGTGTTTTATAATTACGACTTTTGCGTTTTACTCTCAAAGCCACTATGGACTTTGCACTCCCCCCCCGAGGGCAGAGGACTGTGTTTTAAATACTTATTTATTTATCCCTTTTATCCGTGATTAGTTTATTTATTGAGTTTTTCATGTTTACCAAGATGTGCAGTGAATTGTGTGCTCAATACGTGAATTCAAGGTGCGCCTTCGTACTTTTATTCAAGTGACGTTTAAGAAAGTTAGATTTGAAAAATATGTTAAATTTTTCTATTACGTATTGAGTTTTTACCAAACATACTTTACGAACTCTGTACGTTCTGTTAAATGTCAAGGACTATTTTTCTGAATGAAACTGTTCTAGTTTGAAAGCTTACTAACTGTACCTGCGTGATTATAGTGCTCTCAATTCTTGAATGCTACTCTTATTCCTTAAGTTTTGAATACGACCTGTTGTTATTGTTCTTATTTTTGAATGCAACATTTGCCACCACGAGCAAGAATGCCAGACCCATGCTCTGAAAGTTTTTACGCCTTCGGGTGACAGATGCACCTAAAATACATCTCTTTTATTTTACTACCGTGATTGGCCTTTGGCAACTCTGAACTTTTGGTAATAACTCTGTATAGTTAAAACCAAGTGCGAGCGAAAGCAATTGGAATTGGACTCTACGCGGGAGGGGGAACCTTTTTACCTCTAGCGCGCGGAACTGTGTATCGAAAATTCTAAAGATATGCTCATTTTAAAATTATTTTGCGACATTGCTATTGAACTGAATTTTATGGTTTAAGTGCAAAGAACATGATATTTAATAAATGAATGTATGTATATTTCTCGCACTGTGATAAAACAACGGTACATAGAGCCATCGAATTTTGAATGGCATAACCCCAGCTGTGAATATGGACATGTGGAAGTCTAAATTTGGAATTTGTTTTATTATCGATTTCCCATTTTGTAAAACTTTAAATTAAACGAATTTTTGATTAACGAACTCAACGATTTCAAAGCGAGAAATGGCAACACTGTACGGGGGAAAAAATTCTCCAGCACGCGAGACTGTGTATCAGAAAAAACCCGCTCCTTCGGACGTAATATAAAATCTGAAAGCTGTCGCTTTTTTTTTTTTTTTTTTTTTTTTTTCTCTCTTCTAAATTCAGATGTAACCTTCTGTTAATTTTATTGTTATAATTTGTTTTAAATAAGTACATAAAATGTACTTATTTATCACTAACTTGCATTCGTAAATGGTATTTACATACTCCAGGGATGGCCAATCAACCGGTGTGGAACACGGCTGGTTTTAACAATGGCATGCAAAGATTTATTGAAAAATTAAAAGATTTGAAACAATATCATCTGTATCAACTCTGTCGATAGATACACACATAAATATAGTAGAATAAATATAATAATTCAATTTCTCAGGCAGACATTAATTATTAACCAACTGAAATCCAAGTCGAAATAATTAGCCTACAGCAGCATACTACACTAAAAAGCAAGTATAAGGAACTTATTTCAATTGCAAGTGACCAAAATTATATTGAATTTGGGGAAATTTGTACCAACATGCTATTTTCCAAATTTCCAACCTATGTTTGTGAAATGTTTTCTATTATGAACATAAAATCTAAATGTCGTTCAAGATTAACTGATATGTCCTAAAACATCTAATTTTGTTACTATCTTCAAATACTAATCCTAATACAAATAAAAAAAACTACATATTCAAACACCACATTAATTAAGTAATGACTGTTTAATAGTTATTCAGAATTAAATGTTTCAAATTATTCATTTTTATTTTACTGACTTTTAAAATGTTTATTAACAATGAAACCCTAGTTTGAACTTTTTATTATTTATTATACTATTTTTTAAATGTCCACTACTCAGACTTACATAAAAAAAAAAAAAATGTGAGTAAAAATTCATAATCAGCTCATATAAAAAATTTTTTTTTTTCACCTTACATATTTTTTGGTATGTTGGAAAAGTTGGCATGCATAACTTTTCTTTTGAGATAGCGGTACCCTTCCCAAAAAGGTTAGCCACCCTGATATACAAAGTCGAACTATAGTTAACGGACACTTCACTTTAGCAGATGCTCTCTTTAACATAAAAAAGCGTGTCTTGTGATCCTCGGCTAATGGACGGTCTGCTTGTAACCTCTCAATAATCAACACTCATAGGACTGGATCTGCGGTTTATTATGCGTGCATGTAGTACATACACACGCATGCAGAATTATCTGAATTATCGGATATCGCTGATTATCCGAACACAGTTACTCGATTGAATATTCAATTTTTATGACTTAACAGATCACAGGGACGTAGGAAGAGGGAGGCAAAGGGAGAAATCTGTCCCTGGTTCCAGCATCCAGGGGGCACCGAATTTATGTTACGAAATTTCCATTCTTAGCTAATAAGGCGCGAAATTTTCAGTTCTCCCCGGGCGCTGAAAACCTTAACTACGGCCTTGGTACATCATAATGATTTAGAAAGACAGGCTTTGCAGATAGACTTTTAGGAAAATTTTAGGAAGGGAAGATATTCACGGCTTTGCCAGAGAAACTGATTTCGAAGAATGTTGTATTTATTACGCTACCAGAAGACTGGAGAATTGACAGAATGTAGTAAAAAATTTTAAATAATCTGTATATAAAACTGAAGAGTATTGTACTGAATTACAGAAATGCTAGATGGATGATATGAAAAAGTCTGCAGGAAATCTAAATTATGATGAAAATTAAATTATTGA